GTTTATTTTCGCCGGGTCAGCAGTCGGACAGTCAGACGGTCAGGCTCAGCGATCGTGACGTAGGATGATCCATCGATAGGGAAAGGGTTAAGGGATGGATAAAAAGAGGAGTAGGGGAAAGGGTGATGTGATGGGCGACTCCACTTGAGGGCCACGGCCAGACTGTCTGTCAGCCCAGCTGGTAAACAGATCAGGGAGACTCAGAGTCCACCATGGGTATGAGAAGTGGACAGAATTCCACGCAGTCGGGAGGAAGGTAGGTCCACGACTTTTTATCATCTCATCCAAGAGGGGTGAGAGACATGTCACGGGGTATCCAGAAGGATTATTTGATCGACTGAGCAACTCAGTAATCCTAGTGGGGAGAAGAGAGCAGAGGAGTTGAGTTTAAATTGGCTTGCTGACTGGACTGGAGATAAGGTCGGGTTCACTGGCAGTTCGTGGTAACAGCGCTGTACCGACCGAATGAATGTACGGAGTACTGCGTACCGTACCACCAATACCAGTTACCGTGACCGTACCGAACTCACCCGGGGCGGGCGCTTCCCCGGCCCCTCCCTCCAAGCCCCGTACAGTACGGTCAGCTGGTGGAAATGACATCATGCCCCCCACCCTCTTCCAGGCCCTAGACCGGTCGATGGAGGGTGGCGTAATTACGGTATGGTCATGGCTGGCTATCGACGGCCACGGGGGCGGGAGGCCCCGATCTGCCTGAGTGATTTTTGGGAAGTCGCAGGTCGTAAGAAGCAACAAGCAAGTTACACACTGTGTCCGGGCACATCAATGATTGTTCGTGGCACAATGAAATCCGTCTCCAAAAGGACTTTCTTGTTTGACTTTTTTTTTGTTACATGTATTACAACTTCTGAATAATTTCCATGATCCTTATTCAACCTCCCGATGGTTTCTTTGTGAAGGAGAGAAACAAAGAATGAAGGATGGATGAGCCAGACTGAGGAAGAGGAGAGAGGAGGAGGAGGAGGTTCGGAGGATTTGGCCATCTTCCCATTGCAGACGCACCAGCTGATGGGTGTCCTAACAACGTACTGTCCTGAGTAGCCTCGCAGGTGACCGGAGCTGTGCCTTTCTCCGCCTCCAACAAAATCAACCACCACCACAATAATAACTCTGCAGCAGAGTCATGTCAAACCACTACAGCAGTGAGATTCTTCCAGAAAATTTATTTGAGTGTAAACCTCAACTTTTTTTTTTCCTTTTCACTGAAACTTGGGGAAATTCTTCTTTGTCTGGACCCAATCATTCTGAAATCCGGGCGCTGGCTGATATCATCCACGATTCCACATCTCGGAAGGCAGATGCGAGTGGAGCAAATAACATCCCAGAACTGCCTGGTTTTGCTGCTCCTTCTCCGTCGTCTGTTGCTGGTTTGTTAGTCAGGAACCGGTCCAGCCCTGACTGCCCTTGATAATTAATTTGTTCGCGGTGTTCTCAGAAATCCATTCGCTGGTGTTTTCTTGTTGAGTGGGTTCGGAGATGGGGTAGTTTTGGTCTTTTCCAGAATCAACCGAAGAAGAAAAGAAGGAGATGGGATGCTCTACTTCGCTCTGCTCTGCTCATTCTCTGCTTTCCTTATGCCTGGGGAAAGACCCGCGTGGACAGACAGCTTTGGGAATTTTTGGTTTTTGGACGGTAATTGAGTCGAATCCAGAGCGGATCGCCCGACCCCCGCATTGCTGGTTTACTAGCAAAAACCCAATCCAGTCATTTACAACCAATCCTCTCTCATGGTTTTGCCTATTTCGTTTTAAATTGCATGGGGAAGGAAACCAAAATAAATTCATAAAAGAGGGGGAATTCGACAGAAAGAGAGGGAGACAGTGACCAAGATGAATCGACAAGATCAGGTGAAATGAAGGAGAAGAAAAAAAAATCCCCCCCGCAAAACTGTAGTGGCTAGAGAATCCCTATCTGTACTCCGTAGTATCTAACTATAACTAACTACAGTAACAATCCCCCCTCTCTTGGAAAATAGAATTCAAAATCAAAAATAAATTTAGCAATCAATTCCTGGGTATTGATGACTGATACAATGTAATTAACTCAGCTAAACTATCGCCGAATCTCTCTTACTATCAGTATTATCAGCAAGTAACAATAATAGTGCAATTCGTACTTCTTACTCAGTACTAGACTGGACCTCGTGCAGCCATCCAATCCATTCATTCACTTGTTGTATTCATTCATTCCTCTACTGCTGCTTAACACCTTTTCTTTTCCCCAACTTTACTTGATTGACTAACTTACTTACTCTGATCTCCTCTTTTATTTTATTTGGACTATTTTTATTATTTTTTCCTTTTCCCTTTTTTGTCCCTCTTACTCTCTCTCTCTCTCCCTTTCCCCTCTTAACCTTACTTGCAATTTCCCCTCTCTGCCTCTTCCTCTTTCTCCTCTTCTTCTACAACACTTCCTTGCTCTTTCTCTCTCTCTCCCTTCCCCTTCTCTACATCAACTCTCTCCACCTAACTCCCATCTTCCTCCTAATCATCCCAATTGACTTCCTCTCCCAATTGCCCCGTTAAATCACTCACGCACGCTCTTGTGGTTAGCCCTGAACCTTGCTCGTGGTTAGCCTGACAGGTACCTGCTCTGCCGCTCGTATCCCTGGATTTTGCCCGCCAGCTGAATTTCTTTGCCTCACTTCTCTTTCAATTTATTTCTCATTTTCCTCCCTCCACCTCCCGCTTCCTCACTACTTCTCGACTACTCAACTACTATCCCTCCACCACCTCCGCTCAATCATATCACCCAGAATCACTTTCTGGTGCTAATCATTACTACTACCTCTGGACTGCACGGGATTGACAGCCCGACAGTCCACGTACTAAACATGGCCTCCTTCAAGGTAACGTGCTGTCTTGTCTTTTCCCTGGACTTTCTCCGTGGATGGCGTGCTCTGCGGACCACCAGCGCTATTGAATCCACCCCCCAGACAATATGTCCGACTAACAACTCCGATCTTCCATAAAATAGGAATTGTCCCTTTCTCGCCCTCTTCCTCAATCCAACTCCCGTCACCACTCCCATTCCATCTCGCTCGGTGCGGTCAACGCCAACCATCGGGTGACTCGTCGCAAGAGTGTCACCACTGCCGCTGCTGCTAATGCGGCCGCTGCTGCGGTCGCTGCATCCTTGAAAGAATCGGGCGATTCCATGGGAATTCCGATGCCCGCACACCGCCGTGGGAGTCGGAAAGGCTGGGAGTCCAGCTCGGTCGGAGCCCCCTCCGGCTTCGGCTCTTATCTGTCTCGCAGCATGAACAGCCCCAGCCAGGAGCCCCCGGTCGCTCGCAAAACCTCCCCTTCCCAGACGACCCCTATCGTACCCCCCGCAACGATCTCCGAAAACACCGTTCCAGATTCCTCGGATCCCAGTAACCCAGCAGCCAAGCCAGTCACCACCAAGAACCGCAACCGCCGGGCCAGCGAAGGTGCCCACCTGGTCAAACCCGAGGGAAAGCGATCCATGGCCGAGCTTCGCTGCGAGCGTTGCGGGAAAGGGTATAAGCATGGCAGCTGCCTGTCCAAGCATATGTGTGTATCCTCCCCCCATGCCATCCGGCCATCGGGCTCGGTCCGGAGCAAATGCGCCATGTCGGCTCTGCCTAAGGTCGCCTTCGTGGCCATTCCGCTCCCTTCAACTCTCTCTTCATCGTGGTGGATCGCAGTAAATTGACGTTTCTTGGAAATACAGGTGGGAACATGACCCTGCGTGGGCCATCACGTCGAAACTTTTGATCTCCAAGCACCAACAGGTGCAATTGCTGGAAGCCGCCTCTGTGCTGGTTACCATGACTCAGGATCCCGATGAGAGCGCTGAAGCCGACTCGGAGATCTCATCCTCCTCACCGGACGCTTCGTCGGAGCTGCGGGAGGGTCTCAGTTCCGCGGAGACGACCCCGCCCCCAATGGACGAGGACGATGACGACGATGAAGACATGGCCATGGAACCCACGGCTGACAAGCGATTCAGCGTCAGCAATGCCTCGGGTCTCTTCTCTCACTCATATCAGTCCGGCCCGTCAAGCTCGTTTACGAGCAGCGCTCCCTGGGCATCCCCAGCATTTTCTCACATGCGGCACTCGAGCATTGACACTCGCCCCTCCACTGCGGAAGCCAAGTTGCACGAGGACGACGAGGCTGACCTGGCAGCCGCCATCGGCCTCTGCAATTTCGGCACCCCTCGCATGGGGCCAGTGCCGCTGTCTCCTAGCGTGCCTCCAGTGCCTTCCCTCCCGACTCGATTCCTCGACCAACGAAGTCCCTCGGACAGCCAAAGCCACAGCTTAGACCAGTCCAACGCAGGCCTTGCCAACTCCGCCTTCTCGAACACCACTTCCAACCTCTTTCTCTCCCTATCTTATAACCCTTCGCTGTCTTACAAGGTCTCCGATGAGCGCGAAGTCCGAACGGGTGGTGCTGCAACCGACCGTGCCAAGCGACAAACCCGCAACGCCGACGTCGATTTCAGCAGTCGGCCAGCCCAGGCAGACGACGATGACGATGGCATCTTCGGCCGCATGGAAGAATAGATGCAACCCTCATGACCCGCCATCACACTCCTTTCACCCATCGCTCTCCTATCCGATCTCCCATCTTCTATCTTCCCGCCGAACCGCTGCACTGACAGCCATCCACCACATCACCCTGATGACATGTACGAGATTGCGTGACTTTTTGTAAATGTTGATATTCTATTTTCTCGTGTTGGAGTTGGAACACCCCTTTCGCATGTATCGCCGATTTTCTATATCTATCTGTATAACCCCAGCGCCGGCTGTGACTGGATTGTCTGCCGCTACCACTCTTGCCGCACACCCACTGACTGACTCCACCTATACCAATTTCATATGTTTTTCTTGTTCTTTGTGCATTGTCCACTGTACCTCTTAGCCCATGCGGGGAGAAATTTTCCGAGGCGACTGCAGACACGCATCTTGTACTGCAGTTTTTGCATTTGGGTTGTTGTATTCTTCAGACTTGGCGGAAAGTGTTCTGGTCTGATCAATATCCGGGGTGAATCAAACCCGATCCACGGCCACTCCAACGGCGACTGGTCATCTGCTATTCATCTCTTGTCGTCGAGTTTCACGGTATCGACCGACTCCATTTCATTTTACCTGGAAGAATCGGGCGGGGCGAATCAGTTCTGATTGGGACTGGTTCATGTTCTGCTTCGTCTTTTCTGTCTGTATAAAGGGAAATCTTATTTTACCTGAACTATATCAATCCAACCTCGTTGAGTCAATTGACTAGAATTGATGTTGCCCTGTAGACATAGTCACTAGCGCTTGTTCCTACCGAAGGTGTAATGGTTGTTGATTGATGCCATGACTAGGGGAGTAGTAGGCACAGTATGATCTCTACTTACTGCTGAAATGGGCTTCCGTGGAATTCGAATGAGGTCCCCTATCTGCTTTGGTCCAAGTTAGGGCTTGTGATTCGAGCTGTATCCCGAGCCAAGATAAAGCTGTCTTATCCAGTTTCTTCTCGCCGTCCCCCTCCGCCTTTGCGAGTCACCCAGTGGATGGAACTTCGAGCCTGGCCGGCGATTGTCTTCTGATTCAAGTCAAACTCAATGCGAAAGGAAGTAAGAAGCACCCCGTTTGCTAAAACAGTCAAATAGCTTTCTGCAACGCTGGCAGCTACCCTTAGACATGATTGGGGGGTGGAATCCCCTCAAGGGTCGTCGAAATGCGTTGAGTGTAGCACCCGAGGTCTACGGATATGCACGGGTATATCATATGGCGCTTATTCAAATTTGCGAATGGATACAGTTACGGGATGTTGACCCGGAGCGGAGCTGTAGGATGGTTTCCACGCAGACATAGTAATGTGGATCGAACCAGGCAACCGACGCAGAGGGGCCCGTCTGGAAGAATACGGTGGTGATCAATGCAATAACACATACGTATCAAGGTGCTCGACAGCTGCCTCTTCGAAGCCCTAGTCTACTCATATGTACTCCCGACCTTGGCCCCAGGCCTCAGGCTTTGGGCTTGACTGTGCCGTGGGGAAACCGACCGAACTCACGGGGTAACTGAAGTTTACTAAGTTATCTAGTCAAGTTAGGGTTCTGGATCCTTCTCCAGAAAAAATCCTCAAATCAACAGTCCAGCATAGTTATAGCATACTGTTACTGCCAGCGCCAAGACAGAATCTGCAATTAGCACTGCTGACCGACAACCCAGTAGACCATCACCGACCACGAAAGCGTTCGCTCGATTCAACTGTTGCATGTGAACTCTCCACCACCACCACCACCCCTCTCAAATGCAGTAACAATCCACAACCCAATGTCCCCCCCAACAGACCCCCTCGTCTCCCCCACCGACCTCTTCCTCCTGGCTATTCTGCGCATCTCCTCTCGAATATCTACCTGGTACTCCCGAGTCAATCCAACTAACACCCCCAACCAGGAACAATGGAAACACACCTCCCCGCTCACGCCCTCCGCCCAACGCGCCCACATCTTCGCCGAATACACCACCCTTGGCGTCGATGGACAACAGGTACCATCTCCAACTGACTTGACTTTCACATAGAGCATGCACCGCACGTTAACTCTCCACACAGCATGTATCACAAACTAACAAACCATGCTGCACAGCCCTACACAACCCTCCTCGCCAACGCGGCGGCAGCCACCACGCCAAGCTCACCCCAACCGAACGAGCCCTCCTCGACCGCGCACGCTCCCCGCCGACAGACCGGTGCAGAAGGACGGGTTGGGTTCCTGATCCCCTGGCTGCGCACGGCCTACCACCCTTCCACCGATGAAACTTCGCGGTGATAGCGGCCCATCTCGTCAGTGAGTTCGGTGGTGATCCGATTCTTAATGGTGTGGGGTGCTGTGGTTTTGGGTTGGAGTGGCGAAGGGTCTTTGGCGGGTGCTGTAGCTTCTGTGTATCATCGCTTGTGGCGGGAGGCGCTGCAGGGGTGTTGGGTGGGATGATGCTGAGGAGGGGGGGGGATGGGTATGATTTTGAACATGACTACACTACTTACCACTGGGCGCGAGTGATGGGTTGGCTGCATGTTCTGGATGAGAAGGCGCTAAGGCCGGGGAAAGGTTCTGATTGTCTTCTATGATGGGTGCGGGCATGTTGTGCGCCAGTGTCGCGAGTCTGTTGAGGCGCTGGATTTTACTTGTGTGCATACGGTGGAGCTTGATGAGCATGGGGGTGGGGAGGGAGTATCGGTGGGGTGCGGGTTTGGGGCCGCCTTGTTTGGATGGAGATGAGGAGGGGGATGGGATGGGGATGTGGATGTGGATGTGGATGAGGATGAGGACGAGGAGGAAATGACTGGGGGCTGGTACGCTTGTTGTTCTGTGAGCTGGCGTCTCACTTGTGGTCTGTGGGTTGAAGGAGATATGGAGAGCAGCTCTCTTGTTGCGGATGTAGGGTTGCGGTGGCCTCCCCTCTAAGTCAACGCACATCAGAATGAACGGGTAAAGCTCAATCCTTGCCTAGAAGGGTGCTGCAGGAAGTATGGCGGTCGGTGATCACCGGATACCTTCGTGCATTGATCCGTTTCATATACTCATGTATAAGAGAAGCTGACTCTAATTCTAGCTGTGGCTTTGGTGGTGACTGCGGAATCAAAAAGATATCGAGGCGTCAAACGCATAGGATGAGTGGTCTTGGGCTCGAAGAGAGGGTTCAGGGAGCCTCCATGTTAACACACCCCCCATGAAAGCTTGTACTTCTTCTCAGTGCCCACGGCGACTCCCACAACCCCCTCCCCAACCATCTCCAGCCCAGCCACAAACCCACAGAGCAACGACGCCAGCACAAACACCGTAATACTCTCTCCGATCTCCAACCACGAGCCCTCGTCCCGCACGCGCCAGAAAAACCGCAGCGTCAGATAGTCACTCGCGGCGACGACCAGCACAAAGAGCGCCCCGGGCCGCAGGCGCAGCGCGCGGGTCAAGAGCCCCAGGTTCGCCGAGACGAGCACAAAGGGGGCCAGGATCTTGAGGACCAGAAGGGCCCCCTGGCTGAAGGGATCGAAGACGGGCAGGAGACGCAGCACGGCGTCGAGCGAGAAGGAGGAGATCGAGGCGAGGTTCCCGGTGCTGAAGAAGGCGGAGTGGAACAGGTAGAGGAAGAACAGGGCAATGCGCAGGTCGGAGAAGCGGAGGGGGCGGAATTGCGGTGCTTCTTGGGTGATAGATGGGGATGCGGGCTGTCGCTGGTAGTCGAAGACTTTGGACTCCAGCTGCACCCAGGTGAAGAGTGTACCGCTCAGACAGCAGTAAAACAGGCCCTCGTAGGAGATGGTAAGGATTATGAATAGCGGGGCGAATGTGAAGAAGAGGACCACTAGTTGATAGATGTGGTGGCGTCTGGTCCGAAGAGCGAAGATCGGGAGGATAAAGGACGTCACTGTTCAGTACGGTTAATGTTGTCATACCTCAAGAGTGGTGTACTGACCGAGTAGTATCCATCCTAGAATCTGAGTTGGACGAGAGAGTCCTTCTCAGAGACTGCAGGGAGGCCGCTGCGGACCGCGTCGTGGATATAGCCAGCGGTACTAATCCGACCTGGAACATCAGGAGCATTCTTCCTAGTCGGTCAGTCTCGACCACATTTTCTACTGATGCTCGATGGAGTATTGTCGGCTCCAAGATGATATAAAAGACACCGCAGGAAAACATGAGAAGCCCGCCCAGGGTGCTATCCGACATGTTAGTTGCCAGTCGTCTCGATCCGCATGCGATATAGCCGGGCTTAACATACATCAGAGTAATATCCTCCGTTTTCATGGCCGGAAGAAGGGTGAAGATGCTCATAGAGCCACATTGGACTGCCCACACCAAACATATGAGCCGATTGGCACGGATGAATTCAACACCGTAGATAGCGGGCCAGAACAGGGCGAGAATGTAGATGAGCGTGTAAATCCTACGATCATAATAACTTTGAACCTGTTGATAGGTAAATATAAGGTGCACACGAGCAGGGTACCGAAGCTTACTATAGCCTCCAAAAGCAGGCCCAAGAGCATCACACCAGCCGCATCTGCAGTCACGTTGCTGGCGGATATCCGCTTGGAAAGTGCCCTAATGGCTTGGGTCCAGGTATCTTGACGGGCCCATACCTCAGCCCAGAACAAGACCGGGAATATAGTGTACGCATAATATTGCACCGGAGACTTCTGCGAATACAGTTTCACCAGAAGCGCAAGACCGACAAATCCCATCACGATGAGGCGGACAGTAGAACGTCTTGGCTGGGGACTAGTACCCGAACTTGGTAGGTCAAAGTGACTGAGCGCGTTCGTAAGAGCGAAGGCCATCCACCCTAGATATCCGACGCTAATCAGAGCTCGAAGAAAGAGCCAATCATAGGTCTGTAGGTACCGCAAGCCCTGAAGAGACAGGTCGATCAGATCCTCACAGCCTTGAATCGCTTCCTGAGGATGCCCCTGACGAATCGCAGTACGGATGCGAGCAATTCGTTCCTCTTGATTTGGATCTTGATCGTGACTGAGTGCCGGAAAAGGCACGTACCCGAGCTTCGAGGCTATCATACGACTTTCTCGAACTCGGTACATCTCCAAGACCTCCAGCGCATTGACCAGCATCGCGTCCGCCTGACTGGACTCGTCCGCATCGAGATAAGGCAACGGAAGGCGTCCGACCTCCACGCGGCCCGGTGCGGCCCCCTGCGCAAACATCGGCAGGATGTCGGGACTGCCCCAGCTCCACGCATGTCGGCTGCGGTTCAGCACGCTGTCGAAGCCCACTGGGTTCAGCTTCCAGCCCGTGGTTACGGCGGAGACGTCTTCGTAGAGGCCCGCGAGAAGGGCCACATGGCCTGGGCGCGACTCGGTGGGTACTCGGGTATGAGACACTCCGAAGGTACCATGCTCCAATACTCGTGAGCGCAGAAAGGGAGCCAAGTGGCGTGGTACCTGGGCCGACCCATCTGTAGGGGCGTCTGGGGACGGGTCGGGGAACTGTTGAAAGGTCTTGTCCGCGCGGAGACCGTCAGCTGGTGTTCAGCCACCATTTCATAGAACTAGAACCATCGACTGTCCACAAGATACTGAAGGAGAGAGAGAAATGGGGATGATCTCCCCTGCCGACAAAAAGCACGACGCGTTGAGCAGGAGGAGAAGCCTGGACGCGGTGGGCCTTCATGCCCCCGACAACGGGGCTCACAAAGTAAATGTCGAAGATTGAATAGACATAGAGCAAGTGGAAAACAACTGCGATTCCCAGAAACTGCGAGCGTTTTAACCGTGCCATGTCTGTCCACATTGACAGAAGAAGTGATCGATATCCGGGAATAATTCATTCGGCATTGCTTTCATTGTGTTGAAACAGAGAAAGGCGACGGACCTGGTAGACACCACGTGACCCGATGAACGGAATCGGTAAGTTCACTGGCGCCTAAAGCTAGTGGTAGTCAAGATGGCGCTATTCCGGGCCGCGCAGGGGTTCGGCATACAAAGGAGAAAATATCGACATCGCTATGTAACTACTCTTATATATTTTGAACTGTTGATACGCTTGGAACTACAAGACTAGGTATTTGAAGTCATAGACGTACTACTACTCGTATGACAACTGAAGATTATGGAATCCTCTTGGTCCATAAGTTTTAGGTCTGTTCTCGACTTGGTGTTTTGAGATGAGCTCACTGTACGTACGGTACATACACACCTCGGCGATGTAAGACGTTCGTCTCCCCCATATCACCTCCACAACTCTGTAACCGATAATATATAGATAGGAGACTTGCCTAGACTTGGGATACAGTCTTCTCAGAAGCATCAGGAAACATTTTCGTTTCCGACGAAGTGGCAGCGCCTCAATCAAACAGGGCAGCATGCGTTCAACATTCTACCTCGTGAGTCTTGCATTCTTGCAGTACCGTCTTCGTAACTCCCATAAATGGTCTCAAAGGTGTTATCAGTCGGTCCACCGTCGAGCATACTGCAGCGATGCGCTATCCAAGAGCTGATAGACCGGATTCCCTCTGCTAAACAAGACAGACGGAGGGGAGGTTCCACATCGATCTCGACTCCGGCCGGAACGGATCGACGCGGGTACCTTCCGGTCAGGATTTAGCGTGCATCAATACCGGGGTCACTGGCCCGTGCCATGCCTTCTGTATACCTCCTGTATGACGGTATAGGACAATACAACAGCCGGATCATCGAACTACTGACTATACCATATTGTATTCAGAATTGAGCATGGACAGGCGGCGCAGCACCGGATGGCAATAATCCAGGAAATCGACGTGCTATCCCCATAAATATGACGGTATCTGCATTGGGCGACTGCTGATCTTTACATCGAAATCTTCAAGTCATACACTTCTAGTACACAAGCAATCACAAGTTCCCCTAAGAACAAGAAAGAGAGGGTTGTTGTTAAGTACAAAACCATGTATGTTCACAAGAGTTTCAAGACACGGTCCAGAAGGAAAAAAGAAATTATGCCGGCATTTTGTCTCACATCTCGGCCCCAAAAATGGACACGAGACTTCAAGGTCAAAGTGTTTTGAGAGAGACAACCAAATGAATCTGATTAGTGGAGAGGTATCAAACGAAGTAATGAAGTATATGATGGGACTTTTTGTGGGTGGGTGGATGGGTAAGGGGGGAATAGATAGAAAAAAATAATAATAAACGCTAAACCCTTCAAGAAGCATAATATCCCGCACCCCTCCCCTTAAAGCAGCCTCGGATCAGGTTCGGCCTAGCCCCTCGCAACTCCGTGGAACTCCCGTATGTGATGAATGGAAGGTTGAAGTAAAATGAGACAGAGAACAAATCAGAAGTAGTCGTTATGCATGCATGTACCCATACCGCCCCCTCTCCCGTCCTTTGTGTGACCAGTTCGCCCCGTGTTTGTCGTGTACATAGCATCATGACTCGTTCGGAGGCCCGCCACTGGGGCCGCTGGTGTCACCAAAGACCGGAAAATTGTTCGACATGTCGGCCCAATCCCATTCGATGGTCATCGGCATCTGCCACAGATCTTGTGGTACGAAGGGTTGCTGGAAGGATGAAAGGGGGTTGTCGGCAGCGGCCGTCGGAAAGGGTGGCTGCTCGCCAAATCGCACGCCGTCCAGGTTGTGTGGGCTGAGCATTTCAAAGTCGGGGCCCAGGTTTGTAAGGCTATGTATAGTTTCCTGAAGATTCGGGGGAAGACCGCCACCGGCTGCAGAGAAGGCTTGGTCGGGAACGAAGTTGCGTGCTGCAGTGGGTGAGTTGCCCGTGGGATGATTATTCTGAGCCGTCGGGAACGAAGACGATGCAAGGGGTACTGCGGTTCTGGCCGAGGAAGGCGCATCTGATGCTCTGGTGGCGGGGGTCGTTGGGGATTGGGTTGTATTAGATGGTTGTGGCTGTTGCGCGTTCTTAGGATCATCGGAAGTGGCCTTGCGCTTTTTCTTCGAGTGAGACTCCCTCTCAGCCTTGTCGAGGACTACCTGCGCGATCCGTTCAAATTCGCCACAGAGAGTGAGCATGCGTTTGATGCTTCCGTTTGATTCATCGGATACCAGCGTCGACAGGAAATTGACCACCACATTCATCAGCTTCACATCAGAACGCGCTCGTGCATCGTTGGGATTTTGGAGGATATTAGCGAACAGGGTGACCAATGCGGAGACCGGATAATATAGTATCAACCTAGAGGGGCCTGTTAGCAGACAATCGTGCAGCTCAACAAGATGTGTACTGACCAGACACATGCAAAGTCGCCTTGCGGTATATATTTGATGAGATTGATGGACGCTCGAGCAGCGGTCACGCAAAGGACTGCTGACAAGAATACCCTTGGATTCAAGGGCCTGGCATTGAGGCCTTGGATGGCATAGTTGGAAAGACGGCTTGTCCAGTACCCATGATGAACAGACATTCGGTGGATCGTTGTCAAGCAGTTGTAATAAGCAAAGTGGAGAACGACAACATGCAGGATCAACGGGGTATGAGTTGCTTTGATCTCGTTCTCGGGGCGGAAGTCAAGTGGTATGCTGTCCTTCCACTCTTCGAGTTCTTTGTCAAGCTCTCCAATCGTATTCAGCAATTCCCCATCCGACTGTTTCGATGCCTTCGCCGAATATAGTCGCTTGTATACTCGACTCCCAATCGTAGCAAAACGACACATCGACCTGAAGAGGTTGAACTTGCTCTTTCCATCTGACAGTGGCACATTGCCAATATTGTCAGGGGGGTCTTCACTCGGTAATTCGACGTTCATGTCATCATCGTCCTGAACTGGTGGACGGCCGGAACGGAGACATAAACTGGGTCGGAGGTCAGCGAACGCAGTGCAAAGGAGAAGGGCTCGGCTTACTCTTTATCCAGCAAATAAGCAATCCAGAACACCCGCTTTCGTTGTTCGACTTCTACGGGATTCAAACCGAACCCCGAGCCGCGCTTATGCAACCCTATGCTGTGGGACAGCCGAATCGCTGCCGCGACAAGGAAGAAAGATGGTTGTGGGTTGGGGGTACCTTGCAAGAAGAGTGACTGGGACCGTGTCAACAATCTATAGCAGCACTCAACGAAGACCACTTACCATTCCCAGCAAGGCCTGGACGCTCAGCAGATCCGTGTTCCGCATCGTGAGCTCAGTTAGAACGGCCATTGCGTTTTTCAGGTAAAGCCACGCCTTCTTGTCTTCCTCTTGTGGCACCAGATTATTCATGACCCGGATTCGGTGCGCGATTGCCAGCACGACGTTGATGCTAGCCCACCAGCCGGAGCCTTCGTACGGATCCCGAGAGTATTGCCGCTCTACTAGATGCATGAAAGTTGGTTCGTGAAAAAGCGGAAACATGCAATTGAAGTTGGCGAAGAAGTCCTGGAAGAGGGACATAGCCTCTTCTTTAGGAGGCAGCGGCTTGAAGACTCGACGGGCGAATATATCGCTGAAGATCTCAGGCTTCCAATACATCCACTTGTTGTCATCGATGTATGCGGAGGAAATCATGTCCTGAAATGACGAGTCGCCTGTTTTCTCGTTCACCCATTGTATGCCTTTCGGTGAGAATATCGAGAATCCCGACGACGATCCTGTTATAGCAGGTCAGCTTTGCATTTCTGGGCCATCTGATATTGATGCATGTACTGACCAATGTATCTTGTTTCTCCACAGTTATTCGTCACAAGCGAACACATCATATCCGACAGACCTTCGACTTCATTTTCAGATTCCTTCGGCGACTCCGGAGACGTGGGAGCTGTGTGCGGACTTGACTGTGATTCGACCCGAGGGGTAGAGTGATGCGAGGAGGCCTGTTGAGACTGGCTGTTGGAGTTGGAGGCATTGAATTTTCCTGGGCTTCTGGGTAGACTCAGACCACCGTTCGCCAGAGATCGATCGGCAAGACGTCGTTCTAAGGTCCCAAGGTCAGTCTTTCCTCCATCCTCCTCTGACAGCAGGCCCGAAAGGCGTAGTAGCGATTCCATCCTCCCTAATCGATTTTCCAAGCCTTCGATGTATTTGGCACTGCATGACCCCAAGTTGTTAGCGCGGAACCGACCACAATAGCACAGCCGGGCGAGGAGCGCTCACCCTTTAGGTGGATTTCGCTTTTTCTCTACCTGGGTAAAGACACAATCGGTCTTGTAATTGATGCAGTGGGAACACTTGGGCATCTTGCCATCGCATTTGATTTTCTTCTTTCGGCACATATCGCAAGCCTGTATGAAGCACGATCAGCCCATCGCCGACCCGACGACCCAGTAACGTCAAACCACACGATCAGCGACTCACCCTTGCGATTCTCCTTCTCTTGGCGTCATTGCTATCATCACCCATGCCCATTGCGGTATCATCCTGGAACGCCGCATTATGATGCGCGGAGGGGATCGGCGAAGTGTCGTGAGGATAGCCGCCGAAGAACTGCTGCTGCTGGTTCATGAGCATGGGCATATCGAAGCCCATGCCGTCGGGGCCTTCCCCGATGCCATCCATTGCGATGGGAGCGAAGACAGGAAAAGGTTCCCGAATGTATAAGGAGAATCTCTATGACGGAGTGGAGTTTCTAGGCCGAGCGGGTATGATTTGAGTCGAGTCGAGAATGGGCTGAATGCGGGGTTACTTTTCCCGGCGACGACGTCAATGGAATGCAGATGCAAGCCAACCGTTGATTATTCACGATAAGGAATGACTAGGGTGAGCCGATCGAGTAACCAGTTTCGATGAAGAATTGCGCATCCACCGAGTCAAGAAAGCGGCGGAGTTGAAGGGAAAAGAAAATATAAAGTTAAAAAAGAAACGGGACCCTAAGGACAGGAAGAAGAACAATGATGAAGTCGGTCGGGGGAGGAATGAATTAGTTTTGGTTAGCGGATGGAACAGACAGACTGAGGGTGGATTGAGTAATCCACACTGACTGCAGTGCTTGCTTGCTTCCCTTAACTTCCTTTCCCCGATAAGTTGCAAGCACGTGGCGACTCGGGCTACTTTTTCCCTTCTCTCTTTTCGGACTGCCTGATAAAGGAGAGGAGAGGAGAGAGGAAAGGATCCAGATATGAAAGAATGATAGGGGAAGAGAATATTCAGGGGTGGAGGACAGTCAAGGACGACAGCTTGACTGAGTTGATTATTGTGGGATCGAAGCAATAATGGGACCGGATCAATTCTCAAATCTGATCCGAGAGCTGACAGACAGACCAGAGGGAGAGTTAAAAAAAAGAGAGTTGAGACACAAGCTTACAGATTATTATTGCATCCGGACGGAGATAGCTTGCTATCTCTAATCCACTGCCACATATGTTATTGTTTGCCATATACGTCTTTAGTCCAACAGTTAGTTAGAGAATAATGACGGCAGCCTGGTGTTAGTACTCCGCATTAGCTCCTTTGATCTTCATCTTGTCATGAGAGTCTGATCGTATCATCTGGCATCAAGCTTCGATGAGGGTGTCCGAATACGAGAACGGACGGAAGTCGTTAACCCCGAATCTCCGTGGGTAACGGAAGATGGAAGGCCTTCTCTCCGTCCGAGCCCGCTTTTTACCTTTCCTACAGACTAACTTAGGTGCTCCCTCCATACAGAAGCTGTGACTCCCGGCCTTGGCTGCCATGGCCCGCTTGACTGCCCGCTTGACTGCCCGCTTGACTGCCCGCTTGCCTGCCTGCCTGCCTGCCAGTGGCCGTTCCACTTTCTCCCTTTCTCTATGACTAAATTATTTATCCATCCATGCGTTTCTGCCGTTCTGCATACTGAGTTGTTGTTTGAATGTTGACACCTGTTGACACCTGTTGACACCTGTTAACCTGCAATATCCCTGGCTCAGCTTGGCAGTTGACTCTGTACAGACCTCATCTCATGATTAGAGGCTCAAACATCCCAGGTTGTCCTGGTCTACCATTACTTAGACCTATCACATGTCACACAAGGTGGATCAGCGAGGTCTATATAATTATACGACAGGCATACGACGAGCACATGCAGAGCTACTCGTCAACGCTTCAGCCTAGGCTCCAAACCACATGTGTGCCAATAAATCATAGCTATACATTCAAGAGTGGCGATCTCATCGGTATACAGTAGTAGTGTAAATACAGGTCTCCCATCAGGAGCGTGCCCAAGGGATGTATTCCCGGGATCAGAAAATTTCCACCAACGCCTCGCTATGCGCACCCAAAGAAGAAACTCTTGTACAATGGTCGATACGTAAATGTACCCTATCGTCTTTCACGGCATGGAAATGCTTCGCTGAAGACTCTCCGGTCGAAAAGAGAATTTAAAGCTGCTTGTCGAGGAACTCCTTGGCCTCGTTGATCTTGGTGGCCAAGTAGGGGCTGCCACCACGATCGGGGTGGTTGAGCAGCATAAGTTGACGGTGCTTCTTGCGAACCTTGTCCTTGTTCAAAGTGCGTTCCCTAGACAGTTCGTTAGACAAGATCTTTGCCATTCAGTATGTGGTAGTCTGGAAAGCTTCGACGTACGGGAGTTCCAGGATCAAAGACGCTTCGCGACGGTTCATCCGAGGTTCAAATCCTCTTGATATCAATTAGTACTCTGTCCTTGCCCAACCACAGAAGCCAAGCCAGCTTACCCCTTGTAGAATGCCTTGCCCGCCGCGTTCATACCGCCTCTAGACCGTTGAAGAGCGACATAGCCTGCGCGACCCTGACCGAGTAAGAGAAGGTTAGCCCACTGACAATCCACAACCACTCAGAATCCACTTCAGACGTACCAGAAAGGCAGCGGTAGCAATACCAACACCGTAGAGAAAAGCAGACATCTTGCAGCAATAGCGAAGATGATCCGGAAAATGAGTTGCTTGGGGGAGGCGCAAAAGGGATCTCGAAGTTGTGACGTTGGGGAAGGAGAAGCCGCCGCAGTCCAGATAAAAAATCGGAGCCGCGCCGCATCCCCCGTTTGGGTTTAGTGCCGGCTGCTCCACGCTTCTCAATTTTTTGAATGGCGGTTCCTGTCCTGGACATCAGATATCTTCTCGACACGACGGTGGGATTCAGGAGGTTCACTGCGGCTTCTGTTCATTCATTTTCCAGCGGTACTTTGCGACAGTACTTTTTTACTACCGTCATTATTACACAGTCGCCGTTGGACCTTTCCACGCGATAAAATAGCCCATCATGAGGTGAGTTTGCCTTTATCTTGAGTATCGTTATCGCTACTGCTGTGGCCATTTTTTTTTCTGACGAACAACACCGATAGAGTCGAAACCTGCCACTTCTGCTCTCGCCCGGTCTACCCTAGCAAGGGTATTCAGTTCGTCCGCAATGACGCCAAGGCGTTCCGTTTCTGCAGGAGCAAATGATAAGTCCCCTCTTTCCCCTCACGCTTTCGTGGTGCCATCATCTCAAGAACGAAACTGACATCCCCATTACCCACCAGAACTTCAAGGCTAAGCGACAACCGAGACGTGTGAAGTGGACCAAGGTCGGTCGTGCCGCCAAGGGCAAGGAGATGATCGTCGACTCCTCCCTCGTCCTGTCCCAGTTCGCCAAGAAGCGCAACGTCCCCGTCAAGTACGACAGGAACCTGGTGGCCGCTACCATCAAGGCCATGGAGAGAGTGGAGGAGATCCGACAGCGCAGAGAGCGGGTCTTCACCAAGCGTCGGTTGGCGGGCAAGCTTGCGCGGGACCGCAAGCGCGAGGAGGACCGCAAGGTGGTGGCCTCGGGCGAGCACCTCATCCGCAAGGAGCTGCGCGAGCGCGAGGAGGGCCAGCTGGCCGCTCTGGACACGGGCAAGACCAGACTCCACGGCGAGGAGCGCATCAGAACAGGAAAGAGGACCAGAGTCTTGGTCGACGGAACTACGCAGGAGGAAATGGATCTCGACTAAAGGGTCTTTTTGGGTTCTTACGTTTCTTTCTCCCCGGCTGCCCGGTCGGGTTCGATACCTTGCGGTTATGAATGGAGTTGGGTTTTGTTCAATGTTAAGCATTTTGCTTTGTCAAAAAGTATCCCAGTGGTTTCTCTTGTGTCATGAACTTTCATGTCCACTTGTTATATTTCTTTCGCTGTCATTATATGGGCCTAATCATATAGAGATATTGATAAATTTGTCGACTCGTCCAGCAGCAGTGGCTCCGAGCATCAGATAAAGTCTTTGGTGAAAGACAGTAGATTGGCTGTGGTCGCGATTTGCTTATGCTGGATGTGTTCTAGATCTTAACTAAACAATCAATGTCCGACTCTGAAATCTTATTCTAAGCAAAACTCTGGTCCTCAGAAGTATCCAAGACCAATAACAGTGTTTCCAAGCCGCAGCGGTGTCTAAGACTACAACGTATCCAGAACCAACATGTCCATGACGGAGTCCACCAGATTCCTAAGGATTCTGGCCGGTCCTCAATCACTAATGCAGAAAGGCGGTGGGAGCCTGATGACTCAGCTGATTCAACGGAACGGCGAAAAACGACCGAGCGAGATGACCTCTTCGGCGGGAAGACGATCGTTCGTTCCGGCACGAAATCAGCTCCATCTAAAGAGCTTCCCCTCTCCCTCCGCCCCCCTCCCCGCCACCACCTTTTCTTTTCTCCTCTACACCTCGTGCTTCTGGAAACGAGCCTTACACGGCAACTACTGGTCTACCTGTGCCATTGATATCCGAGTAGATCAAAAACCACGTACGCTCTATCGCGCCACCCATCTAAAACTAGTCGCCCTCCCGGGCCTTCGATACCCTTCACCTCCCCCTCACAATCATGGCTTCCTTGCTTCGACGGCCAGGCAACCTCGCCCGGTACTCGAGGAGAGTAGCCGACAGCGTCTTCCGCGCCGGACCGCTCACCGTGCATGCCCCCCAATCCCGCGTCTCGGCCCTGATCCTCGCGCAACGAGCGCGCACATACGCCACGCAGCAGCCCGGCGACAACGGCTCGAAGCCGCCAGCGAACGGGAATGGCCAGAACAAGAAGACGGAGGGCACAAATGGTCAATCTGGCAATGCCAAGGCGAAGAACACCCCCCAGTATGCCATCACACCCGAAGACGAGCAGCTGCTCAATCGGTTCGTCGAGGAGATGAAGACACGGATGGATTTCGAGCCGGCTAAATCGATGGTGGAGGAGATGCGACAAAAGTGCATGGTCTGCGGCTTGAATCCAGACATGAGGTCTTACATGGAACAAGTTGTCCAAGGGAAGACTCCGTCCGTGATGAAATTCATTAAATTCGCCAGGGACGTGAGCAATATATATGACATGAATGAGGTGTATAAGCAAGAACAATCTTTAGACGCCAACAAGGGATCTTCACAGAAAGCTACCAATGGCAAAGAAGATCCTGAGTCTCCTAGTCCTCGGCACCAGAAGTTTTTGGAGGAAGTTGAGGCCTTTGAAGCAGAGGTCAAAGCCGTGCGGGAGGCGTTCAAAAGAAAGTGGGGAGACGATCCCACCAAATACCCGAAGGCGGACCTTGAAGCCATGGAGAAAGAGGTGCAGGACAAGCAGAACGAGTTTTTAAGGGATCACACAGACCCCAGCAAACACACGAAGGCGGACATTCAAGAAATGAAGAAACATCTGGATGATCTCAGGAAAAGACGAGCAGAAGCCCGGGCGGCATCTGGGAAAGGACAACAGCAGAAAGACGGGAAAGGACAGCCCAATGGCGAGCCACCCAAGTTCAGCGAGATCAAGCTTGATGTCCCGTCAATCTTGATCGGTTCCCTCGTCTTCTTCTGGTTTTATACCAGCCTGTTCCCTTCGGAGAACAAACAGGATATCACTTGGCAGGAGTTTAGAGCGGATTTCCTCGAGAAGGGCTTGGTGGAGAAGCTAGTTGTGATCAACAACAACCGAGTGCGAGTTTATCTGGATCGTGATGCGGTTGCCAGCGTATATCCCGGCTCGCCTGCTCAGAATGGCAGCTTCTACTATTTCTTCAGCATCGGTTCTGTCGACAGCTTTGAACGGAAACTTGATGCAGCGCAGGAGGAACTCGGTATTCCAAGCGCGGAGCGAATTCCCGTTCAATATTCTGAGGAGGTTCCATTGGCAGCTACACTTCTGTCTTTTGCTCCTACGGTCCTTCTTCTCGGCGGTCTCTTTTTCCTGTCGAGACGTGCAGGCGGCGGAGGTGGCCAGAGCGGTATTTTCGGCATTGGCAAAAGTCGGGCTAAACGGTTCAACCACGAGTCGGACATCAAAATCAAGTTCTCCGATGTGGCTGGCATGGACGAAGCGAAAGTGGAGATCATGGAGTTCGTTAGCTTTTTGAAGAACCCTAAGAAGTTTCAAAAACTGGGAGCCAAGATTCCTCGCGGTGCTATTCTATCGGGCCCTCCTGGTACAGGTAAGACCTTGCTTGCCAAGGCTACTGCTGGTGAGTCTGGTGTTCCCTTCTTCAGCGTCAGCGGCTCTGAATTCGTCGAAATGTTTGTTGGTGTCGGTCCTTCGCGTGTGCGTGACCTCTTTGCCAATGCCCGTAAAAACACTCCCTGCATCATCTTTATCGATGAGATCGACGCGATCGGCAAGTCGCGTTCAAAGAATCACATGGGTGGTGGAAATGATGAGCGCGAGAGTACTCTGAACCAAATTCTCACCGAAATGGATGGTTTCAACACTTCCGATCAAGTGGTCGTGTTGGCTGGTACGAACCGACCCGACATTTTGGACAAGGCTTTGATGCGTCCCGGTCGATTCGACCGACATATTTCCATCGACCGACCTACCATGGATGGTCGCAAGCAGATCTTTGCTGTCTACCTGAAAAAAATCGTGACCAATGAGGACATCGAGTACTTGAAAGGACGACTTGCGGCCTTGACCCCTGGATTTGCAGGTGCTGACATCGCGAACTGTGTGAACGAAGCGGCACTCGTTGGTTTGTCTCCACCCATCTCTTTATGCTAGACGCAATGCTAACTTTTACGTGCAGCGGCCCGTGAAAATGCGGAGAGCATTACCATGAAGCACTTCGAGCAGGCGATCGAGCGTGTGATCGGTGGCCTGGAAAAGAAATCACTCGTACTCTCTCCCGAGGAAAAGCGTACAGTTGCATACCATGAGGCTGGACATGCTATCTGTGGCTGGTACTTCCGTTGGGCCGATCCTCTTCTCAAGGTTTCTATCATCCCCCGTGGTCAGGGAGCCTTGGGCTACGCTCAGTACTTACCTTCCAACGGTGATACCTACTTGATGAACGAGAAGCAGATGCTGGACCGTATGGCCATGACGCTTGGTGGCCGTGTCAGCGAAGAATTGCACTTCGATACCATCACCACTGGCGCCAGTGACGATTTCAACAAAGTAACCAGGATGGCCACCGCCATGGTGACCAAGTATGGCATGTCTCCCAGTCTTCGTTATATCTTCTACGAGGAGGACCCTCAATCGCAGATGCACAAGCCTTTCTCGGAAGAAACGGCGCGCAATATTGACATGGAAGTCCGTTCAATCATTGCCAAGGCACACAAGCAATGCCGCGACCTCCTTGAGGCGAAGAAGAAGGAAATCGGCATCGTGGCCGAAGAACTTCTGGCCAAAGAAGTTCTCAGCCGAGACGATATGATTCGTCTTTTGGGGCCGCGGGAATGGCCCGACTCTGGCGAGTTTGCCAAGTACTTCGATGGTCGCTCTGGCGCCACGATTGCTCCCCCCGAACCGACCCAGACGGACGACAGCGCCAAAGGAAAGGATGGACGTGACTCAACGCCACTCCCACCATAAACCCATCGCCGGGTTTCTTATCTCGTCTTTTCTATTTGTGTGTCTATTTGGAGCAGGGAATACTTTCATGGCTGATGAGGGGAACATACATCGCTTTTCTTTTTTCTTTTTTTCTTTTTCGATTCCTTCCATCTTGTTTAGGTCTTGTATCTATTTTTCTTGATTTTCCAGTCACGGAGCATCTCTTTTCAATCTTCTCTCAAATCGTTTTCTGGAGGGGGCTCAATGCATCCCACACTCCTTCAAATCTACCTCTTCCCTCCTGTATCAACAGTGGTCGGCCACGCCCATAAATACCAAGCGTCATGCTTTCTACACCCAGCGCACGCTACGCCCCCTCTACTTCCAACCTTTCTACCCTACCTCCATCTGGTACTGCAGTGACCCTGTCTAGATTGCTTTCCCTCTTCCTCACCACGCTGGTGGATGCCCTTCCTCGGATGAGCAATGGGGATGTGTCTCGTGTATGATGTGTCGTGTTGTGTATGTATGTATAGTAGATGATCAGTACACTGTTAGCTTTGTTTGATACAAATCTGAATCGTAATATATTGGTGCAATGGATCCGGAGATCTGGCGGTGTGACTCATAATGAAACACCAAGTCACAGCCACCGACTTCTGCTCCCGTGCTAAAAGAAAAAGAGAAAGGAAAAGGAAACAGTGGTGCAGGACGAGTTCACACCCAATGCTTGCCTTATACCATAGAAGTAGCACCGCAGGCAATGTCCTGCAGCCAACGTGCATTCTGCCTGGAAATAGCAGGCCACGACACGGGAAATGAGAATGAGAGAGCCCCAAGGATAGCCAAGGGACCATATGACAGGTTCAATGCATCTCTCCTCGACTAACAATTGCGGTATCGTACTGTTCACAGATAGAAATGGGAAAATTCGACACGTCGGCTGCAGTCCCTAGTGGCCAGCCACTGAAAAACCTATTCTGAACAGCTTATTACATGAATGTCTCCGTACTCCTCAATGTTCGCCATCCACCCACGCGCCCCCGAGTTGGGGGATAACTTTTACTTCTTCTCATCGCTGCTCCCCTCCGCGGCGCCATTCCGGTAGGGCAATCCACTCTTCACCCGGACGGCGCCATAAATCCCCGTGATGTCGGCCTTGGACCCTTCATGCTCCTGCACGAGCTTCAGGTGCTCCCGTGCAACCTCGTAGATGGGGACGGAGGCGCCGCATGCTTTGGCCATATCCAGGACCTGGCCGGTGAGGGCCAATGCCTTGTACACCTCGACGATGGGCTGCAAATAGCAAAAGCGTAGTGTGTCAGCTGGGGAAGTGAATGTGAGAAGAAAGGTTGGGGGTAAGATAGCGCGTACTGTGCCTTCGTAGTACTCGCCCGTCAGCATGCGGTGGTTGTAAATGGCATGCGGCGGGTTGGGGAACATGGCGCCCATCAGCTTGTTCATGTTCTTGGTGCCGATCCCCGACTTGTCGGCAAAGACGTTGACCTCCGCCACCGTCTCCATCGTCGTCATGATCAGGAAGTTGCCCATCAGCTTCAGGAGGGACGAGGTGCCCGGCTCTTCTCCGCTTAGATCGACGATCGCCCGGCATACCCTGGATTTGCGTATGAGTTACCGTACACATTGTTCCCCGGCGGAATACGTATGTAATTGGGGGAGGAAGGGAATTGGGTTATGTTGAAAACTTACACGCCCTCCAGATATGGTCGGATTCGGTCTACCGATTCGGGCTTTCCGCTTGGGATGCAGATGAGTTTCTTGGCTGCTGCTACCACAGGCTCGCCCATGACTTTTTGAAGAGAATTGAGCGTCAGAAAACGAGAGAGAAAGCCAGAGTCTCTGTCAGCAGGATAGCGATTTCCTTACCTGGCATTGAGACGAACTCCCCGCCAGCTTCGATGACCCGTTTGGCTGTGGCATTGGACCATTCCGGGGCGATGGTGGAGCTGTCGACGAACAATTTGCCGGTGATGTTGACGTTGGCCGCAAAGATACTGTCGAAGACCTGCTCCACCGCGGACTGGTTCTGCAGGCATGACCAGATGATGTCGGAATTCTCGACCGCCTCCTGCACGGTTTCGGCCACTTTACAGTCTCCTCCGAGGTCAGCGCTGTGGGCGTCCGCGGTGCTTTTGGTTCGGTTCCAGAGGGTCAATGGGCTGGTGAGATCTCCATCGCGATGAAGATTGCGAGTCATTGCCTGATGCTCTTATCAGCATAGTTTCTTGTCGTGGGATCTCGAAGGTAAGCTGATTGTAGTATGGTGGGGATATGGTTCTTACCTTGCCCATCTCTCCCAGACCGATAAAGGCCATTCGGGAGCCCATGTTAGGTGCGACTGTCATCTTAGATGTGGATGGTGTTGCACTGTGTAGCTTAGCTAACCTAAGGAGAAGGGAGGGGTTTCTCAGAGGAGGTCGCCAGCCTCTTATAAATTGCATTTCGGGGGAGTGTGTCGTCCAAGTTTCGTCAGGCGGGGTCAACGCCAACCTTCTTCTTTCCTCTCAAATCGCCTACCCTGCCCCCATCCTCTGCGCTGGCATCTTTGGGCACCATCGATTTATGACATAGCAGAAGCAGGTGAGACCCTGCAGCATACCGGTATCTAGTCTGTTGGTTTGTGCATTTACTACTGTTGGTTATAAGGCTCGATGATCGTTGATCCAGAATTAACTGAGTACTGCTACGGTGGAAGGACACCATTCCGTCCTCAGCATCTCTCGACCATGAGATTTCATGTCATGTCACAGATCATAAGCCACTACCGGCAGCTGCATATATGCATCTGATTCACAGGAGCGTCTCATGGTGATACTGCATAAACGAGGAGTGGAACGCAAGGGAGGCCATGATATATGCGGGACTATACTCACGTTTCGAATCCCTCGTCTGTCCGCCATTTCCGCTGAGCACCGTCTCAATCCATCTCGCTCCATGCTATACATTGCCCAGACTCTTGGCTTGAACGCTTGTCGGGCTATAGCCACATATTTTGATGAGCCCGGATGACACATCGCCATGAGGCTTCACACCCGCGGATAGGATATGGCAGCCCTCATTTGGCGTGAGAACAGCTCTGGTTGCTGGCCAGAACCGGCCGAAGCCATGTCCTGGTAAAGAGTGATGGGTTTGGCAGCTTAACCAAGCCAATTGAGGGCAGCTCTAGGCTCATTATCTTTCCGATAGCTGGGGTGTGGCGATGACTACCTACTGTCTCGGTCGACCAAGGCCAGCTCAGACTGGCCCGCAACTACAAAGTATGCTCCAGTACTCCATGGCAGCTCGCAGGATCGACATCACTGCGCCTTTCATGTCACAGTCTTGGCGAGCAGGTAACGGCAGCGGTCTCATGAATCAAACGGGATGGCCGGCATTGACCATGCGTCTTTAATTGAAGTTTATTGACACACACCACTCTGAGGACCCGATCCAGATTGCTAACCTTCTTCGCCAATGCGGACTCGATTCGGATCCGTGTGTTCGGACGAGCAGTCTCGTGTTCAATTGACTGTACTGTACGTCTAGATACGATGATGAGCATTAACCAAAGTAGCCTAACTGACACTGTCAACAAGAAAGCCAGCTCATTTGCATATCTCGGACGGCTGCATATTTTCCAAAAGAGTCTGATCCTCGTTAGCCAAGAGAGCACTGCGGAGGCAAATGGCACTGCCCATCATGCGTTCCTTGAAGCTCCAAACCCTGGGCAAGTAGGGTTATAAAGGCGACGCACCGCGACGTACTGTGAAGCTGTTTGACTCTCAGTTCTCCATGTCCTCACTCCCCCATCCACCTTCTCCATGACTGACACAATGTCTTTTCGAAATTTACAACATCTCCTAGAGACCGTCGCTGCGAAAGAAGGCAGCGGCAATGTCGTCTCATACTCTATGGGCAACCTGCACGAGCCCAGAGTCTTCTCCTACAGTCAGCTATTCATGCTAGCCTTGAAGGCGTCCTGGGCTCTTCGCTCGAGAGAAGACTTCCGACCCGGAAGCGTGGTTATGCTTCATTTCAATACTCACTGGGATATCATCGTCTGGTTCTGGGCCGTTCTCTTCGTTGGATGCCTCCCTGCCTTGTCGATTCCCTTCTCCAACAACCCAAACCACCGCACTGCACATCTTGAACACTTGTCAAAAATGCTCAACAACCCCTTATGCCTGACACGGGCCGACCTCTTGCCCGAGTTTGGAGGACAAGAAGCCATCGACCCAGTCGCAGTGGAGTCACTCGATGTGGACAATGCCCCACCAACAGATAGCTCCGACATCTGCCGAGATTCAAGTGCCAGTGACAATGCAGTACTCATGCTCACCTCGGGGAGTACTGGCAACTCCAAAGCCGTGTGTCTAAGTCATGGGCAAATTCTGGCAGCTATTGAGGGTAAATACGGGGTGGTCGAGTTGCCGGAGGGAACCTCATTCTTGAACTGGATCGGTCTGGATCATGTTGCCGCGATGATCGAGATCCACCTTCAAGCAATATACGGGGAAAAGGACCAGATCCATGTCCAAGCTCCCGATGTCCTGTCGAACCCCACGGCCTTTATTGACTTGATCCACAAGCACCGCGTCTCGAGGACCTTTGCTCCCAACTTCTTCCTCGGCAAGATCCGCGCTACCATCAAGAGCCAGGGAGACTCCGTTCAACACAATTGGGACCTGAGCTGTCTCCGATACATCGCATCCGGTGGCGAGGCCAACGTGACCAAGACCTGCGAGGAGGTGGCGAAGCTTCTGGAAGACCACGGGGCTCCCCCCAATGCTATTATACCTGGATTCGGGATGACAGAGACCTGTGCTGGAGCCATCTTCAACACCGATTTCCCCCGGTACGATGTGCAAAGATCGTCTGAATTCGCTTCTGTGGGGTCCTGCATGCCTGGCATCAGCATGCGCATCTCCGACGGTGAGAACAACCCCGTGCCGGCAGGAGAGGTCGGGTCTCTCGAGGTTTCGGGTCCCGTAGTGTTCAAGGAGTACTTCAACAACCCGACTGCGACGGCCGACGCCTTCACCACGGACGACTGGTTCCGCACCGGCGACCGCGGCGTCATCGACGAGGCCGGGAACCTGACCCTGGTTGGCCGCGCGAAGGAAACCATGATCGTGAATGGGGTGAACTACTACCCCTACGAGGTGGAAAGCGCTCTGGACGAGGCCAACATCGCGGGCCTGACACGCAGCTTCAACTGCTGCTTCTCGTCCTTCCCGCCCGGCGGCGACACGGAGGAGATCATCGTCGTGTACCTGCCCACCTACGTCCCCGAGGACATGATCGCGCGCGTGCAGACGACCGACGCCATGTCGAAGGTGGTGATGATGTCGACGGGCTGCCGGCCGAAGCTCTTGCCGCTGGACCGGTCCCTGCTGCAGAAGTCGGCGCTGGGCAAACTGTCGCGGGCCAAGATCAAGACCGCCTACGAGAAGGGCGAATACCAGCCCTACCTCGAGATCAACGAGGAGATGGTCAAGCTGTACCGGCGGGTGACGCGCAAGGACCCGACGGACGCGCTGGAGCAGCAGCTGCTCTCGATCTTCACGACGTCGCTGGGGCTGCCCGCGGGCGACTTCGACGTGCAGACGCCAATCTTCGACATGGGGATCACGTCGATCGAGCTGATCAAGCTCAAGAAGAACATCGAGGAGCATCTGGACCTGACGGCCGAGCTGCCCATGATCACGCTCATGACGCACAGCACGGTGCGCGACCTCGCCCGCGCCCTGCACGACCTCCAACAGACGAAGCACGAGTACAGCCCCGTGGTCAAGCTGCAGGGCCAGGGCACCAAGAAGCCGCTGTGGCTGGTGCACCCGGGCGTCGGCGAGGTGCTGGTCTTCCTCAACCTGGCCAAGTTCCTGGTCGACCGGCCGGTGTACGCGCTGCGGGCGCGGGGCTTCAACGACGGCGAGACGCCCTTCGAGACCATCGCCGAGGTCGTGACGACCTACCACGCCGCCATTAAGCGCGAGCAGCCCGAGGGGCCCTACGCGCTGGCGGGCTACTCGTACGGCTCCATGCTGGCCTTCGAGGTCGGCAAGGTGCTCGAGCGCAACGGCGACGAGGTGCGCTTCCTGGGCTCCTTCAACCTGCCCCCGCACATCAAATCCCGCATGCGCCAGCTCGACTGGAAGGAGTGTCTGCTCCACCTCTCCTACTTCCTGGACTTGATCACCGAGGCGCGCTCGCGCGAGCTGTCCCGGGAACTGCAGGACGGGGACAAGTCGCGCGACGACGCCCTGGCCCGCGTCATGGAGGAGGCCGACCAGACCCGCCTGAGCGAGCTGGCGCTGTCCGAGGCCGCCCTCGTGAAATGGGCCAGTCTGGCCTTCTCGCTGCAGAGCATGGCCGTCGACTACGACCCGTCCGGGACCATCGCCGGCATGGACGTCTTCTACTGCATCCCGCTGGCCGTCGTCGCCGCGTCCAAGAAGCAGTGGCGCGAGGAGCAGCTGAGCAAGTGGGAGGACTTCACCCGCTCCCAGCCCCGCTTCCATGATGTCGCCGGCGCCCATTATACCATGCTCAGCCCCGAGCATATCTTTGGCTTCCAGAAGACGCTTCGCGCCGCTTTGGATGCACGAGGCTTGTAGGTTGGTGTGATCGGCGAGGGGCTATTGACCGAAGAGGCAAACGTGCGCTTCATGGGATTAAGGTTTGAGTAGGTCGTGGAGGGAAAAGCCCGGAGGGACCGACGGACGCATGAAGGAGTAGATAGGTATTATTTGTGTCGACTTGAATATATGGCTTACTGTTTATGGATGAACCATCGTTTCGGTAGTTCTTGCTCGAGCAAGAGTGTTTCTCGATTGTTTTGTATGTTCAACCATATACACATATGCTTTTCAACGCCGCCCCGTCACCGATTCCAGATAAACCTGCTGCTCCCTGAGCGAAATATAAGACAAGAACACATTCAAGAAGAGAAGAAAGGAGGCCAAGGAGAAGGAACTAGCCCCGTACAGGATCTCAGATAAAAAGTTTGAGAAGAAACAAGAACAGCATATCTTTCCAAAATGTGACACCAAGATATTTACCCCGCATATTCCGATATAAGGTGTCCACCTACGACTCTAACCAAAAAGATGCTGCGACCGGCCAGAAGTATATATGCTCACCGCCTACTGGCTCTTCTTCTCTTCCTGGAAAGGCTGCTCAACCTGCTCAGCGACCTGGCGAGGTGCCTTCTTCTTGCCGCTGCCCTTGTACTTGGGCTTGGCAGACAGACGAGGAATGAACCGGCCCACGCGCGCCTGGTACTCGCGGTACTCGGGGTACTTGCCGGCGCTGATGGACTCGGTGAGCCGGACGCTGCCCTGGAAGATGAGCAGCAGGCCGACGACGCCGACGCCGGTCCACTGGACGTAGGACTCGGTGCGGTAGCAGTTCCAGAGGTACAGGGTCAACCAGATGGCCTGCTCGGAGAGGAAGTTGGGGTGGCGGGAGACGGACCAGAGGCCGTTGACCACGAACCCGCGCTCCAGGTCCTCCTCCGTAAAGACGCCCTTGTACTTCTCCGGGATGCGGGCGGTCTGCTGGTACTCGTGCTTGGCAGTCTGGAAGTTCCACTGCTGCTGGTCGGAGAAGTACTCAATGAGCAGGAAGAAGAAGGCGACGCGCGAGAAAATCAGGTCGGGCAGCTCGAACGACCGGTGCTCCGCGATCTGCGCCAGGCAGAGGAAGTTGTAGGTCGGGGCGGTGATGAGGAGCAGCAGCAGGGGCTGGATTAGGCTGATGAAGGTGATGTTGAACAAGAAGAAGATGAATCGGTTGTCGTTGACCCACGAGCGCACGATCTTCCACCGGTAGTCCTCCGAGCCGATCGAGTAGCCGCCCCGGCGCCAGTAGTTGAAGGTCAAACGGGCCTGGATGGATATTAGTAACAACGAGGAGTGAAAGCTGCGAGGGATAACTGACACTCCAGAGAAGCGTGAAGATAGCAATGGTGTCCACGCTCTGGGTCTGCAGACCACTCAGGCGAGCCCAGACAGCGAAGTGCACATTGTACAGAGCAGGGAGGATGCTCCAGCACCGATCAACCTGGGAGTAATTGCGGTTGATCTCGGAGGTGATGACGAACAGCACGGATAGCACCAAGGTCAAGCCAAGCGCCGAGATAAGAGGGTTGGTGGTAAGGTAGATCTCCTTCAGGAGGGTCGCATCCTTGGTCGCCGCAGCGACCTGCAGCTGCTGGGGGAGGGTGGTAAGTTGCGACAAGTAGGGTAGGACAGTCTGGCTGAAGGACGCACAGTCCACGGCTGACTTGACGTCAGGAAGCGGTAGCGCCATCTTGAAATTGGAAAAAGGAGCTTGTGATGATTTGAAGTTGCTGCTGGGGTGATGGGGAAAAGCTCTCACATGGGAGTGGAGAGCGCAGGATGGAAAAGCGAGGGACTAAACAATTGAGGGAAAAACAACAAACAACAAACAGCGAACAGCAAACAGCAAACAGCAACTGCTGAGGAGCTGCCACCTTGCCATTTTCGGATACCACCGGGAGCTTGGGCCACTCCATGTATATTCCTGCCTGAGGCAGCATGTGAGCAGATCACAACCTCAGGCATCAAGCTGTAAGTTACGCCCAATCCGTGATTTCCTTCCCGTGACTCTCGCGTGTCTTTCGGCGCGTTCCGGTTCTTCTTCCAGGGAGGAATGACTGACAATCGACTCTTGCAGGAGGAGAATTCTTTCGAGACAGAAGTATCATGGAGACTCGTTGATCCTGTCTCCCTTGGTCCAGACACCTTGTCATGACGAGGATCCTATGTGTGGCCGAGAAGCCGGCCATTGCCAAAGCCGTGGCCCAGCACTTGTCTGGAGGCACATTCCAAACAGTAAGTGGCTTCAAGCGAGTTGGAAGCATTGTAACGTATCGCTAAGGTAGATGTAGAATAATGTAACCGGCAACCGATATGTGAAGAACTACTCGTTCGATTTTAACTTCGGGAGCACGTGGGGCCATTGCAATGTCACGATGACCAGCGTCCTCGGGCATCTGACAGACCTGGAGTTTGCGCGAGAGTACAAAAGCTGGCTCTCTTGTCCCCCGGGGGCCTTGTTCGAGGCTCCAGTCCATGAAACCGTGTCTTCCGTACGCAGTCTAATCGTCTCAAAACTCCGGATGTTGAGCAACTGATCCGTCAGACAGGACAAAACAGCCATTGCAAGGAATATCCAGCAGCAAGCACGACAGAGCAAAGCTCTGTTCATCTGGACGGATTGCGATCGAGAAGGTGAACATATTGGAACTGAGATTCGAAAGCAGGCAAAGGAAGGAAATGCTCGCATCCTCGTCAAGCGGGCCAGATTCAGCAATACTGAGAGAGCGTAAGTTGTCGTTCACCTGGTTGCGAGGTGAGACTGACCCGTTCATACAGCCACGTCTTGAATGCTGCTCGCTCGCTGATAGAGCTTGATGATCTTCAAGCGAATGCAGTGGCAGCGAGGATAGAGCTTGATCTCCGCATCGGTGCCGCTTTCACTCGGCTACTGACTCTGCAGCTGAAACCATTATCGAGCGCTTTGGAAGATACCATCGTAAGCTATGGTATGTGAACCTCTTGGTGCAACTTCTGCCGATGCAGCTTGCTGATCAATGTGTAGGATCCTGCCAGTTTCCCACCCTGGGGTTTGTGGTTGATCGCTATCTACGAGTGAAGAACTTCAAACCTGAGACACTCTGGGGCATCAAGGTCATGCTACAACGAGAAGGAATCAAGGTCAACTTCCTGTGGAAACGTGTGCATCTGTTCGACAGAGCCGTCGTGACCATCATGCTTGAGCGGTGTCTTCTCGCCAAAATGGCCAGGGTCACCAAAGTCAATCAGAAACCCACCAGTAAATGGCGGCCCTTGCCGTTGACGACGGTCGATTTGCAAATGATGGGCAGTCGATTCCTTCGCATGGACAGTCAGACAATCATGAAGGTATCGCCACTACCAGCACCTCCCAAAGTGGAGTACGCGCCGCTAACCACGAGCGTCAGGTTGCCGAAGCGCTCTATACGAAAGGTTTCATCAGCTACCCACGTACCGAAACCGACCAATTCGACAAGGCCATCGATCTGAAGAAACTGGTTGAGAAACAACTCCCAGACCAGAATTGGGGTCAATATGCTCGAGAGTAAGATCAATGAGATCACAGTCAGATCCTTGTAAGTTCGCTGCTAATAAAAACATCGCAGTCTTCTGGACGGCGGCTTTCGAACCCCACGAGCAGGCCATCATAACGACCAAGCTCATCCACCCATCCACCCCGTCTGCTGGGTCTCGCCATCCGCCCTCAGCGCCGACGAGAAGAAAGTGTACGAGTTCGTCGTGCGCCGCTTCCTCGCGTGCTGCTCCGAAGACGCCAAGGGCCAATCTACGGAGATCGCAATTGAATACGGCGACGAGATGTTCCACGCTAAGGGTCTGCTCGTCCTTGAACGAAACTACCTGGATGTCTACGTCTACGACAAGTGGGAGAGCAGCCAGCAGCTGCCGAACTTCCAGCTAGGCGAGCAGTTCGAGCCGACGGAGGCCAAGATCTTCGACGGCAAGACCACGGCCCCGAACTATCTGACGGAGCCCGAGCTCATCGCGCTGATGGACGCCAACGGCATCGGCACCGACGCCACGATGGCCGAGCACATTGCCAAGATCAAGGACCGGCACTACGTCGCCGTCAACACGCGCGGCGGCGGCCGCAACGCCGTCAAAGAGCTGATCCCCACGCAGCTGGGCATCGCCCTGGTCGAGGGCTACGACAACGTCTTCGCGGGCATGCCGAACAACCCGTCCCTGAGTAAGCCGTTCCTCCGGAAGGAGATGGAAACCCGCATGCGCGAGATCTGCGCGGGATCGCGGGTGCGGCAGGAGGTCGTGCAGGAGAGTCTGGATATGTACCGCGAGTACTTTGTGCATACTAACCGGCGCATCAGCGCCCTCAAGGATGCCATTCGCAAGTACCTTCCTAACTGAACCGGTAGCTGTATCGGCGCATTTCTGGAATTGTTTCTGGTCAGTGAGCATAGATTGGCGGAAAGTATAGGAACATTGATACCCTGGGACTCAATACGATTATGCATGTCGAAAAGGAGCGGAATCTTAATCTAGAACATATGCTATTCATCATTGCGTGGCTATGACGCCGTTTTGGCAACGAGATACACGGATTTTAGGCGTTCGAGTATACAGAAGCAGGTATACAAGGCGGACCGAAGCACAGTAACAAGATGACAAAACACTAAAGGACAGGAGCATTGATAATCCATTCAGACGTATTGAACGGGCAATGAAATCATTTCCGATTGACACCTTTGGAGCATCCCTTTTAGGCGTCCTTCTCCCGCCCTGAAACGCCTTCTTGCTGCCGCCGCGAGTGTCGCATGTTTTGTCTGGCTCGCATCCAGCTCGAAACCAAATCAGGTCCTTCTTCCACAAAGCCCGCGTATTCAACCACCACTGCGAGGCCTGGCGCCCTGTAAAACGATCTGGTGTAAATACACCCCCATGGTTCTGTTTTGCTTAACTAAGAACAGTTTGTTGCAGTACTTAAATACAATAATATGTCAGTTTTAAAGGATAATGTCAACATATCTATGAAACTGTGTACCAGAGAAATACATATTGTTAGCTCCACCATGTTACTAACCTTGGATAAATACACCATTGGTCCCATTCATGGATTTGCCATTGTCCATTGGATCTTAGTTGTGAATTGCATAAATGCTATAACCAGCCTCTACCCTAGTTTGGGAGTAATCTCCCCCACCCCCCACCCCCCGTGTCTCTCTCCATGTCCTTGCAGAAATCAGGCAAGCCCGACACCTACGCCAACTGCTTCCCGAGCACAGCACCGTAGTAGACCGTAGCACCCAGGCAAACCAGATTAACCAAGCTAGAGATACCGTGAAGACGGCCGAACTTCTTGTTGAGAGCGATCATCTCCTTGGAATGGGGAGCCGGATCATAGCTCTTCTTGCCGTCGCGAGTTTCTGGCACCCCTCGTCAGCGGAAGATGCCTCCGTCTTAGTAGCCAGCAGTAAGTCATGGCAGAATCTTACCCTGGTGCTTCCGCTCGCGCATGACATTGACCGTCATCGGACGCAGGACGGTCAAGTTGACGAAGCTGGCGATGGCGACGGTGGCCATGGAAAGAAGCGTGCCCCGGTTCTCGGGCTCCAAAAGACCGGAGACGCCATGCAGCTGGCCCGCCCGGCTGGCCGTCAACGCAACGACGACGGGCAGCGCGGACTGGAGAGAGAAGTAGATGGGGAAAGTGGCCGTCTGGAGCTGCGCGAACTGCGGCCGAGGCAGGGCTTTGAATGCGATGACGCCCGACACGAACGACTTTCACGCCAATTGTCAGTGAGTTTAGTGGGAGCTATGGTCGCCGCGGCGGCATGTGCATGCCTACCTGGTAGATCTGCACACCCAAAAGGGTGCCGTAGCTGTACACCATAATATTAGCGGATTATTCGGATAGATGCTTCCTGGAGTACACACCTGAGAACGTGGTATGGACGGGGATCAACCATGTTGTCGGTTGCTGTGTAATAGAACAATTATCTACGCTGGTGGGGAAAGAGGAAAGGCTATGAGTTGTGTAAGTACTGAGGAGCAGCTCACTCAGATTGAACTGGCCGAAGGATACAGTTAAGTTGCCTGATGCATCAAAGGTGGGGGGGGGGGGGGGCGGTTATGGCTTTCAGTTATTGCCACCTCATACTCCTTTCCTACCGCCCCTCTATTTCCACATCCACCCTTCACTCTCCCACCAACACACAGCTCCCACGCACCCACTCTCAAATGAACACGGACCTCAGCGGACATGATGTCATGTGCTTTCGCGTTCCGCTTCCGTCCCAAAGGGGAAATATCACGCGTCTGCCTGCTCACCAGCGTCGACTTACTTTGTCTGCCTACGCTTCTAGCCAAAGCACTTAAAAGCTAAAGCTTCGTTCGATACTCGCAAATCCAAGACATGTAATTTGGTGGCCACACAGCCATGGCGGACAAAGAAGCAACAGTCTATATCGTCGACCTGGGGAGGTCCATGGGGAAGCGATACCATGACCGAGAAGTGACGGATCTCGAATGGGCCATGCAATATGTCTGGGACCGGATTACTGGGACGGTATGTGATTTCCCAACATCTACCTCTGATACAAACTCACAATAATATTGCAGGTGGCCACTGGACGTAAGACAGCCGGAATTGGCGTGATCGGGCTCCGGACCGACGGTGAGTGTCACGAAGCGATGTTGCCAACGCAAGACAAGACTAATCGTTCAAATAGACACTTCGAACGATCTGGAGGATGATGCCGACTTTGCAAACATCTCGGTGTTTTCGGGCATCAAACAGTGAGCGCTGCGTAGTGCGATGGAGAAGTCCTTTGTCTAACCCTGTCATATTACAGGTTCCTGATGCCTGATATTCGAGAGTTGAGTGAGAAGATCGTCCCAAGTCAAACCAACAAGGGTGACGGTATATGCTCCCATTCTCCCCTGACCAGATCTGTGGCCTTCTACTGACGAGCTCAGCCATATCCGCCATCGTGCTCGCGATCCAGATGATCATCATACATTGCAAGAAACTCAAGTACAAACGCAGAATCGTCCTGGTCACCGACGGCAAAGGACCGATGAATACGGATAGTCTCAGTGAGATTACAAAAAAAATCAAAGAGGACAATATCGAACTCATCATCTTGTTCGTGGCGGATGCTCCTCCTGTTTCTGTGATGCGTGCTTACCTCCTCATAGGGGCCCTGACTTCGATGATCCGGACTACGGGGTAAAGGAAGAAGACAAAGATCCGCAAAAGGTAAAACCCCCGCATCAGAATGTCAGGGTAATGACACTGACCCCGGCGCAGGCAGAGAATGAAGCGATCCTGCGAAGTCTAGCCGAAGACTGCGACGGAGCCTACGGAACGCTCGAGCAGGCCGTGGCGGAGCTGCAGATCCCCCGAGTCAAAAGCGTCCGAGTAACAGCAACCTTCAAAGGATTCCTGCAGCTCGGGAATCCCGAGGAATACGACACTGCGCTCCGCATCCCCGTCGAGCGATACTTCCGCACACACGCCGCAAAGCCTCCATCGGCAAGTCAATTCGTTCTTCGCTCCGACCTCGCCGCTTCCCAGGAACAACCCGAATCCTCTGCCACCGCGGCCGCTGCGGCACAGGAGTCTCAGCCAATGGATGGAAATTCTCTGACGAATGTCCGGAACCTCCGAGCGTATCAGGTATCCGACGAGGAAGCTCCTGGTGGAAAGCGAGACGTGGAGCTAGGAGATCTCGCCAAGGGCTATGAATACGGCCGAACGGCCGTGCATATCAGCGAGACCGACCTCAACATCACGACCCTCGAAACATTTGCAGCGCTGGAGCTGTTAGGCTTCATTCAGAGCGGTCGTGTGCGTCTCCTCTCACCCCAGTACAGATATGCCTGGCAACTTATTGACCGGGACCTTTCCAGTATGACCGGTACATGCACATGTCGACGACGAACATCATCATCGCGCAGCGCGCGAACGACAAAGCCGCGCTGGCGCTGTCCTCGTTCATCCACGCGCTGTTCGAGCTGGAATGTTACGCCGTGGCGCGCCTGGTCGTCAAGGAGAACAAGCCGCCGATCGTCGTCCTGCTGGCCCCGTCCATCGAGCCCGACTACGAATGTCTCCTGGAGGCGCAGCTGCCCTTTGCCGAGGACGTCCGGACGTATCGCTTCCCGCCTCTCGACAAGGTCCTGACCGTGTCCGGCAAAGTGGTCACCCAGCATCGCAATCTACCCAACGAGGACTTGATGGATGCGATGGAGAAATACGTGCTGGGCATGGAGCTGAACGATACGGATGAAAACGGGTTAGACCACCTCCTTCCCCAACAAACCTCACAGTCTCAGTTTCAAATGCCGCTGGCTAACACCCCTCCCTCCCCTTCCGCTCTCGCAGAGAACCAATCGACACACTCCCGCTCGAGGATTCATTCTCTCCGGTCTTACACCGCACCGACGCAGCAATCCGTTTCCGAGCCATCCACCCCGACAAGCCCATCCCTCCGCCGTCAGAAACTCTAACAAGTTTCTCTCACCCGCCCCAAGACCTGATCGAGAAATCCCAGCCACAGCTAGAGAAACTCATTGCCGTCGCCGACGTGAAGAAAGGTTTGCACCTCCCCCTTCTGCCCCGGGTCCCCTCTCTCTCCATCCCACTAACAACTTAACAACTACATGAAATCCAGTCCCCCCCAAAGCCAAAGGCCGCAAACGCACCCGCGAGACCGAAAAACCGCTCTCAGGGCTGGACGTCGACGCCCTGCTCCACCAGGAGAAGCGGAGCAAGATCTCGCCGAACAACGCGATCCCGGAATTCAAGCAGGCGGTGGCGCAGGCCGAGAACATCGAGACGATCCGGGAGGCCGTGCGGCAGATGAGCGCGATCCTCGAGGATCAGATCCGCCACAGCTTGGGGGACGCCAACTACGACCGGGTCACGGAGGGGCTGGGCACGATGCGCGAGGAGCTGCTGGCCTACGAGGAGCCGGCGCTGTACAACGAGTTCCTGCGGCAGCTGAAGGAGAAGGTCCTGCGGGAGCGGCTGGGCGGGGACCGGCGGGAGCTGTGGTGGTTGATCCGGAGGAGTCGGCTGGGTCTGATTGACCGGCTGCAGTCGGATCAGTCGGAGGTGACGGAGGAGGAGGCCAAGGCGTTTATGTCTGCCAGTGCTGCTGCCAATTAGGGCAGTTCCAGATTGGACGAAAACCCCACAAATGAATTCATCGAACATGTCATACCACATGAATGTCATGCGCGCCGGGTGCTTACTACATTGGTACAGTACAAGTAGACGATATGAAAGTCATCGCTATCAAGACAACGGCAACAATAACAACCAGAAACAAGATCCGCTAAAACAGACAAGACATATGACATAAAAAAGCCATGCATATGCAAAGGTATTCACCATGCGAAAGCCCAGATCCAGAACCTGATGGAAAAGACTCACAAAGCCCTCCAACCCAACCCACCATAATCCATCACCATATCAAACCAACTCAACTCAACTCAACTCAAGAGATCCTCCCAATCCTCTTCTTCCCAATATCAATCTTATCGCCCAACCTAGAACAAACCCACGAATTAGCAACCCACTTCAAAAAAACCCCTTTCCCCCCACAAAGAAAAGAAAGGAAACCAACCTCGTAGCATCCTCATCCGTCAACTTGAGCAACTCATTCTGCACGACCAACTCATTATTAATCGCGACGCCCAGCTCCTTCTGCCGCTGCACGATGCGCATCAACTCCTCGACGGCGCCATCCTGATCCTGCATCATCTGCTTCTGGAGCTGCAGCACCCCGGTATTATCCAGCTCGCGGGTGCGCTCCGTCTCGCGCCCGAGCACGCGCCCGGCCGCCCGCACCGCCTTCTTCCCCTTGACCGGGAGATTCATCAGCGCCTCCTTGTCCTGGATGGACGCCACGGCGGAGTCGATGCGGCTCTTGGCGGCCATCGCGTTCAGCAGATCCTCCAGCCCGTCCTTTTCCTTGCGCGCGTTGATGAGCAGGTCACGGCGGCGGCGGAGCTCGCCGTCGCCGAGGCGGGGGGGTGAGCCTTCCCCGGAAGAATGGCCGGTGGTGGTGGAAAAGTTCTTGAGGCCCGCCTCCAGCGCCGCGATCAGCGACCCCGCGCGCACAAGACTGCTCTTCGCCCGCGCCGAGCTCTCGTGCTGCCGCTGCGGCGTGGTCTCCTGGTCGCGCCGGGTCAGGTGCAGCCGCGCGTCGTGCAGGTGACCCTTCATGTCGCGGTAGCAGTCGAGCCACAGGGTCGGGTCCGTGATGGTGTTGTTCGGAGCGTCCCCGGTCAGCGACGTGATGCTGCCCGGGTCCGTGATGGCGGCGTGGAGTCGCGCGCTCGTCGTGCTGCTGTTGCTGCTGTGATGATCGTTGAGGGAGTTGGCGTTAGGGCCCAGGCTCGGAAGGTTGAGGAATGCGCGCCAGGCGGGCGAATTGCGCCATCGCGGGTCGGCGGCTTCGTTGATGGCCCGGAGGTAGGTTTCTAGGGCTTGCCGGCGGGATTCGCGGAGGGTCGCGTTCTTGACGGTCGAGGAGAGCCAGGATTTCGGTGGCAGAGGGGCTGGGGGCGCGGCGTTGGCTTGGTTGAGCAGGGTCGTGTGGAAGGTTGTGAAGTCGGAGTAGCGTTTGGAGATGGTGAAGGAGCGGAGGGGGAGGCGGAGGGTGATGTTGTAGATTGTGAAGGGGGGCGAGGTGGTGGAGATGCTGGTCGTTGGGATGGCGATTTCTACAGGCGGGGCCATGGTGGGCTTTGGGCTTGTAGCTTGTACTCAGTGAGTTTTAGACCGGTGGTTGGTGAGATGATAACATAACTTGATGGAGGTATGAGTGAATGAGTGGTGGTGAAGATAAGGAAGCGGTGGAGATGAACTGGAGGCGATGACGATAACCGCTCCAATTCTGCCGGGGATGTTTGTTGTGTTTGGAAGAGGCTAATTTAGAGGCCGCCGATCATTCGGCGGTGAGCCGGAGTATAGTATATCGCATCGAAACAACCATAAATGAAATACCAATTTGCAACAGGGTATCTCTACAATAAATGCATCTTAGATCACCTTCACTCCGTCGCTGCCCTCCAGAACTCGCGCGCCTGCAACAAGTCCCGCTGGCCGTAGTACTCTCCAACCACCGTAATGACCATATCCAACATCGCGCGAATTTGCAGTGCCACCTCCGACGCAGCGCTGTTGCCGTCTGCATCGGCGTTCGGTACCTCAACATCAGCGGCGCCATCGGCTCCAAGACTCGCCTGTAACCGTGCCTTGGCAGCTTCTAATTCACCCAGGTCAGCTTGCGGCGCACTTGCGTCAGCGTCAGCATCCGCATCCGCATTGGCATCTACGTCTACATCTGCATCCCGCATCTCCAGATCACCCTCGACCCCATTGCCTGTACCAGAACCCTCTCCCTCTCCCTCTCCTTCCCCCTCCCCCTCTCCATCCTCCTCCTCCTCACCACCCCCCTTCCTCCCATCCCCCCCCTCCACCTCCCTCATCCTCCCCAAAACCCTAACCGCCCTCTTCCCCAAATCCCGAATCTCGCCCACCTCCTCCGTCCCCAACTGGCCCACCTCCCGACACCGCGCCAGCAAGCCCCACGCCCACGCCGCGATCCGCCGGACCTTGGCCTCGTCCCCGCTGCGCACATTCTCCGACATCACCCGAGCCATAATCCCCAGCACGCCGAGCACGCTCTCCATGTCCATGCACGCCAGCTGCACCGTCTGCGGGTCCACCGCCAGCAGCAACCGGCGCCACTCGCGGCGCGCATTCCGGGAGTGCCGCGGGAGCGAGATCGGGTGGTCGTGGTCCAGCGCGGCGATGGCGTCGGGCGGCGGGGTGCATTTCAGGATGGAGCGGAGGAGGAGGAAGCGGTGGTGCAGGAGGGTGTAATATGTTGATTGGGCGGGGAGGATTTCCAGGTCGGAGGGTTGTTGGTGGTGGGATGATGGTGGTGTGGTCATTGAAGGGCCGGTGGGGGGTTTGCTGTCGTTGGTGGTGGGGACAAAATAGACGCCGTCTTGGTAGATTCCCTCGCGGAGAGTGGGGGGAGAGGTGGTGATGGTGGTGGTGGTTGTTGTGGTAGCGGTTACGGCAGTAGTAGCAGCGGTAGCTTGAGGATGTGGCTGTTCTGTTGGGTTTATCATGTCTGTGCTGACATCAGGGTTCGTAGTCTCTGTTGCGATCGAGGTCGTGGCTGGTGGCGCATTGAAAAGGAAGGGGAGGGAATTGGCTTCGGATCTGGGAGGTTATATTATCATATGTCAGTCATACAGCTTCACATTACTAAACCAGACAGCAGGCATCGACCCACCGGACCATTCGCAGATATTCCAATCCATCTTCCGCCGGTCCGTAGAACAGCTCGTCATCGCCGGCGGTGTCGAGGCCGGGAAAGGCGCTTTTCTGTCCATAGACGGGATGGTTGCGAGGGCGCTCGTAAGGCGTTACCGTCCGCGGCGTCTCCTCTTCATCTTCCTCGTCGGCGTACGAGGCGCGAGATCGTTTCGCATAAGGCGAAGCACCAGATGCTGAAATAGACGGTTTGCGTTTGTCGGGCATGCTGGACATTGCTGTAGGAAGGCGGACTTGGGGAGTGATGGAGGAGGGAGAATTAAACGCGGCGCTGATGATAAGATTCCGCCGGAGAGGGAGCTTGGGCCACCCGCAGTTTTCCCTCGGCTCCGAGACTTACTTAGAGTTAACTTACATGCAACTACGATCATTCCACCTCGTTTGTCACCGCTTGTATATATATGCAACAAAATATTTACGACAAGTGCCAAATAATGAAAATCTCGTCACTCCATTACATTGTTTTATCCAGGGCATATCCTGGTCTAATGACGTCTCTCTCGGTCTTCGTCTAAGGGCGCAGACGCTGGGGGTCACGAGGGAACAACGAAGTCAACCGCACGTTAGGCAAGCCCAGGAAGAACATGACAATGCGGTTCAGACCCAGACCACCACCGGCGTGGGGAGGACATCCCTGGCGGAAAGCAGCGAGGTAGTCCTCGAAGCCCTCCGACTTGGGGTCAAGACCCTTGGCAACCATGGACTCCTCCAGCTCCTTGATGTCGTGGATACGCTGAGCACCAGACATAATCTCCTCACCACGCATGAAGAAATCGTACGAGTTGGAGAAGCGAGGGTCCTGCGGGCAGGCCTTGGTGTAGAAAGGACGGACGGCCATGGGGAACTTGTCCAGCACGTAGAAGTCGGTGTCGTACTTGTCACGGATGATCTGGCCCAGCTGCTTCTCCATCGCCGTGGTGAAGTCGTTCTCGAAGCGTTCCTGCTCGGAAACATCCACACCAGCCTCCTTCAGCAACGCAACACCGTCCATGTAGTTAAGTCGCAGGGCCTTGCCATCCTTGGGCAGCTTGAAGTCACCAGCCTTGGGGTAGGACTTCTGAATGATAGCGATCTGGTCCTTGTAGCGCTCCTTGATCTCAGTGAGGATGAAGACGAGGAGGTCCTCGGCAAACTCCAAGACCTCGTGGTAGTGAGCGCGGAAAGTCTTCTCGAAATCGAGACCGGTGAACTATTTACAATTAGTCTGATTCATATCTAACAAGAACGAACAAAAAGTACCTCGGTCAAGTGTCTGTGAGTGTTGCTGTCTTCAGCACGGAAAACGGGGGCAACCTCGAAGACGTTCTCCATGTCACCGGCAATACACATCTGCTTGTACAATTGGGGGCTCTGAGCGAGGTATGCGTTTCTCTTGAAGTACTTGACCTCGAAGACGTTGCTACCACCCTCAGTAGCAGCACCCACCAACTTGGGGGTGAAGATCCACCGCGAGCCGCTCTTGATCATGTACTCGGTGAACAGCTGGGCCACACCGCTGGAGATCCAGGTGATAGCCTGGCTGGTCTCGGTCTGGAGATCGAGGACACGGTTGTCAAGGCGAGTCTTCAGGGTGACAATGGGAGCGCCGTCCGCATCGACCTGGGGTCCTTCCTCCGTCGTCTCCGGGGGCGGTCTCTCGGCATCCTTAACCTGCATGGGAAGCATCTGGGCGGCCTCAGAGATGATGTAGACCTTGCGGATGTGCACTTCATGGTCGCTCAGGGTAGCGGAGGAAATCGAAACGGCAGGCTTCTTGACGACACCAGTCACCTGGACGATCGAGTTGACATTGAGACCGCCGGTGAACTTGATCATCTGTCTCGAGATGGGCTCCGCGGCCGCAATGACAGCCTGCAGCTTCTGACCCTGCTGTCTCAGCATCAGGAAGGCCAGCTTGGCGCTCTGCACACGGGCATTATCGACACGGGCCACCACCGTGATCTCCTTCTCGTAGTGCTCGTCGGTGATCTCGGAGAATCTCGTCGCGGGGAGGACATCTTCGGACTCGGGGAGCTTGCCGTACAGGCCCTTGGCGGTGTCGTTGGCTTCGGCGGCGGCAGCCTGAGCCTTCTCCTGGGCAGCGCGCGCGGCGGCCTTCTCGGCCTTCGCCTTCTCCTTTGCGGCCTTCTTGGCGGCGCTCTTGCTGGCGCTCTTGGTGGGCTCCGCGCCCTCCGCGGGGGCGTCCGCCGCGGCGGCGGGAGTCTCCTCGGGCTTGGGGCGGGTGGGCAATTCAGAGTCGGCCATGATCACGGGTGGGGGCGCGATGAGGATGGGGTGAGGAGGGGAGAAAAGAGGTGCAAAGCGATAGAACCAGATAAGAGCATCGAGCACGCAGAGCTCCAACTTTCTCTTTTGAGTCACCCCGCCCGACGGACCCCGCTGCCCTAAACCCTAGGAGGGGTGATCACCTGATGCACGGGGAGATAATGTAGAGCTTATGTAATGTGTATAGCATAACTTAGGTAAATCAAGTATACTTCCAGAAACCAGCCTGTTAATTAAGCTCCCCTTTTACCTTACTAGCCCCTGTTCAATATCGCTGTTTCATTCTTATCAAAAGAATTGAGCAGTTTATATAGTTATCTAAAACGTGTGTCGCTAATCACACCTGGTAGGTAGTATGGAAGTCTATAGATACAGAATATATGCTGTTCGCTAAGCATGTTCATGATAAACCCAAGCCAGCTCACTCTTTCTTCATGCCCGCCACTGGGAGCTCTTGATTCCCCACTCAACCGCTTTGCGAACGTTGTCGACGATGGTTGTAGGTGTCCATGTCGGTTCACCGCCACTGTAGACACCAGTTCGAACGAGGATGGAGTGCCACTTGCTACCATGTCCGCTGCGGTAGCTGTTGGCACCGCAAATATCCGACTCCGGGTTGTCACCAATCATGTATACGTTTTTCAAGGGTGGCTGGACATTGGCGCCAAACATCCTCTCCCGGTTGCGCAACAATTGACGCTCCGCAAACTCGTATGTTCCTTGATAAGGTTTGCCAATGACGGTCTTCTTGAGATTCACACCTTTTTCGGGACCTCCGGTCACTGCCGTCCAGATACCCTCCAAGGATTCGCGGAATCCACCCTGGCCAAGACGAGGCAGGTGGTAACTCGCAGCCCACCAGAGGTCAGGATTCGAGAAGTAAAGGTGCGGCTGGCCATCTTGTAGGTAGCCATGGTTCGGAAGATCAGTCCGGCCGTTCTTCTCCGAAAGCGTGCCGATGACACCCTGCGACGAGAGCAAGAGGTCGGTGATAATCTGCGCGTCCAGAGCCCAGTCGCGCGGGTCGTTGAAGACAAAAATCGCATCGATCTTCAGCCCCCTCGAGGGGTCACTGGGATCTTTCGGGTTTGGCAAGGGCTTGGAGATCTTTTCGTAGTAGTCCTTGAACGACCGAAAGGGCCAGATGGCTGGGTTTGCCATGTAGATGTCGCCAGGAGTCACCACATTCTTGAAGCCATACTGATGTGCCACTTGGCGACAGCGGTCGCCTTCTCCTCCCACGACCAACACGCACTTGTTCTCCAAGGGCCCTGGGCCCTCCGTCCCATGCACCAGCTCTGCGAAGGGCGAATGACTCTGGACGATCAGTTCTGCGTCCAGGGGAACATTCAGCTTCTCACTAATCTCAGCCACCCGCTCCGTTTCGTGCTTTCCACCGCCGTTTGTCAACAGAAGGAACGGGATGTTCTGCTCCTTCAACAAAGCCAATGACTCAGCTGCTCCGGGGATGGGCTTGGAGGATCGTAGAAGGACGCCATCAATACTGACATTGAGTTAGCTCATAAATCCCAGTCCCCAGCTCTCTATATCTTACTCGAATGCAAAGGCAAAGTCGGGAATGTTCGCTTGAGAGCTGACGGTCTGGATAGCCCGACGACCGGAGCCTGCAGTGATGCACGACCGGGTGGAAGCACGCTGGAGTAGCGCAAGGGACCGCCGGAGGGAGGTCGATTGCATGATGAATATGATTGTTATGCCTGATATATAGCAATTGACAGTAATCGAGGAGAAAAAACACGCTCAACGGTTGTGCACCTAATGAATCCGAACGAACAGGAGGAGCAGTGGAGGACAAGCGGAGAGCGAAGGCGGAGAGAATGCGGGAGATTCCCTTATCGCTCAGATGATATCATCAAATTTCTCTCCTCCGCAATTTCCGCTCTTCACCATTACTGCAAGCATAAACAAACATCGAATTTCCCCTACAGTTTGCATTTTCAGAGAATCGATACATATACATATAGAGTCTACTATGGAAAGACCTTCTCTCACCCATCATGACCCCCTCTACGTCGCATGAGATCTATCTCCCCACGGAGATAGTCGTGCAGATTATGTCCTATGTCTCCAACACTTCGGATAAAGCAGATCGTCGACAAGCAACTCTCTACGCATGCTGCCTCGTTTCGCGACAGTGGTACTCTGCCGCCATTCCGCATCTCTATGAAAAACCTATATTGCGCTTCGGTTCCTCGTTCACCCAATTCACAGCCACCATCAGCCCTCCGCTCCATGTTGCGCGCAAAAACAAGTTGAAGCTCGGCTCATATGTGCGCCGACTCGATCTGAGCGGCCTCGTCCATCACAGCTCTCCCAGTCTGACAGCCAGACTCCTGGGCAAAGTCAAGGAGAATCTGGTCGTCTTCTCTGCACCGCGTGTATCATTTGCGTACGCTATCCCGCATCCTAAAACCCCGTTTAATTATTTCACCAAACTAACTCATATTGCAACCAAACCAACAGAATCAACAGCCTCCCCGCCCTCTCCAAATGCACCAAACTGCAAAGCCTCGACCTCTCCCTCGTGGGCGACTACTTCCCCTTCCTCGAATTCAAACGCGCCCTCAGCCACCTGACCAGACTCACAACCCTCCGCCTCCCGCGAACCCACCACCTCACCCCTCCGCCGGCATCCACCCCTCCCTCCACAGCCACATCCGCAATCCCCTGGCCGCCGCGCCTCCAGAACCTCCAGCTCACCGGCGACTTCAGCGCCAACCCGGCGCTAGCGCGCTACTTCAGCTGGCCGCCGGCGCTGACGAGCCTCATCCTGAAGAACTGCAAGGACCTCGACAACTCGCCGCTGACGACGCTCTTCCTAACCGACCCGGCCCTGCCCACCACCCTCCGCCGCCTCAAGATCGACCCCTCCAACAGCCTCTCGCTCACCTTCGTCAACCGCCTCCCGCTCACCCTGCCCGACCTCGACTACCTCAGCGTCCCCGGCGACACGCTCGACTTCACCTTCTTCGAGAACCTGGACGAGCGCGTGCAGCTCCTCCGCGAACCCGTCGCCTGGCGCACGCTGGAGCTCGACCACCCGTGCTCCGAGGACACCGCCGCCAGTCTCATGTACTTCACGCCGGGGACGCTCGTGCACGCGCTGCAGCACGGGCTGGCCCATGTGCGGGCCGTGGGGATCTCCGAGGCGTGGGAGTTGAAGGGAGGGGAGGTCGAGGAGATCGATGCGGTGTTGCGCAGTCGGTTCTCCAAGAAATCCAAAAACCAGCAGCAGAGTGGTCAGGTTGGTGTAGGGGGGATTCCGTCGCCACCTACATCTGTCGATGAGGATGAAGCTGTTGATGATGACGACGATGACGACGATGATATCGGTGTCTACTACCTTTAAAAGACAAAAACCCACTCTCCGAACATAAAGTCCAAGAGCTTCCCCCGGTACAATCCTCTTCAACACATGATATGTTCATCTCTCTCAAAACTCCATGACCCTGCACATGAAGCTCGATACATGATATCTACAATATATACCCAAACCCCACACTACAAACCAAACACACTCAACACCACAAACAACCCTATTTTATACTACAAACCCAACACTACAAACCCAACACTACAAACCCAACACTACAAACCCAACACTACAAACCCAACACTACAAACCCAACACTACAAACCCAACCCACAAACCAAGAACAAACACCCCCCAAAGAAAAGACAAAGAACCACAATCAAGAAAAACACCACACTTCCATCGAAACCCCCTTCATCACCCGCCGTCCACATCTTCTGTCAGCATTCGCTTACCCTCTATTCGACCCTGGGCCCCGCATTACATACACGTCACACAAACCAAAAGATTCCAGTTACAGTTACCATCTGAGAGAGTTCATAGTATAGCTGCGTATAGTATGTATGTATACTCATTGCTTCCAGAGCCTTGACTCTTCCGGCTTGCGCTACTTGTGTCGAAACAGATTGAAAAGATATACCTCGATCCTAAAGATATAACACTCGCTCAATTGTTCTAACCATGCCCAAGTAAACTACAGAATGAACCTAAGGACCGTCACTTGGCTGATGCTTTGCATCAGTGTACAGTGATGGAAACCCAGCGACTACCACCCTCAGATAGAAAATGAGCATGCGAATTGCGAAGCTAAGCCAAACGAGGACATCAGGCATGAAAAGGTAGACTCATAGAAAAGAGTTTAAGATTGGTTGCTGTCCCAGAGAAAAAGAGGAATCAACAGCAAGAACTTGCCCAAGCGTCGGGATCGGTACGCCTACGCATCAAGAATTTGGATCGCATCTATAATCGACACCAGGGTTATAGAAGACGAAGAAAAGAAGAAAACATTCGGATTGATGGTGGAATATAAAGTAGAAAGGTTGGGGAGGAGAACAACAACGTGGAGAAAATATAGAAAAGAGAAGACCTCGAAATCTCATAATGCAGCACTCGTCGCCAATTAGATGCGCGCCTTTTCAAGAACATGCCTCCATTATAAAAAGAATTTACACAACTGGCCACAGGCATTCAAGCAACGGACGCAATCACAGCGGGGGCAACGCCCTCTTCCTCCGCCCGAACGGTGATCTTGGTCGTTACTCCAGTCTTGCTGGAGAAAGCCATCTTGATTAGTGCAGCCACCCGGCCTCCGGTCACGGTCTTGCCGAACAATTTCAGGGTATGCGTGCTGTTGCTGAGCGCTACATCGGTGCCCTCCAAAGGCTGCAGTGAAAGGGTGGAGATAAGCTGTTCCGTAGCATCTGTCCCACAATTAGCATCTGGATGGCTCTGAGTTGACTGTCGGAAAGTATGTGCTTACCTGCAATGCCCTTCATGTTGCTGAGCTGAAGAGTCTCGCTGACCTCCTCTCCGTTGGCACCCGTCTGCTCCCATACGTGGTCGAAGCTGCCGGCGAAAGTAGGAATAACATAGTCGCTGCCCGTAAGGTCCAAGTCTTCGACCTGGTATTCGTCCTCGTATCCAGATTCCTCCGCCTCGCCAGTAGTGGGATCGATTTCTTTGCTGGTGAACTTGAGTGTGTTGGTGAAGGAAGTAACAGGGACACTGTGCTCGCCAGCAAGCTTCTTGAATGTAACATAGACAATACCAGGCTCGTTGGTAGCAAGCTTGGCGGCAGGAACAATGAACTCCTCTTCCAGAATGTCTTCCTCTTCTGGAACTGTGACCACGGTCACGTCCTCGAGGACAGTATCGGGGAGAGTGTTCTTGATATCGTATTGCAGAACAATATGCTCCTTGAAAACGTGCTTGACAGCGGTGACGACATACTCAGTCTCGCTTTCCGTAAGTTCAACGGGAGCAGAGGACTTGAGCAACGTGCCATACTCCTTGAGTTCGAGAATCTGCATGAGTTGCTCGGCATATTTCTGAGTGACAGCCACGGTAGCAGCCTCGGCCACTCCGTTGGCCTTGCTCTTCGGGGGCCCGGTGGTGGGTGCCTTGAGTGTGGGTGTCGCGCTGGTGAGCTTCTTCGTCCGCTCTTCGGCCAATGCTTGCTCTTGTGTGACAATCGGAATCGTGGAGACGTCAAAGGCCGCAGCAAATGTTTGCTTGTCATTCGACGTCACGTACATCACGAGCTGATGCTCGAATGTCGACAGGGAGTACATCGATTCTGCAATCATCAGCGCACAATTCGAACCTGACCGCGATGTGCCAGGCAAGACTTACCATTGCTGATGAACTGGGAAGCCTTCTCGTCCTCTTCGCTCATCAAACGCAAGTTGAGAGCGGCGCGGTCACGCACTTCATCATCAACATCATCCAAACAGCGGGTGAGAAGAACGGAGACACTCGACTTGACCTCAGGATCCTTTTGACCAACGCCAAACTTGGCCAAAGCGGTCACGGCGGCAGCCCGGACAATAGCGTTCTCCAGAACGACGCGGTTGTAGATGTAGCGGATGTACTTGGTGGGGTGGGACGTCTTAGGACCTTCCACACCCAGCAGGTGCAGGATTCTGACGGACAGCTTAGTGAATTCACAGTCCTCGATGAACTCACACAGATGCGCAAGAGCTAGCAGACTGGTTAGCTTGAGTCACAACTGCAAACATAAAGGAAGGCTCACCGTCTTCCTTGCTTTCAGGGACGAACTTGATAAGGTCGAACATGCTCTCAACAACACTGCGCTTGAACTCATAACCACCCTCATCTCTCAAGATGCCGCTCAAGAAGGCCAGCATACCGGCCTGCTTGCTGGGGAACTTCAAGCAAAGGGTGCGGATAGCCTCAACAATGGTAATCTTGAACTCATCAGTGATATCAGCCATGAAACCGGAGATCTGCTTCATGAGACGGTCGACACTAGCCTCATTGCCCGTCTTCAGGAGAGTAGTGATGGCGAAGGTGGCGATGGAGCGGTTGGAGTTCGAGATCAGCGACTCGATATCGGGGTTACAAACGTTGACCACATGGGGCTTGAAGGAGGCGAAGTTGTGGAGAATGCGGATGGCCGCAAACTTAGTGATCGCGCGAGGCGAGGACAGGAACAGCTGCAGGACGTGAACCGCCTGGGAAGCTTCCGCGTCGGAGACATCGCGCATATCGCAAATAGCCTTGGCCGCTTCGAAGTTCACCATTTCGTGCTTGTGTCGGAGCCAGCCATCAAGCATTTGCATCATCGGTTTCCGCAAGCCAGGGTCCTCTTCCGCCAACTTAGCCGCCAATCGCACCAGAAGAACCAGCGCAGCAGGGCTCTTGACCACTCCGGCCGCACCATACTGCTGTACCATCTTGACGAGCGCCATCCGGTCGTGGGAGCGCATCTGGTACAGGAGTCCGATCGCGTGGTACTGAGTCATGAAGTTCGACTGCGAAATGGCGTGGGACTGGGAGCTGCCGCCGAAACCAAGGAAACCGGTCGACTGCTTGCCGCCAGATGCTGCCTCCTGAGTCTCGCTCTGCCATCTGCGAACGACATCACGCGCGATAGGGAGGAGATGGTAGGATGAAACCAGGGCTGCGGAGGAAACCGACGGGGTCTTGTCAACGATGGCGGTCTTGATCAATCGCTCGATACCTTGCACGGTGGTGGCCTTTATGGGTTCGACAACGGTCAGCTACTTCTTTTCGTGATTCAGAGTATAGGGTCTGCGCCTACGTCGATAATGCGGCACAAGGCACGGATGGCGTTCGCCCGGTAGAGAACATCACTGCCCACAGCCGTGTCCTTCATGATGATACTGGTCGACATGATCACATCCTCGGCGGTGTTTGCCAATTCCTTCAGGATCAAGTAGACCATTTGCCGGAGGGAGGGGTCCTTATTCTGGAACAGCTTCGAAATGCCGAAGAACAGGGTGGTGGCCTCGTTCGTGGGGAACTGCTCCCCAGTGAACAGCAGGACCGCGATCTTGGTCAGGAGAGTGCGGCATGTTCGAGGAGATATCGGGGAGGAATTGAACAAGCGGGCTAATCCAACGCAAGTGGTGCGAGACAGTCGTCAGTAACGAAGACCAACGTTGAATGCGACTGTTGCAGGAGTGTGTAACACAATGAGAGAGGACTGAAGAGGCTCACCATCTTGAAATACGGAGGTTCGGTCCAACTTGATCATGGTCTGGTCGGCGTCCTCATCTTTCTTAACGTAACTCATGATGGCTGATGGGCTGCAGGGATTGCCGCAGCAGCAATGAGATTATATTGCGGTCTTCAAAGTAGCAAAGGGGAAAGCCCCGTAGGAGGTGAGGGTGGTTGATAGTGGGGGGGGGGGGGGGGGGGGGGGGGGGGGGGATGTGGAAGGATGGATCAATCAATGGTGGCTTTGAATAAGGGCGGGTTTCGTATGACGGTTCGGACGTTGTGCAGGCGGTGGATTAAGCACTACGGCGCCCTCATTATCCTTCCAAGGAGGAAAGAAGAGACAGAAAAGAAGAAGTTGAAAGGAAGCAATCAGCAAGTGGAGCCCGTCCCGAGGGAGAAGTCGCAAAGCAACAGGGACAATTGAGAGGGCAGATGGTGGAGGAGGTGGAGGATGTTTTGGGCCAGACTGGAAGCAGCAGCAGTAGTAGTAGTACCCGTAAGTAACAGCCAGCCAGCAGCAGCCGCAGCAGCCAACAGCGGCAGCTCCTCCTCGTTCCTGCCCGGCGGCCAACACAATCTCCAGGTGGCCTTCCGCGTTTCTGTGGGTGGCTGAGCCACAGGGCGGTGTGGCTGCTGTCGGCCCCCCCCTTGGGTGCAAACACTCCAAACATGCGGCATTGAGACATGCCCCTCTAACATATGTCATTTGTTGAATCGTGTCAACCTGTTCTTCAGATACATTGGAACGCAATATTCACAATGCAGGTCGAAGTCAATCCCAATGAGGATACCGAATGGTCAGTAGCTCTCCGACTACCACCTCCTCATCCGCATGGCTCACCCACCCCCGCAGGAATGATATCCTCCGCAAGCATGGCATCATCCCGGAGAAGCCCAAGGACCCCGAACCGTTGATCCAAGAGGCGCTGATCGAAGCGGAGCGCAAGGCATATGAAAATAGACTCGAGGACAAGGATCTGGACGAGCTGGACGAGCTAGAGGACGAGGAAGACGAGGCATTTCTAGAACAATACCGGTACGGTGATCATGCGAGCAGTCCCCTAGTTGAGACCGCTAACGTATACCACGAAACAACAGTCAAAAGCGACTAGCCGAGCTATCTACGCTGCAGCAAACGAGCGTCCACAACCAAGTCTACCCGCTCCAGAAGGTCGACTACGCCCGCGAGGTCACGGAGGCCTCGAACAGCTGCTTTGTCTTGGTCCATCTCAGCTCCTCGACCGGCGGCAACGTCGAGTCACAACGGTTGACGGAACTCTGGCGGACCCTGGCGGCCAAGTACGGAGATATCAAGTTCTGCGAGATCCGGGCCAACATGTGCATCGAGGGCTATCCCGAGCGCAACACGCCCACGATCCTGGTCTATCGGAACACCGAAATCAAGAGACAACTGGTGACCTTGCAGGAACTCAAGGGTCCGCGCACGACTGTTGAAGGTAAGAGAGGAGGTTTTACTACTGTCCTGATTAAATTTTTTTTTCTTTCTTTCTATTCGCAGGCGCCCACTAACCGCGCGGGCGTACAGACATCGAGAGACTGCTCCTGGATCTAGGCGCTCTTAAGGAGAGTGACGTTCGCCTGAAGAAGCGATCGGACTCATCGGACGATGAACGTCCGGCTATGGATAAGAATAAGTCCATCCGGCCCATGGTCCAGGACGATGATGACGATTGGGATTAGACGCTGCGTCGCGATACGCTTTCGTCTCAAGCGAGATGGGCAGATTGTCGAAGTCGGCAACGATGCAGCCCACGAACAATTCGCACACTTGGCGGATGGATACATCCTTAGTTATCGAGGCGGCAGTCCTATTGATGAGATGGACCAATGTAGCAACCATATCGCACGTCCGGAGCTGGGCTCGGGAGAATGGAAAGCTTTCAGCTTTGAGCCTTGAGCTCTTGCCGTCCTCAGACTAAATTCAGCTTTCCTGCCATGGAAATGCCGACCTGGCTCTTTAATTTCAAACTTGGGCTTTGTCAAGAACAAGACGATGAGATGACTAAGAAGAAAGTTACCATAAATAGAGCCCTCAAATGCGGTCACTGACCATGATTTATAAGCAACATTGCAGACTGAAAAAGCTCATGGTAGGTGAACAGAATGAAGGCCCATGTTCCCATTGTAGTAAGAATGGCCTAAATTTCAACAAGTACGTATACTTCGCGAATCAAATGACCACGGCACCGTTGCGATATTCCGATGATCTCCTTTTCAACGCCAACGAAGGTCGAACAAATGAGGTCGCCCACGTCTTTTCAGAACACGAACGCTGTCGACCAGTGCTCGAGTAAGTGTGTTAGTGATGCGTTCAACAGGACGTCCCATCATATACCAAGCAGAACGCCAAACTTATCATGAACATCCAGAAATCAAACTCGCAAGTAGATGGGTGTATAAAGTAAAATGAGCGAGAGAGAAAAAGAAGTCTACGCTATAAAAACAGGGATATCATATCAACTCGTCCCTGCATGCGGCAGAGCTCTCCTCGATGGCCTTGCGTACCTCACTCTCGCGGAAGGCCGGACCCGTGCCATCACACTGAGCCGCGCCCTTGAGCCGTTGGTAGACGTCTGCAATGTTCAGCGACCCTCGCTTGAAAAGCTCATGTTCTTGGATATATTCCCAAGTGGCTCCGGCATCCAGGAGCCGCTCACCGGTGACCTGACAGGTGGTCACTCTGTGGCGCGGCGGAAGCTCGCCCGTGGAGTCGGAGCCCGGGTTGAAATCGGTGGGTGAATATTGCAGTGGTCCAGTCGTCGTCGGTTCCGAACCCATAGATTGCTGGTTAGGCGGCCGGAACGAGCCGGACGTCGCCTTGAGGATCTCATTTTCCGTAGTGAATCTGGCCAGCTCGCGCTTGAGTCGCTCGTTGTCCGCCATCAGGGTGTTAGATTCCTGCTCTAGATTGTTGACTTTCTCCTCAAGCTCGCGCACATGCCGTTCCTTGCGTTCGCGAAATGCGCGCTGACTATCAAACAGCAAACCATCAGTCAGCGGGCAAAGCTCCCTCGAAGTGGAAACACCCCGCAAGGCAACCAAGGCCCAACGAAATAGGGATTCACATACGCAGCTCTATTCTGTGCCTTCCGCTTAGACTGTGCTGGTGTCACGCTATCCTTCTCCTCGCTGCTACTTCGGCCCGGGTTGAAGTCGACAGGAAGATCATCGGCCTCCAGGGAAGCCCGGTCGAAGTGGGGGTTGGCGACATCGCTGCTGGACACCGATTGCTTGGTCAGGGATTCGGGTGGCGAATGCGGGGGAGGGACAAAAGAAGGAATGCCATGAGCATCCGTAAAGCGTAAATTCGGATCGAAGGGTTGATAATTATGTGATCCCTGATGAAGATAACTCGGTTAGGTCACAGCGTCTCAAAAGGCGTACGGGGGCAGAGGCTGCGAACAAGATGAGGAAAAGTGCCCTGGGCATCTTCAGCACGAGGCACCTGGTCCGGGGTGGGTAGCCCGTGTAGGTTGTATAGTGGATAAGGCTGCTGCTGCGAGTTGGGAGTAGAATAGAAGGAATACTCCATCTCTCCTGCAGTTGAATCCGTCGGGATTCTTGTCTTGTGATTGCTGATAAATGCTGATCAATAATTGAGGATCCGACGGGACAGGAAAGGCTGACGCCAAGAATAATCGAGAGGAGAGTCGGGATAAGAGATGGAACGGAGATGGTGGATGAATCGATGAAGAAAGAACGGGGTCTGGTCCACGGGACACCCACGGAGGGGCGCTTACCTATTCCAGTTGAGTATTACCTTACCTAAGACAGTCTAGACTGGATGGGGGGCAGGGCCATCAAATGCCACCAAACCAATTGAAGGAAAGGTTTGGTTGATGCAGTGGAAGGTTGGTTGGAACCTTGAAGCCTGGAGGAGACTTTGAGGGGCGGCTCAGAGGCCCGAGGGCCGATCACGCCCCCCCCCGGCTGCCATTGGTTTGATCGGGCCACCGCCATGACCACCTGGCACCGTCCACGGTCTTATACCTCCTTACCTATCTGGCACAATATCGCACCTTACGGTATGAGGAATCGGAAACCCGATAGATACGAAATTTCCACGCAAATACCAAGTGCTCAAGAATAACAATCTGTGGGATTCGAGGATTAGAGGCGAGGCTGGAGCTACCGAACGTGACCCGAGCATGCGAATGCCCGAACATTGCCAAGTCCGTCCGCAACGTGCAGCAGCCCTCCTCCAACTGTCCCTGGTGATATGTGATGTGATTGAGTGAGGTTTAGATAGAACGCAGAGCAACATGAAACATCATCAGTGAAACAACGTGAATCGACGCAGAAACCACCCCGGAAGCGACCCTAACCATTTTCCGTCGCCGAATACCCATATGCCGAGACATGCCACTCCCCTGGCTGCCCGAAGCTCTGTATGCTGACTCTAGTCCGCCGTCAAGTCTAAGACCCACACTGCATGACCGAAAAAAACATAGCACGAAAGCGGGAGGACCACCAAAGAAACAGCCATCTTCTTCACCTTGCACATACCCTTCCCCTGAACTTTCACGTCCCCACTGATGCGTCAATAACAACATTATGACAGTCTGAGAACACAAAGAGATAAAATCACGGAAGACAAAAAGCACGCAATCGATATAGAAGGGGCACTGTAAGGCAGAACAGTCCGAGAGGCCGGAAGAGATTGTCGGGCAACAGCGGCTAGTCTCGGATACAATTTGTTGTGCTTGAAAACAGGTTGTTTCGTTCTTGCAATCTCCTTCGGTCAAGCCATCCCGGTCACTGAATGTAGTCTCACAAGCTGAACGATGATCGGAGGAGTAACCATGAGGACCGAGATGGTGAGACGTAAAATAGCCACAATTAGAACGTTTTCAGTCTGCCTTCCAGGCCCTTCCATCAATGAGTTGTATCTCGTTCTTCCAACGCGAAGAACAGCACTATTTTCACGGAAGGGCCTGAGACAGCCGATCAACAAAACGTGACGGATCGAAACGGCGAACCGGAAGACGATCTTGAGCGGGTAACGGGCCAACAGAGAATGCAGTAAGGAAAGTAGTAAAGAAAGATTGGTAAAGGGGAACACCCCCTGGCGAATGAGTCCGAAAGGTTGACTGCAGGCTGCAAAAGGTCACCAGTATCGTCGATAAGCCTGGGCTCCTCAGGATAGATATAGAACAGTGTCAACACGCAGGAAGCTGAACGGAATCCCGAGAGAAAAGATCAAGCTACACTGCTAGGTCGCACAGATCAGTACCACTGAGCACCGTACCCATCGTCCTGCTTCGTACGGCTACGGGCGGCAAAAGCACCTGAAGCAGCAACCCTTGAAGCAGAACGCAGCCTAACGCCGAAGACTATGAGATTAGTCAGATTCCAGAATTCAAGTCGACCTCTACGTGCAGGGTCATAGCAAAGAACCAAACGCAGAGGAAAGGGGTTCCCTACAACGGAACCTAGGTTTCAGATACTCACATCCTGTCACTCCCTCCGACAGCACGGTTGGTGTCCGGGGTGTTGTCAAGAGTTCCACGTTCGATGACCTTGCGGCGCTGGCTGGAGATAGCACCGGGCTTGGCGGCAACACCCGGAGTACCCATGGGTGCAGCAGCAGCAACACCCTGGCGGCGCTGCTGCTCCTCGGCCTCCTTGTCCTTCTTGTTGGCGTCCACGATCATGGCGGCATTCTTCTGATACTTGTAGACGGTCCAATCGAAGACGTAGTCATACTGGAAGGACTCGCGAACGAAAAGGTCGCGGAAGATCTTGCGGAGGTATGAGTAATCCGGCTTGTCATCGAAACGCAGGGAACGAGTGTAGTTGAGATAGATGGAGAACTCGTTGGGGAAACCACGGCACAGAACCTCGGTAGGGGTAGTCATCTTCTTCTCCATGATACGGTCGTACTTCTGCTTCTTGGTAGCAGCCTTCAGGCCCTGCCAGGGCAGAGTACCGCGGCAGAAGTAGAGCATGACATAGCCGAGAGACTCCATGTCATCACGGCGGGACTGCTCGACACCCAAGTGAGTGTTGATACTGGCGTAACGAGCAGTTCCAGTGAGGTTCTTGTTCTCGCGGTAGGGAATGTGGAAGTGAGTCTTCGGGTCGCGGTACTTCTTGGCCAAACCAAAATCAATCACGTTGACCTGGTTACCACGCTTGCCGATACCCATGAGGAAGTTGTCGGGCTTGATATCACGGTGGATGAAAGACTTGGCGTGGATGTACTCGATACGAGAGATGAGCTGATCGGCGAGAAGGAGCACCGTCTTCAGCGAGAACTTGCGGTTGCAGAAGTTGAAAAGGTCCTCCAGACTGGGACCGAGCAGGTCGATGACCATAGCATTGTAGTCACACTCGGTACCGAACCAACGCACGAAAGGAATCCCGACACCACCGGCCAGAGACTTGTAGACACGGGCCTCGTATTCGAGCTGGGGGTGCTTGGCCTTGACACTTTCGAGCTTGATAGCGATCTCCTCGCCGGAAATGATGTTGGTGCCTGGAAGACAATCAGTTCCATGTTCTCGAGGAAATATTTGATCCTGGATCGATCACATACCAAGGTAGATATCACCGAAACTACCGCTGCCGATCTTGCGGCCAATGCGGTATTTGTTACCGACACGCAGATCCTTGATGTGCCGTTAGCAAAGGCCATACTGGGCGGACGCGTGCGGAGATTACTCACCATAGTCGTCATTCTGATCAAGTGTAGTCACAGCAACCGGCTGTGATCGATCTCTTGACGAACTGTGCTAGGAAAACTCAACGATTAGCCAAAACCCGGTCGAAGCAGGATGACGAAGGCGATTGATAACGTTGCAAATAAGACAACAGACACAATTGAATACTAGTATGAAAGGAAGGAATGGAGTGTGTTGTAAAGGATGTTCAACCAAACACAGCATGCAGATGGGTGCTTAGATAGTGAATAGGACGGACGTGGAGCAGGCAAATGGGGTGGGGAAGGCTGACAACGGCCCCCAAACAAAGAAGCAGTAACAACGCAGACGTGACACGATGAGGGAAAGTATCTGGGGAGGACGAATGAAGGCTTACCAGGTATAGACCAGAGATCTTACAAAAGTAAGATGGGATGAGGGAGGGAGGTGAATGATTGAGGGGAAGCCGACCGTGAGAATCCGAGCGGATAGGCGAAAAAAGGCGGAGAGGGAAGAGAAAGGGGAGCTGAGGTGATGGGCCTTTTCAAACGGGCGAACACGGGAACGGGTCGACGTGGACGTGGACGGAAAAAGAAAGAGAGCAATGAGACGAGACGGACAACGACGCTACGACGAAGATAGAGGAGAAAACACGAAGGAAATGAAGGCAGCGATATCAGCCAATATTCATTCAAGGACCAAGCCTTGACAAGGGAAAGGTGGTTTGAGGAAGAAGAGGAGGAGGAGGAGAAGGGAAGAGAGGCGAAGGGAAGGAGAGGAGGTGGTGGGTGGGAAGAGGAAAATGAAAGCAGGTCAAATCGAGTAGAGGGGGGGGAGGCGGGTAAGAGAGAGTACAGTAAGAGAGAGAGGGAATTGAGTGATAAGTTTAGCACCAAGCAGAGACAAGACCCCAAGCAAATGCAGTGGTTGGTTGCGTTGGGTTGGCCCCGGTCTGGCTCTGACTTCACGTTTGGGTGAATACGCAAAGATACGAGATGGTAATTTTGGGTAAGTATAATGTACCCCAGTATACGAGTACATAGTACGGCGTAGCTCCAGTATATAGGTATATAGTCATTAGACCTTGTGCTTGAGGACAAGACATCTACAGTCAACTAACCTGTGGTAGTGAATGGAAAACACTCCGAACACAAGGCGAATTCAATCACCATGGAAGTCTACGACTAGTTCTCCCAATTGAAGCGTGGCTGAGAGGATGAGTCGGTGAAGAACAAATTGCACATCTCCCGTCGGGTCTGTCAACGGGTGGCCAACTTCTGACAGTCATCAATTCTTGCCATTCTAGCCTGGTGGCAGTCGTGACCCAATTGCCCTTCAATCGAAACCAGGAAAGCAGGCAGAAGAGGCGGGCAAGTAGGCTGACAGTTCGACAAGATTTAGGTCTTGACGCCTCCTAACTGTCTCATGCAGGGGGAAGTTGTTTGGTCCTCGATAGAGGAATGACTATACACATGGAGGGATTTCAAGCAAGCCATCTCCAGGGTGATGTGACTTTGGGGGGATGCCAGACCCAAGGGACTAACGTAAAAAAAAAATAATAAAAAAAATCTTAACAACAAATCTGCGTTAATCTTCTAGAATGTCATTTAGCTCAGTGGCGAGAAGTCAGTCAGTCCATCGATCATCAATCATCCAGTCGGTAACGTAAGGTTGTGCCGGTTGTGGCGGACAAACCGTACGTCTTGTATTTTCCGTCCGTCGCCGCCGCGCGCCTTCCCCGCGGTTTGAAGGAAGGAAGGAAATACCTCATCATTATTACTAGTACTATTTAAATACTTGGTCGATGATCTAACCACCTGCTCTTCCCCAAAGTACAAACCCACCGTCAACATCTACAATCAGTCAAGATACGGTTGCCTTTTGTCCAAATAATTTGGCCGCAACTAGCACTGTACAGTAAGTACTATGAGTAGGTACATTAGGTACGTCTCCGTCCGTACACCGCGAACCCATACTAAAACCAAGCAGGGCAGCCCAGTCCTGCCAATCCACCCACTGCACCTCACTTAAAAGCTCTTACACCCGGCCCTCCTTCAGGTAGCAGCAACCTGGCGACTAAAACCAAGGCTATGTATGCTCAGCACAGAATTTAATTACCTCAACCCCGAACATCATCATCATCAGCATCATCATCATCGCCATCAGTCCAGTCCCTTTCATTCCCACCAATCGAACCCCGGGCGGTGACCCATTGACCGGGCAGATGACCTCGTACACTGGGCAGTCCACGGTATCTTACGGTACCAAGTTACATGTAATAATGATTAAAATTACCGCCCTCGTTTTGGGCAGAAACACCCACACACAGGCCATGACATACCTAAGTAGTACACACGCGCGCGCGCCTTATCGGTGACAATCAGATCAATCAATCAATTGACAGGCTGGCTGGGTCTAGGTAGGTAGCTTTGGGATCGAGACTTTTTTTGCACTCATGCCTTGCCCACAATCCACACCCACCCACCCACCCACCCACTCACCCACTCCTCACGCACCCCCCACACACCCTTGTTTTTTGGGTTTCCAGGTACGGATACAGATGGAGAAAAACGAGCCGGGGGGGGAGGTGATAGATCACAAACACAAACCATCGATCGTGAGGGTTCTACTGAGGAAGTATAGTCTTTACATTACAGTAATCAAAAATATGATCGATCACACACAGATCGATCTGCCAGGTAGATAGATGCATTAACCAAATCAAAATATGAACTATCGCAAAAAGCTGGCTGGCTTCAACCCGTGCTGGAGTTAAGGTTGTTTCTACACATACTCACGACTGCGTACTCCGTAGGTGGATCTAAATTTCTTTCTTTTTTTTGGGTTTTGGATTGAATCGAATAAGCCGAACAGGTTAACCCAATGCGTTGGTTTACCACGAGTCAATTCCCTCAACAAGCAAATCATACTTCAAACGAAAACACTGGAGGTGCATATATCGCTGGCAACCAAGTCCTCCATACTTATTTAACCTATGACAGTCAGTAGTAGTTAGTAGCAATCGGGTCACGGCTCTTTCGGCTGGTTTGCCAATACTTTGGTTAACTTACTTATCTCCAGCGGCTGTATATATACAAGCCGAGCACGGGACACAGCCAGATAGCCAGCTCACGGCTACGGATCTCGTCATCTGTTGTGTGGAGCAAACAATACGTATCCATACTCAACTGTATATCTACTCACCACACTTACAACTGACTATATGATTTTTCATTTTGGTTACATTGACACCAAGTAGCCAAGACATTTTATACCAGGTCCGAAGACCTTCCGTGGTGAAAGATAAATTATACAACACCAACTTATAAAGCTGATGACACTTACCGAGCCGACCAATGTCGAGCTGACACTATACCTTCGGCTCTTCCCTACATATTAATACTCCACCAGAGTGAATGCTACTGTCAAGTGGTAGTGAGACAAGTGGCATAGCGAGGCGGAGGCCAAGGTGAACTGTATCCTGGTACTTCCTAGCCATGACGTTGGGGCCTAAGGCATGCAAGCTGACATAGCCTTTGCTTTGCGAATATGTCTGCTATGAAGGAACAGCAGGTCTGGCGCCTACGGATGGCGAAGAGACAAAGAGAAAGAAAACAGGGCAATTACAGTTACTTGCATTGAGTTCAGACTACATAGTCTTTCGTACATATCGGACAGAGGCTTCGTTAAGAATTAACAAGAGGTAATGATACAGTCCAAGTATGGAACTAGAATATGAAGGGGTATAAACGAAAAAACGCGAACGAAGGGCAAGGAAAATGGGTCAATGTACGCAAGGAGGTAGGGGCATGGGATCGAGGCAAAGGAGAAACAAGTTGGCTCGAGAAAGCCGGAGACACGATTTCTGAAGCCTCTAGGCAGCTTGATGGCAACCGGGCCACGAAGTGTCAACATATGAGCAGAAGATGGTAACTGCCCAAATGGTCATCTGACCAAGTGCGGCGACCAATGACTATACCCAGCAGCGAAACCTTTTGGAGTTTTATGGAGAACCGCAGCCTGACTTTCGACAAGCGAAAGACAAGTGATGTCACCCTGCCTCCTTAGATCATGTTCGCTGTGGCGTGATGTGTTGCTGCGTTTCGAGGTTGGATCTTTTCGGGAGAGCTTGCTCTGGCTTCGTCTTCATCCAACCGCCGTCTCCATTCAGCTAGACTGTCACTCAACCCCGTCTCCTTCGTTGGGGTACGATCAAAATCGGACTGCGTGCTTAGCCGGTAGTTGCGGTTTGTGCTCTCCCAGTGGCTACGCAAAGCTTCCAATTCATTCGCCAACGAATCCAAGGCCATTGAGTTACGGTTGTCCGGGAAAGCATCATCTTGCGACACAGCACTGTCGGCACGGGATCGTCGGCTTGCAGCACCGATAGTGTTGCTTGAGGCATTGCTGTGGGTGCGCGAAATGCCGTTCATTTGCACAGGCTGCGATTGGCGACGGAATTGACCGACAGACGCCTCGACCTGATCGAGAAGCATGGTGACTTTCTGCTCAGCATCAGACGCCCGGTTTTCAAGCAGAGCGTTCTCACTCTTGAGCTGTTCCAGCTCTGCACGACTCCGCTCAGCTGCTGCTGCAAGCTCCTGTTGCACGTGCTCGAGCTCGGATTGAGATCTGGTCTTATCCGCCTCGAGGGTAGCAAGTTCGTCCCGGAGCCTCTTGATCTGCTCCTTCAAGTTGGCAATCGAAGCCGATGATTCTTGCTCAAGGTCTGAGATCGATTTCTCAAGCCTGGTTCGCTCGGCCTCCCACTCGGCTGGAGCTTCTGACGGCCCGCTTGAGGCTTCGGCTAGGGCGGACTGTGCCTCGTCTAATTCGGATTGAAGCTTGGCATTTTGAGACTTGTACCTGGCGAGTTCATCTTTCATGCGCTTCAGCATCTTCTCCGTGCCCTTGACATAATGGACGGCAGACTGGTAATCATTCTCGAGCTGCTCCAACTTCTCCCTATACGTGCGGTCGGCTTCCTGCTCACGAGACTCGAAGGAAGACTTCAGTTCCTCGTGGGCTTTCATGCTAGCTGAAAGCTGCTGTTCCAGTTCGCGAAGTCGACCTGCCTCAGGGGTACCGAAACGAGATCCAGGGGATTCCAGGTGAGGCGAGCGACGGCTATCAGAGTACGAAACACCCCGCTCACCGAGAAGATCTTTCAGAGCGGCATGTTGCACAGCTAGCGCACCAGCCTCGCGATGTTGGTTCTCCAATTGCGCTTTCAATTCGCGATTGTCAGCGGCATGGGTTTGGCTTTCTTTCATGGCGGCCTGAAGTTGCCTGCGCAGCTGTAGGCCTTCTCGGCTAGCCTGCTCCTGGTATGCCTCCAGTCCAGCAATCCGCTCCTCTGCACGGCGAAGCTTTTCAGCCGCCTCATTCGCAGCTGTTTGGCTAGTTTTAGCCAGCTCGTTGGCTCTCTCGACCTGAGCCTCCAAGACGGAAACACGCTGGTCAGAGAGAGATCGAAGAGCGGTGTCCGAATCGATGGATGACGCGCGATCAAGTCCCGACAGAAATGCGTTCTTGTGCGTCTCCGCTTCTTTGGAGTGAATCTCGATTAGCTCCTCCGCGTCTCTGAGGCGACGGGTAGCATTTTCAAGTTCGGCAGTTCGCTCTTCGTGCTCCGACCTCAACTGAAGAAGCTTTCTCTCTAGTCCCTCCCGACGCTCACGCTCGTCATCCAACTGTCGCTCTAGAAGAGCAGATTTGTCAGAAGAAGCGGTCACCGCTTCCCGAAGACTGCCAAGATTATTGCCGTAGTCTCTCAGTCGGGAGGTGGATTCTTCAAGCTTCTGCGTCAGTTCCTCCTTGTCCAGAGTCAATTGTTTAACGGCGGACTCGGCTTCGGAACGCAGCATCGATTCCTCTCTGACAGAGGCTTCGGCCTGATGAAGCTCTGCACGAAGACTTTCAGCTTCAAGTTTGCTGTTGTTCATCTCAAGCTCTGCCAGTCTCCTTCTCGTCGCTTCACATGTCTCTTCAGCCAGTTCTCTACCCCGCTTTTCCTGTTCATACTCAGTTGTCATCATCTCAAGCTTTGACTTGAGGTCGTTTTGGGCCGCCAGAGCCAAAGCAAGTCTTCTGCTGATCTCCGTAGTTCGTTCCGAGATGGCTTCATCCGAATCCTGGGCGGGCCCATCAGGTTGTGGAGTACCTCTCTGACTGCCGCCGTGAGCTGCCAACTTGGCACGGGAATAAGCTGCCTCGTTGACGGCGACGTCACGCTGGTGTTCGACCTCCGCCACCCGTTTGGACGCAATGGCTGCCTGGCGGTCTACAGTCGCTTGCATCTTGGCAAGCTCTGCTCTCATTGCAAGGAAGGCCTCGATTAAAGGACGATCCTCGTCTGTTAGTGCATCCGCGGCACGCTCGTCCATCACGGGGCTGTTGGACGAATTTGGGGTGTATCCAGCCTTCTTTGCCAGGGCAAGCTCAGAAGCATACCAGGCATTGCGACTCTTCATGGCTTCGAGCTCCTTGATCAGGGCCTCCTGGTGAGCAGTTAGCCGGGGAGACCGCGGCTCGTCACCTGACCTAGAATTTCGAAAGCTGCGAGACTCTATCGACCCATCAATGCTGGCATTGCGACCTAGGATGGACTCATCAGCGCTGTCCATAGAGCCGCGCTGCCGATGCTGTCGCAACGACCGCTGCCGAGCCGGCGCACTAATAAGGGGAGCAGCCTCACCGGCCTCCATGGCCTTGGCAGACATTCTTGCTTGTTGCTGGGTAGGCGTACGTTGACCTGCAGGCGAGGTGCTTGATTCTTGTAACGGCTTGAAGTCTTTCGGTGAATCCTTGACAACCGGTGAATCCCTGTCCTTCTCGGGTGCCACTGCTCGAACAGTGTCTACCGGAGGTCCTCCATAGACACGCTCCGTTTTCGTAGGAGTTCTGCTCCGGGGATTGACGGCATGTTGAGGGCCATTGCCTCTGGGACCGGGCGTAGGGGCTTGACCCGGCGGAGGAGGCCCCGACGGTGGCGCCTGGGCTATAGATGCTCTGGGCAGCCGAGAGCCAGGTCCTGAGTTGGGTCCAAAGTCTGCCGGTCTGCCTGTGGGACTTGTCACAACGTTCTCCCGCGGCTGGTTTGCCGGTCCAGGTCCACGTCGTTGGGGTTCCGGGTGTTGATGTTGTGCCTCACGAGAAGACCGCCCGGTCGGTTGAGCGGAGCGGTCTCCGCTCATTTTCCGCATCGTCTGGATTGGACCCCTGTCTCCACCTTGATTTTCGGCTGGGTAACGGATCTTCGCAGTATCAAGGATGTATGCCATGCTAAGTTCTATCGGGTCACGCGGCGCAGAGCTAGGCTCGCCAGCTAAAACAATGATCTGTTTCCCAAAAGCCGTCATGCTGTGACCCGACCTAGGGGAAGGGGCGGGGCCCATGTTCTGGAAGGAATACCATCGTCGTGTCGTGATCCGGAAAGCAGCGAGGTCACCCAGATCGATACCTTCGTCTGTTCGGCCTCCGAAGATATACATCACATCGTTCACGATAGCTGCAGCATGGCCTTCCCGTGGCGTAGGGATAAATCCGACGCAATCCAATTGAGACCAAGCGTTGACGCGTGGGTCGTAGCACCACACGTCATTGAACCACTGCACGCCATTGGTTCCTCCAAACCTATGGGAATATTAGTCAATCGAACATGCCAGTTGTTACAGTTCATCGACGTAGGGAAGGATGGGTGTCATACAAGTAAAGCCGGTCGTTAAAGCTCACAATGGTATGGTTCGTTCTGGCCGGAGGGATTTGGCCTGGAGGCGGACCGCCCTCGTGGCTGTTCCGAATCAGGAACTCCCACTTGTTGGCGGGGTTCTGGAGTTGATTGAGATCAAACGCAACCAGGTCGTTGAAAAAGAAGCCCTCAACCTGCCCACCGAAGACATAGAGTTTAGAGCCTAGGATGTTGAGGGTATGACCGTAGCGTCCAGCGGGTCGGGGCCCAGGAGGAATCGATCTCGACCATTGGCGGGACGCTGAGTTTTGTCAGAATTGCACATTCACTGAAAGCGACAAAAGGGGCGGGACGAAGCACAAACATACACGTATTGAGAAGATAAAGAGTGTCATCCAAGGTGTCACTCTCGTCTACCTTGGTGTCACCGCCGAACACAATAAAAGCATTGCCAACTAACAAGCTTGCGTGGCCGACTCGTGGACCCGGCCCTTCGGAAACGGTAGCGATGGGTAGACAGGACAGATTTCCCGTACTACTTTCCAACATCCAAAGATCACCCTTCACGGTTGATCCGTCTATCAAGCCACCCATCATGTAAATGTCACCTTCCTTCGAGGCCACCGCATTGATCGCTGCGCCATATCGCGGGAATGGGACATTCTGAGCATTCGAGAAATTAAGTCGTCTCTGTGACCAGGGGTAGAGCGATGCACCGGGACTGTTATTCGGGGAGGAGTTGTTACTGTTTGCCGGTGGTGGTTGCTGCGGTCGTGGACCCTATATACCAGGAGTTGATTAGCCATGGCGTACAAAGGAGGCGCTCATATCACCGCTTGCCTGGGGACAGGAGTTGATTGAGACGAGTGTCAGGGAGACCTGGAAGACTAACCTGCGACTCAGATTCGGCCCTCTGTCGCATGCGCGGATGATCGGGGCTGTTGATGCTTGTCACCGAGTTCAAGGAGTTATTATAGCTGCTGCTAGGGGTAGGTGTGTGCGAATGGGCTGAATCTCGTTCCTTCGGTCCGGTGGGCGCAGTCGCCGGTGCGTTCGCGGGTGCTCCTTCCGAGCTATGATTGCTTCTGGTCGCCGGAGGTAGCCCAGAACCCTGCTGGTGTTTCTTCGATTTAAAGAGGAATGCCATCGTTATAATTGAGTCGTTAACGGTCGTTTCGAACGCAAATCAGCTAGAAATACAGGGAAAGAAAGTGAGACGGGAGAAGCGACTGTCCGCTTCACGACGCCTCTGTTTGCCAACAAAAGCTCAATTGGTCTGGAATTGAGAGAATGGTAGTGGTGCGATCAACCGCACAATGAGCAAAAGGCGCCAGGCTCTAGATCTGATTTGAAGGAGCGAATATCGGCCAAGACCGACTTTGCAAATCAAGAGGACCGCTGGCGATAAATGCAGGAACCAGCAACCGTTGCGTGTTTGTTCCTGACAAAGGCGTTGACGGAGGGAGCTACCACGGCGCACCTCCAATCAGTCCAGGTCGCTTTCACGTCCTGCGACAAAAGAATTGTGCTGTTAAGTCCCTCCTTCTATTTCCAAAATAACCTCGCCACAGTGCAATTGCGACTCTGTAGAAGCATAGGGCAACTGAGGAGTCGAAAAGCGGTAGATAGCAAGCAAGCAGGTAAGCAAGCAAACAAAGAACAAGGATAGGGAGGAGGGGGGGGGAGGGAACGGGAACGGCAAGGGCCCCAGAAAGAAGAGAGATCAGTTGGCGGATGGGGATGTATCGGATAGAACAGAATTTCCAGGGAAAGATCCAAAAAAACCCCAAAAGAAAAGGAAGCAAAATTCAACAACGGGAAAACACGAGAAAGCAAAATACTGCTAGGGCCAAGAAGAGCCTTAGGGAGACTTTGAGGGAACAACAGATGAGGGAAGGAGGATGAGGAGTAGGAGACAGCGAGCGAACGAGAGAGACAGGAATAATGCAAGACTCCGGCGTTTCACACTTTCTAGCCAGCATGAGATAATTCCCGGTTTGGGTTTGGGCGGGTTGTGGTTTTTTGGGGGGGGGGGGGGGGGGACATGGGAGGTGCAGTAGGAAGGGGAGCAAGCAAGCCTTTAGAGCACGGAGTACCTGTAGTCCAGTAGTCAACGTAGCCCTGGCAGGCAGTTTAGGGGGGAAGAAGAAGAAGAAGAAGAAGAACAGAGGGGACAGTGCGACACCGCCTCATTACTACCTACAATACACACGTACTGATTGATGTGATGAGCTTGGTTATGCGTCTCCTCATTGATCATGTTTTTCTTTTTCTTCTTTCTCTCTCTCTCTGACTTGTGTCTTTGATCATCAGCACATGACCCTCAGATAAATAAGCTTCGAACGTAATAAATTATACGATCTAAGAGAGAGAGCGGATGCAACCATTTGCACCCACGAGGACATTGATTGATTGACTGATCCCTCCAGATACTAGGTAGCTCTCTGTCCGTACATTCCAATGAACCCAGCCAGCCTACGATATGATTAATTGATACATTTCACCCACTCTCCGGATGCTCTTGCTTGACTTATTCTGCCACAAGCTCAATTACACAAAATCTGAAGCTTGATCCTCTACCAAATAATCTCTCTCAAGTGCTCTATAATTGCCGGCATGTCGACAGTCCATTTGGCCGATTGTGCGTGCGCGCACGCGCAATGGTTCCAGCCATGTTTAAACATCCAGTTCCACTGTCATAATCACAAGTTAGTTGATTGCGAGTCAGGGACCACCGTTTCAAGTGCGGCCTGTGGGGAATCGCTCTGCAGGAACCGCGGCGAGAGGCTGGTGGTATCCAGGTGGTTCCTAAACTACCACCACATCAACATTTTACCCCTCCCAGCATTCCACCTTGGAGTTATCTTAAGTCAAAACCTGAGAACATCATAATCAACAGATGCATGATGCACACCCGAACAGCATGCTCTAGAGCAATGATAGTGGTAGGAGGGTGGTGGTCGACCATCCTCATAATACACTGGTCAACTCAGACCTCAGATTGGTCACTGGGCCCATCCCCTGCCGAGCGACCACCGTCGTTCATGCAGGAACCAGGCATAGTGCTGTACTGTACCTACATGGGTTCTGAGCCGGTGCCCCATCTATAGTTCCCCATTAATGTACCTCTCACAATTCTCCAACCATCGTCAGTTGTGGATTCCGATCATGGTTCCATGTGCACTCCGTATGTGGCTGCTTCGCGCCTGCACATTCCTCCACTTGGCCACACATTGCTGGAGTGGAAGGAAGACCGACAGTGCCTGTCTAATGATGATGACTGGCTGGGGAAGAACGGTGGCCGTAACCTTCGTATATCTTAGTGCTGGGACAATCGGGTTTAGATCTGCCCGTCGCGAGGCACCTTTTCACCAATTTCGGTACCGTCCCAGAAAGCAGGACAGGACAGTTCCAGGGGTCAGCGGAGTGGGAATATCGGGCAGACAAAAAGAATCAGGAATCGGAGAAAGAGAAATAAGCAGAGAAGATAAAAGAAAAAGGGGGGGGTGCTGGTTCGATGATTCTCCAACTTTTTTTTCTCCCTTCTTCCAATGCGGATCGATTAAGTCATGCGTGATCGGAAGCCATCTTCAACGGCGCGCGGATGGATGGACATTGGATGGACAGGAGGAAATTGCGGATTGCTATTATTGTTCCGCCTAGGAGTCTGCCCAGTGGGCAACCGGCAACCTAAGGAAGGGCATGCATGCATGGGGCGTGGGATGGCCGGCACTTCGGACCATGCCCTGCTAACCTCAAGCCAGGCGGCTGTCGTTTCCACTGCCTATCATCACCACTGGACAACTACATACAAGGACCTTTAATATCCTTTCACTATACTCCGTACTCATTCGAATTCTATCCAGCCCTGCACCTATATATAGTATTGTCCCGCTCAACGATGCCCAGCTTGATGATGATGCTAAATACTAAAATATTAAGTACTCCATTCTATTGCGCTGTTTCAATTTATGAACGTAGCGTGCAGGTCCTTTGCGGTCGCCTTGCATGGGACGACCAATAGTAGCCAGTTTTTTGGATTGAGTCATCACCATGGACTGCGGACACTATTCTAGAGCCTTGATTTGCTAGAAGTCGTCCAAGTTCCTCAAGTCATAAAGTTCACTGAAGATACTTCGTAGTGCATAGAGATAAACAAAATGTACGGAGGGAGTATGAGTGAGTTAGAATACTGCCACTGATGTAATGCCGACCGCCGCGGCGGTCTGCAGATTAGCGGCCGCCGGCGATATCGATATTCCGGGCCAACTCGATGCCAAGCAGGATCACGGCCAAAGCTCATAGCACTCTCAGGTTACTGCAAGACATCATCATTCAGCTCTCTGCACGCCCCAGAGCTTGTGCCAGCGGCCTCAACGATACGAAGGGCTGGGGAGCCTCACTAATCAATCACATCCCACTAGCTGGCAAATATTCCCTTTGGAAAGAGTGGTACTCTGGTCGATTGACCGCCCGCTCTCCGCATCGGGCGTATTGGATCTGCTTCCAGTGCATGCACTGTGACATGATTGTTGATAAGGTGAGAGCACACTCGCTTCTACCCCACAATCTTCAACACCTGGAAATTCACCCACCTTCTCTCACTGTCACCTTGGATCTGACTACTTCTCCCATATCATCAGGCGACAGTTCATTTCATCGTACTGGATTGTACATGATGATTATCTGCGCGCTACAACAGCACCGGAACTAGAAAATGGAGCAGAATAATACAGACCACCGACAGGCCTCGAGCCTCCAATCCGAACCCCGAAAGCACCCACACAAGTCCGTTCGTGTTGCTTTTGGCCCTGACCTCGAAACTCACATTCCACCCCGCGACATCTCCCCCGCGCCCGTTGCTGGACACCACCGATCCTTCACCACCGTGGAGGCCAAACCGCCGCCTGTGATCACACCGGAACGACCGACGAGCTCGTCCGCCGGCGAGAACTCAGTTATCTTCGATGTCAACCCGCGCCTGACTATGGATCGTCCGTCCGAGTCTGCGCGCCCGACCGCGGCCCTGAAGAGAGCCAGGAGTGATTATGGACCTCGAGTGGGATTTGATAAAGCTATCAATGGTGACGAAGAAGAAGATATTGCGATGCGCCATGGTTGGCAGGAGGAATATACTTCAAGCGAGTACTTGAAAGTCCTGCATTCGGTGAGCAGTGGCGCTACGCCCCAAGTGCTAGGTTGTCCTCTAACAGGCGAATCTCTACTAGAATTTCTACATGTATTTCACGGAAAAGCGCCATGAGACGAATGGAATCCCACGCGACCCTGTCGGAAGCTGGCCGAGTCAAGACTGGCGCATGAAGGACCGTCTCAAAACCGTTTCTGCCGCGCTTGCCATCTGCCTGAACATCGGCGTTGACCCCCCGGATGTCGTGAAGACCAACCCTGCGGCAAAGCTGGAGTGTTGGGTTGACCCGACCTCTACCACATCCCCTGGTGGCTCCAACAAGATCATGGAGCAGATCGGAAAGAAACTACAAGAACAGTATGAGACGCTAAGCTTGAGAACTAGGTACAAGCAGTATCTTGACCCTTCAGTCGATGAGACCAAGAAGTTCTGCATATCATTGCGTCGTAACGCCAAAGACGAGAGGGTTCTCTTTCACTACAACGGTCACGGTGTTCCTCTTCCTACCCAGTCAGGCGAGATTTGGGTTTTCAACAAGAACTACACGCAATACATCCCAGTCTCACTGTACGATTTACAGTCATGGCTCGCAGGTCCGAGTCTGTTCGTCTTTGATGTTTCACATGCTGGTAACATCGTTTCCAACTTCCACACTTTCGTTGAGAAGCACGAGAAGGAAAATGTCGAGGCGAGAAAGAGGGATCCGAATGCCATCGTACAAAATTACGGAGATTGCATCATTCTCGCAGCGTGTCAGAAGGCTGAGTCGCTGCCGACGAATCCAGATCTTCCTGCGGATCTCTTCACCTGTTGTCTTACTACGCCAATCGAGATCGCGCTGCGCTTCTTCATACTTCAGAACCCGCTCCAAACCAATATTTCTGTCGACGAATTTAGGGTGCCTGGTCGCCTACAGGACCGTCGCAGTCCCTTGGGAGAGTTGAATTGGATTTTTACCGCGATCACTGATACGATAGCTTGGAACACCTTGCCGCGAGCCCTCTTCAAGAAGCTCTTCCGCCAAGACTTGATGGTGGCTGCCCTGTTCAGGAACTTCCTGCTGGCTGAGCGGGTAATGCGCACCTACAAATGCCATCCGATTTCATCGCCTGAATTACCGGAGACTCATCATCATCCTTTGTGGAAGAGCTGGGACCTGGCCGTCGAGATGGTTTTGTCGCAGCTTCCAGCCCTGATTGACCATGAAGAGGGTCGCAGGCAATATGAATATCAGCATTCGACGTTCTTCGCAGAGCAGCTTACCGCATTCGAGGTTTACCTGTCGTCGGGCCCCACGGAGAAGAACCCACCAGACCAGCTCCCTATTGTCTTGCAGGTCCTTTTGAGTCAGGCACACAGATTGCGAGCTCTGATTCTGTTGAGTAAATTCCTAGATCTCGGTCCTTGGGCGGTTCACCTGGCTCTGAGCATTGGTATCTTTCCTTACGTCGTTAAACTTTTGCAGTCTGCAGCCCAAGAACTTAAACCAGTCATGGTCTTCATTTGGGCAAGAATTATGGCCGTCGACCATACTGTTCAGAATGACCTACTGAAGGACAATGGGATCCATTACTTCATCTCCATACTCAACCCATCTTCCCCAATCCCTGTGGGCAACGCTAGTGAACATCGGGCTATGTGCGCGTTCATTGTTTCAATCTTCTGCAAGAACTACCCCCAAGGTCAAAATGTGTGCCTCTCTGCCGAGCTTTTTGACTCTTGTCTCAAGCACCTCATGGATGTGGAGAATCCGCTGCTGCGGCAGTGGTCGTGTCTCTGCATCAGCATGCTGTGGTCCGACTTTCCAGAAGCGAAATGGATGGGTATTCGATGTGCCGCTCCTGCCAGGCTTTGTGAACTCAATTTCGATCCTGTGCCTGAAGTACGGGCTGCCATGTTGCATGCGGTCACCACCTTCTTGGGTATACCGGACTTAACCGATCAGGTAGCCCAGATTGAGGAAACCCTGGCCATGGCAGTATTACCCATGTCATCTGACGGCAGTGTACTCGTGAGAAAAGAACTCTTAGTCTTCTTCTCAGCTTTCGTCAAACGCTATCAGAACAAGTTTTTGATTGCCGCATACGAGGAGTTCCAGGATGAGAAGCAGAACTTACTCTCGAAGCTGAAACATGCAGGATCTCGGGTCCCTAGCCAAAAGGAAGTATCGGATGTTCCCGCAGCCTCGAGTCGAAAGTCGCATAGCCTCTCACGAAACACCACCTTTGGAACTATTTGGAAGCAGCTGCTAATTCTCTCTGTTGACCCCCACCCTGATATCGCGCAGGACGCAGGCATGATCGTTGACTACATTCACATTTGCCTCTTGGATTCACCGATGGCTTCATTGACTAACAAGATCCGAGACGAAATCCTGGACCTTTCTTATCGGGTTTCTCAGAAATTGCAGGTCGAAAAGCCAGAATCAAAGAAAACCGTGCCTCCGCCGACACCACCCGCCGTCGCCCCTCCCAAACAGGAAGGCTACCTTTCACTAAGTATCAAACGAACTGCTAGTGTGGCGGCCTCGCTTAAGAACCTGGCCTTCGGAGGCTCTAATGCGTCCGAATCTCAACCACCCCAATCGCCTCAATCTCTCACCGCGCCCAAGAGCCGGATGCCTATGACCCCAAGAGGACGAGCCCCACCCGAATGGACGCGCCCCCCGGAAGTCAATGACCAAGTTGCTCCCGCAACGGCCTACAACCAAGCTCCCACCCCTACGTCGCGAGGATTCGAGCCCCGGGAATCTTTTGCGGTCCCAGCCATTCCCTTGATGAGTAGATTCCTGGACTGGTCCACAGAGGTAAAATCAGAACTCCTTCACCTCATGAGCGATAAGTTTCACTACGAATTTGAACAATTTCTCACCCGTCTTCAGTATTTCCGGGAACCCCAGATGAAACCCAATGAACCCGACGAGCCCGGTAGTGCCGATTACAACGAACGCCTCTGGAGACGAAGCCGTAATGAGAAGATCATCTCTGAGACCCAACCTCTGAAGGGCAAAGCAGGCAGCAGCCGATGGGATAATTCATTGTCTCTTCTTTCTAACAGCAGTCAACCTCTGAAGATGTGCTTCCATCAATTCGAGGATCACATTGCAGTTGCGGATGATAAGGATACTATCGCGTGAGTTCTACACCAGTTTGAAAGCCTGCACTGAACATACGCTGAACCCGTAGTAGAATCTGGGATTGGCAGAGACACAAGCGTCTCAACCGTTTCTCAAATGGCAACCCGGCTGGCTCCAAAATCAATGAAGTCCGATATATCAACGAGGATGACCAAGCTCTGTTGATGACCGGGTCATCTGATGGTGTTCTGAAAGTGTTCAGAAACTACGAGTCGGCGCATGATGTGGAAATTGTGACTGCATTCAGAGCTTTACCTGAACTCATTCCCAGCAATCGCAATGCTGGTCTTGTTCTGGACTGGCAGCAAGGTCAGGGTAAGGCATTAGTTGCAGGTGACGTGAAGGTCATCCGGGTGTGGAATGCGGCTACCGAAGTCTGCACGAATGTAAGTCGTTCCTGGCCTAAGAGGCTGACTGAGGCTGATCAACTCGTAGGACATTCCTGCTCGTTCGGGCTCTTGCATCACCTCCTTGACATCCGATCAAGTAGCAGGGAACATCTTTGTGGCAGGATTCGGTGATGGCGCAGTCCGGGTGTTTGATCAGCGTCTTAAGCCCACAACATCCATGGTCAAGGTCTGGCGCGAGCATAAGCAATGGATCACCAATGTTCACATGCAGCGCGGCGGCCTGAGGGAGCTTGTGTCCGGGAGTCGCAACGGCGAGATCAAGCTTTGGGATTTACGCATGGACATGCCCATCTCTACGTTCTCCGCCACAAACGACACACTGCGTACACTGAGTGTCCACGAGCATGCTCCAGTCTTCATGGTGTATGTACTCTTGATAACCTCCTTGGTGTCTTTTGACCGAAAGAAAACTCGCTCATGTCTCTAATCAAACACAGTGGTACAAACCGTCACGAAGTGAAAACCTTCAACGTCGATGGAACCTATCTCTCCACCTTCGAGCCCTACTCGAGCTTCCTCCATCACAACCGCTCCTCCCCAATCGCCAGCACCGCGTTCCACCCGCATCGGACCGTTCTGGCCTGTGCTGCACTGAACGACCACCATATCAACTTGGTGACATGTTAGCAGCCCACAGAGTATCCAGTCGCTCCTCTTCACCATAGTGGAGCTACAGGAGACCACACATCCCACACACCTAAACTACACGCACCGTGAACGAAACATTACCTCGCTACCTCCAAACCGACTGTCCTCTATTAGCGCAACCCTCCTACAGACACACCACCGGCGCCAAGGTCTCATCGATATTCCCCAGTTTCCAGAATCCATTTCCGTTCCATCCTACCACGTCTTTTCCTTCCAGTAATACTTCCCCCGCTTTCCCCTGCCATCGCTACCAACCACCCTCTACCTTCTCACAAACCTTCAAGGTCACAACCGCCTAACCCTTTAATACCCCTCCCCCCCCACCCTCTCACCATTCGTCCTCCAATTCTCCCCGGCGTAGAACCACTCGCAAGCAACATCAATTCTTTCTAATAAAATTAGCAACCCGGCGCTGTGGCTATTTCACAATTTACCTTCTCGCTTGTTCTTTACACACACACACACACACACACTTCGGGTTTTTTTTGGGCTCCTTATGCATGCATGTACGGTTGCTCCCCACGCTTAGCTGCCCACTTTTTCTATTGCCTTAATTTTCAGTTCGTATTCATTTCTTTTGTGTGGAACATCAGTCAGCCAATCAGTCATATGGGATGGAAATAGTAGATAATCGATCACCATTACCCAAGTACCCCAGGTAGCTACCTACCTACCTAGCTAGCTAGCTAGTCGAAATGAGACTGGATGGCGGATGTACGGCATCGGCATCGGCATCGGTATCAGCGTTTCGACTCGAAATCTTTCTCCCTGGCGCTATCGGAGTTCTACTTGTAGGAAATACATGGTGAATGCTGTAACTTCGAACTCGGGGTGGGAGTTTTGTTCTCGCTGCAGAGCTCACACTGGGAGATTCAGGTAGTGGCGGGGATGCTTGTTTCTTGCACGTACATTTTACAAGGCTGTATCCTGGTAGAAATTGGTAAAGCAGAGGATAGAAAGTGAAAACAAGGTTACTCGGCAGGGTGTGTGTATAGATATCGTAGAGTTCCTGTGGTTACTTGCGACAAGCATGGAATTTATGTTATTTATGTAACAGCGAATCCACCGGGCAGACCATGTAGACAATCACTTCCTGATAAGAAATCCTCCATAAGCCGTTGAGCTACAAACTCCTTTTGCTTGCAAGATGTGAGCATGCTGTGGTAAGTTCAGATGGAAAGACATTGTACAAGCGGCCTCCTCATTAGGCGGGGAGAAGCTGGTGCCAGTTTTGGCAGACACCTATGACTACGAGTCTCCATCCCATTTCACCACGCACCGCCCATAGAGTCAATGTCAGAGTCTTCCTCAAGGACAGTATAAGGATTGGTCGCTGAAGAAGTTCTGCGTCGAGCAAAGTGGCCGAAATTGGCAGATGGCAAAGACTCTCGACCAAGCGATGCCCCGCCGTTGGTACACCAATCCAGTTCGAAAAAAGTTCGATGCTTATCAGAACTTGGCGAGGAGCAGTCGGATGGTGCTGGCGTAAAGTCTGCAAAATTGCCGATCTGCTGCTCTCGGTCTCCCAGGACATACGAGGTCAAGTTAACAAGCGCATTGCCCATAAGTTCACTCATTTGCCTCGCAGACTTGCAGTCCTCTGTCGAATACCCTCGTTTCTTGAGTTTCTCACTATGGTCCTGAGCGAACAAGGCAACCTGGGCGCGAATGGTTTCTTCCCCGCGACTATCCCGCCGAAACCAGGCGTTGGACTCATCCAGCCTGGCCTGGTTCTGAATCAGGCTGTCCACGTACCAGGCAGGCCGTTTTGTCAACTGACTTGCAGGTTTGGACAGCCCAGGCGGAGGCTTCATAGGCTTGCTCTCGCTTTTCACGGATGAACCTGGAACGTGCCCGAGTGCGGGCTTGATGCTGCTTTGTGTGCCACACCCGGATGAAAAGATCTGGCTCTTGATATAAGCCGAAGCCTGTGCCTTGAGATCCAGTGTGGTAGCTCTATTGATGACATCTCGTGCTTTAGATGAAGACACCAGCCCCGAAGACTGCTGGACGTCCACAGAAAAGGAACTCGTATTGGGCGAGTTGCCCCATGCCCCAAAACGCCTTGCTTGATAGATATTTTGAGGCATGTATCGAGGCATTGGAGGCCAGTTGTTAGCCGTTGCTCCTTTATCAAGGTCTAGAGTGGCCCTCTCAAGAAGATGCCAAGTGGTCGTCGCAGCCTCCTCTGGTTGTAGTTTCTGCTTTCCAGTGTACACGGAAGCATCCGAGTGGGTTGGCGCAACAGCACTTGCAAAGGCACTTGCTCGAGACTCGTCAGTGCTAGGTGCCTTGACTTTATGAGAAACTACTGTGGCCTCTTCTGCGGTACCTTGTGTCCTGGTGTTTCTGGGCCCCTCGGCAGTACTTTTAAGCAGGGCGTTGACTTCTTCTTTGAAGATCCGTCGTTTCTCCTCAGCGGACAAGCTACTACTGCCATTGCTCGAAGGGATATTCTTCTGCGCGTCTGTCGCCTGGGGTTGACTGGAAGCACGATACGAAGATTTACTGGACTCCGGACACTGAAGTGTTCCAGGCCGTGCGGCAGGGGCAACGCTCGAGAATCCTGAAGCCAGAGTGTTTCCCTTAGATGTGTAGTCTGAGCTATATCCTTGCTGAGATCCAGACATCGGAAACTGCAAGCCCGACGAGATTCTGCGAGACTCGGCACGCTTGAAACGCTCTTGTTGGATTCGTGAAGATTCATAGGGGGAACGATTATACGTCTGATCGAAGTTTGCGCCGTACAAATGCAGAGATGACGAAAGGGGACATGATTCCTCAGACGCAGAATCGTGACTAAAAGATCCTGTCTTGGGTCCCTCGCAAGAGGATCTCTGGCTGGACAAGTCCACTGGCCAGACTGCCCGATCACCACTAGCATTATCGCCGCGTCGTTGGAATGGGCTCTCCGAAATGCAGCTGCGGGATTGGGGGTGTGAGCCCGAGTGAGAATAGCTGGAGCTTTTCAGGTAGTTCAGAGGATTTTGCAGGATAGGCCCATTGCCAGCTCCGTACCAGCCTTGGTCAGATTTCGCCTCGCTGAGAATATGTCTTTTCAAGCGTTTAGGTGTTATTTGATCATTGAAGGAATCGATGTCGCTGTCACTGGACTGGTAAACTCGAGAATAACGCGCCGAAGGGTTGTACTGGGTACTGGCACTGGGTCGGATTTCGGAGTCTCCTCCTTCATGAATAGAGTCGAGATATGATTCGCTGTAGTTATACCTCTTAACACGCGTAGGCGTAGAGGGCTTCTGAGAGCTATCATCAAGACCAGTAATATTAGCATGGCGTCTAGACGATGGGCGTGACGGGGACCTCGGCGAGTCTATTGCATGCAGTAGTGATGCGGTTTCCTCTGCATCGAGGACTGGATCAAACGACATATCGCCATATTCTCGAGCTTCGATAGCCTCAGTACTTGACTGATCTTCGCAAATCTCAAAGGCATTGTTGATGGATCCACGCAAGGTGGAAAAGCGCGAAGAAGCGAGATCTTCATCGCCGCTGCTTACTACCCTGGTACTAACACCAGCCGCACTCTCTAACATATATTGCCTCTGGGCCCGTGCACCTTTGTTTCTTGAGCTTTGCTTCAGGCATAACTCAAGTAGAGGAATAGGCTGAGAGGAGGCAAGGTCATCCAAATTATGGAGCTCATGGTCGTCAGTCTGTCCGAGATCTGGCTGACTACAAGCAGCAAAGACTTGTTGACGGTAAGGAAACTTCCGTGACGCCATAGTTGGGGAAGACTGATAGCTTGCTGCTTGATGAGTAGTACTTATTATCGATGGAGCGTCTTTGGACAAGTCTAACGAAATAGAACACTGCTTCGGGGTTGAAGCTGCGAGTACACGCGCTGGGGACCCCCAAAGTATGACAGGGGACTGTTCTAATATCGTTCCAGAAGACGGTGGCAGTGGCAATGAAAGCGAATGAGCTCTTTGGCGAGAAGCAGGAGTTGTGGGTAGGTGAGGAAGACGGATTGGCGTGAGTGACTGTAGAGACTAGGGAGTGGAGAGGCTTAGGTTAATGACAATGCGTAAAATGTGAAGCACGCTGGAGATAGAGACTGTAGTGGTAACTGTACCGCGATGGGTGATACGTTATTGAGCCACTCGGTGGTCTGAGTACGCTTGTCGGGAGAGTGAAGATGATGCAATCCTACAGGAGCTCTTCCCGGGGGTAAACTGTTGATCGTCACCGAGCCTTTGCCTCTGCGACCTCGCTGTCCTGATGAGCCAGTCAGCTGCCTGCCTTCAGTTCTTTTTTGTCTTTCTAGCAAGACGCTATCTCCATCTTCTTCTTCTTCTTTCTCTTTCGTTCAAGGCTGGCGCGAGAGAGAACATAAGGGGGAAACACCTACTGCGCCGTTGTTTTTTGGGCTTCAACACAAGCGACATGGCAAATAATCTGCTGTTGGACCCTCTGTTGTCATGGGGTGGATGTGGTTTCTAGGTGAATTGTTCACTGATGGCCACAAGGAGATAGACGGTGAAGAGAAACCATGTCTCAGTTGTGCCTTCCTGCGCAACGTGCCAGCTGTTAAAGCAAACGAAAAACGAGGAAATCGCTGTCCAACACCAGGGAGGTTAGTCGTCTTGTTCGAGGAACACAAAGAAAGAACTCTCCAGTCCAGGACAATCGGAAAACAATCAATAGTTATTAGACTAGAAGCATATACTCAATACTGAGACATAAAAAAGCAATGGCACTATTCCACCAGAGGCTGACGATTCCAGTGTGCAGTTGGTACATCACATGAAGAATCTGACCGCAAGAAAATATTGACAGTTATTCAAATACATTCATGATGATCACGTTCCTACCGGTAATTACGTTGTGCCCCGCCAGCGGTGCGTAGGTTGTCCGACGCCATCATATTGGATCCCATCATATTAGCACCCACTCGGCCTGAGTCGAGCTTACCTCCGGAGCTGTAGTCATTAGCACCAGCGCTCAGCTCACCAGTCCCATGAGTATTATAGCTGCTGCCTCCTTCTGCACCTCCGCCGCCGAATGTTTGTTGAGTGCGGCCTTCCGTACCGGACGAGTATGGTCCTGCGATATCTGAAGCCTCAACTTGATCGGATCCACGATTATAGCCATCCGGGCTGACATGCTGCACAGTGCTAGTATTTCTAGGCTCCATCTGCCTGGAGCCAGAGTCAGGACCGAGGCCAGTCATGCCTGAACCATACTCATCCTGAGCAGGATTGCGATTCTCAGCTTCCTGGCCGTAGCCAGATTGGAATTCGTGGCCACCCGAAGGCTTTGAGTCATAGCCGCTAGTGCGTGCTTCATAAGCAGCCGTGTTCTCCCCGGAGTCATATGTTCCAGAGGTGTAGGGGTCAGCACTAGGTTTTGCACCGCTGTCGCCGGGTTGAGGGGCATGGTGTCCAGTGTCAGATTGGCTGTAGGCCCCAGAGCTGGCGTTCTCGGCTTCGGGGACGGTTCCAGAACTGCCGGTGTCTGATTCCAAGTCAATCGGATTGGAGGCTCAACATGGGGAAGCCTAGCATGGGGAATATGCTTATACTTGATTTATGACCATGATGGCCGGTGAAGGCGTCTTTAACCTTGTGCATGAGCTTGGACATGACGGACTTGTGGAGTATTATCAATATTCAATGTCAAGTATGCAAGAGAACCACCGTGTTGATCGAAGTTGTAGTAATTAGGTGGAAACGTCGTGTTTGGGGCTGTATGTAGTCTAAATAGAGATTCCTAGCTCAAACGCCGGTTCGGTTCACGAGCAGCTCCAGAACAGCTTCTCAAAGACAGCAAACCTTAATGTTAGCTTGGTACATGGTTGAGCCAACAACAGCACGCCTGTCCGACTGATATGACGTGCGGATACCAATTATGGTTGACGAGAATAGAGAAAGAGGTCAGGAATGTGAATGTCGTTCACGTCATCTGGCGAACCCCGGCAATTCCAGACCGTGTTCTCATCAACGGGTACCAGCCACAGTCCCGCCCCCGCCATGGGAACACCCAAGCGGTCCCACTTCGATAATGGCACGAGAAGTTTATTAAAAGTACTGCCCGTCGGTCGGAGACGGTATGCTGCATCGGAAGAGCCAAAGTTGAATGAGTGAACCCCAGTTGCTCTCACTATCAAGATACCTTGTCTCTCAAATCATTTGCGCTATTTGCGCTAGGGTTGCTGAGCCGGTCGAGGGGAAGGGACGGGGGTGAACAGTGATCTGCAAGATAAGTTGAATCTCATTGGAACGACTTTGGGGGAAAAGAAATCCCAAGAACTCGCAAATGAGACAGAACGGTTGCAAGATGGAAGAATGCCGATTGCTTGATTATTGATTTGTACTCGTAGTTGTCGAGGAATTGGAATGCTAGGGAGTTTGAGATCATCAATGTTTGCGACTCGAAAGGTGGACCCTCCGACTAAAGAGTGAGTGGAGATGGTGGATGATCGGCGGGTGGGGGTGGAAACGAGGAGTCCATCTATGTTTATCGTGAGAAGGGTGGTTAGAGAATGAGTGGACTGTATACTGAGTGAAAGTAATACGTATACTCACTCATACATATGAGAGAGTGTGTTCTGGTTTTTGGTCACGTAGCATGCTGAATCGGAGGTGAGGAGATGATAATCGCATTCATTGATGGACAGGACAATGTGGACTGGACCTTTGAACCTTGGTTGCCTGACTTGGCCTGAGTTCGCAGGATGACAATCCCCGTCCACGTCCAGTGTCTATCTTAGCCTCAGGCAGCCACCGCCCCGTGACTGGGGGCTGAGGCTGTGCTTGCGTGTCTTCAGCAAGAGTACTCCGTAAACGCAGGAAAAAAAGAGGCCAGTCATTCATTCATTCATTCCTTCCTTCCTTCATCCTTACTTCTCTTTTCTTTCTCTGATATACCAAATCACCCATAGTCCTTCTACTCTGTATATTACTCTGCATCGTATTTGCGACCACTCAATTCCTCATAGTTCTTCTGGACGACCAAATTGGCGCGCGCGTGTTGACATCCTTCCTTTCCGCCCTCCCTCCTCCCTCTCTCCCTCTCTCTCCCCTCTCCCCTCTCTCCCCACCTCCCTCCTCCCTCCTCCCTCCTCCGATTTTCCCCCTCCTCTCCTCGCTTTTCGTCGCACTTTGGGGAGGTTCGACCTTATTTTCATGCGATCTGTCTGATTTCTTTTGTTCATCGTCTACCAGTTTTCCGCCTCTTCGTTTTCGATGAGTGCGGGTTGCTGTCGGCCTGCAGCGACCGTCTGACTGGTCATAAGATCCACTCTCTGCCAGCAACCGCAGGGTGCCACCATTAATTAGTACCACCTCGATAATCACAACTCTACCCCGAAGTTATTATCACGCTGCCTGGATACCGAAACTTTGACCGTGAAAGGTCATCATTTCACCCCTGTCAGCTACCAACCACACCATCTCCAAGACGGTCATTGTTTTTATTGTATCGCTTGGTGACTAGAGGCATTGCGTCACCATGCGACCACCACGCTTGATCGTGATTGTGTTTTGCTTGCTCTTCTTCCCGATCTTACTCACTTTTTTCTCGGCACTCACCACTTCCTCCCGCGTCTCTACGCCGAGCTCGCTTGCTGGTCAAGCGACGGGTCTCCATGCCCTTTTCTCCTTTAACCTTCCATCCTCGCTCTTTCCGCCCTCCGCAATCATCAGTTTGACCGATGACAACTCGACCTTCTTCCTGGCCAGACCTGCAGCGTTTGGCCCATTGCTCCCAGACAAGGGGCTGAGCGGTCAACTCTGGATTGGAAGCGGATTTGGAGAACGCACGACGGCGGGAGCGGAGGGGGAACTGGGCTGTTCAGATATTCCGGGATGGGGCGAAGGCGACCCTCACAAGCCAGGGACGGCCGACAGAATTGCGGGTAAACCACGAACCGGAACCACGAGCGAGGGAACGAAAAAGCAGGCGGATGCTCACTCAGATGCCGAATCCTCTCGTCTTCCAAAGGAAAGAGCAAAGACCGGCCTTGCGACGGATGACGGAACCGATGATCATCTGCACCACCCCCTTCCGGAGTCTGCAGGAACAGATGCAACTGCTATGGAGAAACCCGGGGATCACTCTCTGAGCCTACCCACAACTCACGCCGATATTCAATCTCTGCAGGAAAGTGCGGAGATTGACGGCAAGGTGGTTCTGTTGAGTCGAGGTGGCTGTGGCTTCCTTGAGAAAGTCAAATGGGTGCAACGACGAGGAGGTATTGCTCTGATTGTGGGTGACGACACTCGGGGTGGAAGTCTAGTGACTATGTATGCACGCGGCGATACGTCTAACGTGACAATCCCTGCGCTGTTCACCTCCCACACTACCGCCCATCTGCTGTCGTCGTTGGTTCCGCCTCAGATGGTCGAAGGTACGGAGGCGGATGACGCTCCCGCTACTCAAACTGGCCAGTCGGGCCATCGCACTTCTGGGAAGCAACCTCTTCACACAGCGACAACCACAGTAGTGGCTGCCTCAAGTACGCCCACTAAGCACGCGATGGCCGACAATAGTCTGGTTCCCGCCAGTCCGAAAGGCGGTCTTTTTCATGCCTTGCTGTCCCTACTGGGCCTTGGTAGCAGTGGAAGACGACCGTGGTTCTCACCTGAAGATAGCCGTCGCCCGCCAAACAGTGGAAACATTAACTGGATCATGCTAGATCCTTGGGATGACCATGCACCACCCCAGCATCAGGCAGATGTTAGCCGCTACCCAACGAAAGCAGACGGAGCCACCATCAACCGCAAAAAGCATGGATCACTATCGACCGGCTCGGATGCAGATGGGTTTGTGATCGGAGTCCAGGACTGGCGAGATCCAGACCTAGTCGCACCGAAGGGCAGTGTTCTTCCGACACCCACTGGGATCGCGGGCGTAGATGGGAACAACATCCAAAGCAGTGACAAAGCCACCGCTGCTGCTTTGAAAGGCGGCAGCATTACCCCGGGCAGTGGCGAGTACTATACCGTCGACAAGTCTACTGTCTCACAGAAAGGGAGCTCAAGCGGCTCGCAGTCTCAAAGCTCGCATCATAGCAGCGGCGATGATGACGCATCTTCGTCTGGAAGCAGTTGGCTTTCCAAGCTCTGGTCAAGTAGACATGAGCCCGACGTAAGCCGGGATGCGAGCGTCAAGGACACACTTGCTGCCGAAGAGAAGTCCCGCAAGCCTTCCTCAATCAGTCAATCAGGCGCGACGACAGCCGATCACGAGGGCTTGTGGGTCACTTTAACGCCGACGAGCATGTCTACCAGTCCATTCTTCGATACCCTCCTCGTCCTTGTCATCAGTCCGCTGCTTACACTGAGCGTCGTGTACATTCTGCTGTTGCTCCGGTCTCGCATTCGTCGACGAAGATGGCGGGCCCCGAAATCTCTGGTGGACCGCCTTCCCGTGCGAACGTATCACACAATTACCACCTCATCTTCTGCCTCTAGCTCACCGCGGTCCGTCAGCCCTGGCCCGGTCTCGCCTACATCCCCCCTGCTGGGGTCTGGAATTCGCTCAGACACCAAGGGTGCACTCAGAATTTCGTCTTCCAAGAAGGAGAAATCCGGATCCACTCTCTGGCGACGTAAGTACACGGGACGACAGGTCGAATGTGTTGTCTGCCTGGAAGAGTACGTCGATGGAGAAAGCCGGGTGATGAGCCTGCCTTGTGGGCATGAGTTCCACGCCGAGTGCATGTAAGTATGCCAGTTGATCTATATCCTGCCACTTCTAACACTATACAGCACTCCTTGGTTGACTACACGCCGACGGACGTGTCCGATTTGCAAGGGAGACGTCGTTCGGTCGATGGCGCAAAGCAAGGCCGGTGATATGCGCGATACTGCTGCAGAGCAGACAGTGGGCGAAGGTCAGCACTCTCGCGACGTTGAGTCTCAGCAGAGCGTATCCTCGGCTCCGGTCCCGATCGCCGGAGGCAGCGAGGACGAGCTGTCTGACGTGGAGCACCGCGCAGGCGTGGACGCAGCAATCCATGAGGCACATGCATCGTCCGCGCCACCGACGTGGCGCAGCTACGCGGCGTTGAGCTACTCTGCCCTGAGTGGGGACACGATCTGGCACCAAACTCCGACGGACGGGCGGCGATAAAGCCGCGGGCGGAAAAGTTGTCATCCCAGCGTTTGGATTCGAGCATGTGCTGCATTAGCGATCTTTTGATATCAGTGTTGTATGGCGTTTGCGGGTTACGTAGGCGTGCTGGCGCGGCTCATGGCCAGGCGCCGAGCCGTCAACGGGGGATTAATGAATGCCACCAAGGCGGGCTGGGATGGCTAGATAGCATTGCTTGCTAATCATAATCATAGCGTCACTGTTGTGACTTCTGTTGTTACGTCGTTGGCTCCAGCCTTGTGGTAGTTACAGGGATGATGATCCCTTAGCTGCTAGCCTAGAGTACGCATAGCATATATAGAGCCCCTCACCACCCGACCCCTGAACACCTTTTCGTACAGTACACCTCCCCTCAGGGCTCCAGGCTCTTATACTCTCGACAAACCCAAAATGTCCACAACAACCACCCCACGAATTCCCCCCTGCTGCCTCCGCACCCCACCCCGCCCATGGCCCACCTCCCCAACCGGCACAACCACCACCCTAACCACACCCCTCAAACAACACTCCGTCTACACAGCCGGCCACAACCCCACCCGCGCCATTTTGGTCATCCACGACCTCCTCGGCTGGACCTTCCCCAACCTCCGCCTCCTGGCCGACAGCTACGCCCACTCCGCCAACGCCACCGTCTTCCTCCCTGACTTCTTTGGGGGCGAGACCCTCCCCGCCGCCCCGATCCTGGCCGGCCGCTGGGCCGAACTCGACCTCCAGGGGTTTCTGGCCCGCAATGCGCGGGCCATTCGCGAACCGGAGGTTGTGGCTTTTGCGAAGCATGTAAGGATAACTCTGGGGTTTGAGAGGGTTGGGGTTGTGGGGTTTTGCTGGGGGGGATGGGCTGCTGTTCGGTTGGGGGGGTTGTTGTTCGACTGTTCTGGGGGCTGTGAGCTGGGGAGTGGTGGCTTGGGGGAGTCATCTTGCGCGCTGGGTGAGGGGGGTAGCGGTAGCGGTATCAGGGGCAGTGGTGGTCATGGTCGTGGTGATAGTGATGGTGCAGGCCAACAGCAATACCTGGTGGATTGCGTATCGATTGGCCATCCCAGTCTCTTGACGGAGGAGGATATTGCCGCGGTGCAGGTGCCGGTGCAGGTGCTGGCGCCGGAGCGGGATCCGGTATACACGCTCCAGATGAAGGCGTTCACTATCCAGAACCTGCAGGAGAGGGGGGTGGAGTTCGAGTATCGGTTTTTTCCGGGGGTGGAGCATGGGTGTTTCACGAGGGGGGATGAGGGGGTTCCCGGGGAGAGGGAGGCGTTGGGGAGGGGGAGGGAGGCGGTTGGGTGTTGGATGGGTGGGTGGTTGTAGCCTATAACTGTTTGAGGGAGAATGTGTAGGGCAGTGGATGAGATTGGTGAAGTAGATGGAGTTGAGGTTGATGCTGTTTGTTTGTGTTGGGTTGGGTTTATAGTTGTTTGTTGTCGCCGGTTGTATACACACCCAGACAATCAGCTTATCTTATCGGAAGCTCTTATCGATAAGCCCGGCCAAGCTTTTTGCGACATCATGACGATCTTCATCCTCTCCCCTCCTCTGGTTGCTGCTCCCTTCAAGTACGTCCAATTCTTTCACCAGAAACTCACCACACTCAACCACCACCACAATCCACCACCACAAAACCAAGCAGAAAATGTCCACCCTCAAAGAAACCCTGGTCAACGAAATCGCGCACCTCCGCGCCATCGCCAAAGACCTCCTCTTCTCCGGCACATACATCTACCCCATAAAAGTAAAGTCCCCCCCCCATTACACCCCTCCCAAAACATCCCCCAAATTCCTAAGAAAAAGAAAACCAGGGAATAATCTACACCCTCCACCACCGCCCCCTGTGGACGCCGCTCCTCTCGCGGTCCATCAAAACCCTCACCCTGGGCCTGGGCATCACCACGACCATGTTCTTCTTCACCTACCTCCCGCAAGTGGCGCTGCTCACCTTCACCGCGGGGCCTCTTCTCGCGCCCTTCTCCGCCGCCCTCCTCGTGCTCTCCGAATCCTCCACGATCACCACCTACCTGGCGCGGTCGTTCCTCCTCGCCGACGCGCTGACCGACACCTTCGACGCGACGCTGCTCGAGCGCGGCGAGGACGCTCTCGTCGCGCGGGAGCGCGCCGTCGCCGTCCCGCCGTCCTCGTCCACGAGCGGGGCCCAGCACCGCCTTGGCACCCGCCTCAAGCACCCGATCGAGAGACTCTCGCCGCAGATGCTGCTGCGCTCGCTGCTGTACCTGCCCCTCAACTTCGTGCCGGTCGTCGGCACGATCGCGTATATCTATGTGCAAGGGAAGCGCGTGGGGCCGGTGGCGCACGCCCGGTACTTTCAGTTGAAGGGGTGGGGCAGGAAGGAGCGCGAGGGGTGGGTGGGTGGGGATGGGAGGAGGGGGGCGTATACTGCGTGAGTTTCTTCTCTTCTAGTGTGGATGGGATGGGATGGGGGTGCATGAGATGGGGGCTAATCTTTTGTGTGTGGGCAGGTTCGGCATGGCGGCTTTCGCGTTGGAGATGATTCCGTTTGCGTCGATTGTGATGGCTTTTACAAATACCGTTGGGGCGGCGCTGTGGGCGGCGGACTTGGAGAAGGCTACGAGGTGAGGGGTGGGGCTGGGTTGGGTTGGGTTTGGGTTTGAGGGTGTGAGGGTGGAAGGGTGTAAGGGTTCAAGGGTGCGGTTGGATCAGGTGGAGGCTGGTGTTGTGGTTCAGGGGAGTTGGGACTGGTGCGGTGCGTAGTGTATATTGGATGGGAACTTTGTAACTTTCTGTATCTGTAGTTTACCCCGGGACATGGCTGTGGCCACATTTTATGCTAACCATGTTTTTGCAACTATTGAAGTACTGTACGCAGATCACTCATTCAATTCATGCTCCGTCAGACACTCCTCCAACAGCTCGGTCATCAGAGGAACCATCTCCCCCCGTCGAATCGCCCGGTAGAGCACCCCCGTGTAGGAGCCCACCGTCGGCGCCGCTCGGCGTTGACCCGTCCTCATCGCTTCAGCCGTCGGCGTCAAGATCTGAGCCGTGCACAAAAACGGGACCCCCAGCGTCCGCCGCACAAACGCATAGACCTTCTTCGATGCCACCCCCAAATACGCACTGGCGTTGCCGTGGATCAGATACGCATCTCGATTGACACACCACGCGTCCAGAAGCAGGGAGTCCGTGTCTTCGACAAAGGTATGCAGCGCCCCGAGTAGCTCGGCAGACGATGCACAAGCCCCGACATGGTCGAGGATGGGCACCCGCATGCTTTTCGCGATGTGCAGGAAGCGGTCCTTCGCATCCATCGTGACAGTGGAGTCGAGCATCCTCTCAAGGTGCAGCCATATCGCAGACGATAGAGCTTCCACATCTATGGATCCGGTGTCATTCTCATCGTCTGCATCTGGCTCGATGGCTTGCAGCAACTCGTCGAGCAGCACCGCAAACGGACGACGGATCGAGTCCAAGAACAGCAACTGCATGGCGCGAAGGTCTAGGGCCTGGCATGCGGAGAGGAGGTGCGCGGCGGCGAGCTCGGTCAGAACCCGCACGCCCGTGGCGGTGTATCGGGCTGAGATCAACGCTAGGGAGTTCAGCGATTGATTGCCCATCTCGGCGTTTTGGACATGGTTTACCGGGCCAGCAAGAAATCCCAACTCCGACTGGAGAGCGGAAATGTAGATATCGATGGCCTTGAAGATCCCTGACTTGCTGGGCTCCTCGGCGACCAGGTTCGGGGGCAGGCCCCAGCTTGTGGCTGGGTTGATCATCTCCTGACATTGCGTGAACAGCATGCGGCCGATGGCCTGCACTCCCTGGCGACTCTTCTCCATTGCGGTGGTCACGGCCTTGGCCTGGAAATTGCCCCCATGCAGGAACTCGCCGTCGTGGGTCACTAACGGGTTATCCGTGGTCGAATTGCATTCGATGCTCATCTGCTGGTGGGCAAGGAGTAGATCCTCTAGCACCGGACCGAGCCACTGTGCCGCAGTGCGGATGGAATATCGGTCTTGTCGCAGAGCTCCGTTTTTCCCGTCCTTGGTCCGAGCCAGCTGGGAACCCCTCAGGAATGCTCGGATGTTGCGAGAGCTTTCGACTTGCCCGGGGTGTGGACGGACTTCCCCGAAAAAGCGATCGAAGCTCTCTGGCGATCCAAGAAGCGCTTCCACAGTCATGGCTGTCAGGATTTGAGAGAGCATAGCCAGTTGCTGCACGTCATGAAGCACGAGGGCACCACAGGCCGCCGAAATAGCCGTCCCGTTAACAATTGCGAGGCCCTCCTTTGCAGTCAGGTCGACTGCCGTGATACTTGCACCAGCGAGGGCTTCATCTGCGTAAAGATCCCCATCGTGACCGGAGGTGGGAAACACCCGGATTGTAGGCTTTCCTTGGATGACACCGCTGATATATGCCAGCGGACTCAGGTCTCCAGACGCAGAGATACTGCCGCGAATGGGCACCAGAGGAATGATATTATGCGTTAGCAGTGCCTCCAACCGATCCAAGATGACCGGGCGGATGGCCGAATGACCTCGCAACAACGTGTTGATTCTTAGTAGAATAGCACCCCGAACCCAGGTCAATGGCAGGTAGTACGACTCGCGTGCTTCCTCCTGTGCGAGGACAAATTCACGATGGTCTTCACAAACGCTGCGTCGGCGAGGTTGAGCATCTCGAGCACCCGGAGGAAGGATGCCATAACCGAGTTCTCGAGTCAGCACCCGTTGAAGCGCTTGGACATCTTTCGTGCGAGTATGCGCAGAGGCACCAAAGCCGGTGTTGACACCTAGTAGCGAAGCAGATGCATCAACTTCAGGCTCACAAGGAGTTGTATTGATAGGATCACATACCGTAGATTACGTCTCCTGACGAAAGACTATCCAGTAAGGCGTTGTGACTTTTATTGACCTCCGAATATGCTGTTGGATCAATTTTCACGCTCTGAGCATGTCTACACATCATTAGCGCAAGGAGGCTCAAAAGGAATTTGTGACCCACCTTGCAACATAGACGACATGTGGGATGTCCAAGGTGTCACCGTCGATGGTCACTTCCACCCCTGGTTCGCTTGCTAGCTGGCGGCACAGTTTCCATTGTTGCACCACCAAGGATGTATGGAATTTGAAGGACTGCATCTTGGCTGGGGACAAGAATGTCCGCGAAAAATCGCCAGGTTTGGGCTTGCCTGATGTCTGTTCTTTTAAGTACTGTACCGGCTTACTACAATTTGTGGGGTTTCGAAGCCAGTCGTGACAGTGATGAGGCTATCAGCGCAGTCAGACTTGTGCAACATCGAGTTAGGCTTCAAAATTAGGCTGTCACTCTAATTCCTTCCAGCGCATAACACCGCCGAAAGGTGGCATATCATCCAGACCCGCTTCTCCGCAGGCACTTATGCAAGGCGTCCCCTAGCCCGGGGTCCGATCCACCAACGCTCACTAGTGTCTTATCGGACTGCAAGAAAGTAGTATCGTGAGTCAATAGCTTCATGTAAGCCTCCCGTCATGAAACCTGTGGTTACTACGGGGTACGGAGTATTACCTCTCAAGCCACCGCCACTCTAACTCCATTTTTGGACATCAGCGCAAGACCGGCGCTCTCAACCCACTCGTTCGGATCTTTGGAGTCTATTGAGCGAAAATGCTGCGCCAGGCGAGTGAGAACATAAGTGGCTTCATTTAAGGCCAGATCCACTACGATGGTGGATGTGGCGTTAATACGGACGCCGCCATGAGCACGGATTGGATGGAAACACTTACTGCCAATGCAATTCCTCGGTCCGCCCAGGAAGGGGATGAACTTCTGCGATGGGGTTAGGAGCTAACTCTGATGTCATTCGGAAAGACTCCTTACCCAATTCTGCTTTTGGTCGAGCCAGCGGCCGGGGTCAAATTCTTCTGCGTCGTCACCCCAGAGATCGTGACGGCGGTGCATGGCATACGTCGCGATGTGCACCATCGTACCCTTTGATACGAAGATTGGCGAGCTGCCGTCGGCCCCCCCGCCAGTGGGAAGAACCGTGTCTCGGTTAGCAATTCGAGAATTGGAAGCTTGTGGCGGATGAATGCGAAGGCCTTGATGGGAAATCGGTCGTTAGCATCGTCGTCCTATCAGGTGCGAAGACCTCTTACTCTCGAATACACAGCCATTCACATATTTAAGACCTTTCAATTGTTGCAGCGTAGGTGGCTGGCCGCGTAAGTGCTGTATTTCTGAGCGTACGCGCTCCCATATACCAGGACGCTTTGAAAGAATGAAGAATAAGTTGATCAAGAGGGCGGCGACGGTGTCTGCACCGGCAAAGTACAGGGTTGTGATTTCGTCCCGGAGCGATAGTCCATCCTGTGGTACTTGACTGAGCTGATTCAGAAAATTTGATTGATGCTTCTCGATCTCATCCTTTCCCAGGTCTTCATGATTTACCCTGATTGCTTTGTCGACATATGGTTGGATGAATGAATGCACTATACGAACATGCGTCATAAATGCTCGCTGTGGCCAGAGGAAGGCAAAGCGTCCTAGCAACCATCGAAATTCACATCCTGCTGCTGCCTCGTAGAATGCTTCTAGCAAGCCTGACTGGAGCCTATCTGGATGTTCGAGCGATGCAAGTGACTCCCCGAACAGAAAGTCGGTAGCAACATCGGCCGCAAAACGATGGAACAGCGGAGCTAAGTCAAAGGCTTCCCCGGTGACGGGGATAACAGCGAGTAGAGTCTGAAAATGAGGCTCGAAAAACTCAAGGTCACCAATGCGAGATTGAGTAAAGCATTTATGCAGGAGGGAACGTCTCGACCGCCACTGCACCCCATCGATTTGGAAGATGCTATTTCCCAGCAATGGTGCAAAGGCCCTATGGCGTCGTGATCCGGTATCAAAGTCCGTGAAGTTGGTGGAGAAGATGGCTCGCACATTGTCAGGCTCGATTGTGTTCAAAACCCACTGTCCTAGGAAGAGGGATCGATAGGTGTTGCCAATTTCTTGGTGTAGCTGTTGCTCGCGTCTCAGGTAGCATTGGCTCTTTCTTGCCTGTATAGAGTCACGCAGATAGTCAAAACCCAGCAACCTCTCCCTATGGGGATAACTTTTGGGCGGCTGACAGCCCTTCAGTCGAGCTAGCTTGGAGCAGGCAGTGATGGTGGTAATGAAATACCATCCACCTAGGAGCAAAAGGACCCCGATGATAGTCAATGGATATTCTTGTATCATGATAAAGATGAAGACAATAGCGGTAGCTGTGTGATCGGAAGAGTAAGGAGCGGAAGAATTAGATACGATGATGAAGACAGGTGAGCTGAAGCAGAAGAAGCATGGGACTGGAGAAGCCGGTGACAGCTGCACGCCTGACTGTCAAACGCGGTGCATAAAAAGCGCTACTCCGGACGGTTTACCCCCTCCCCCCCCCCACCTTAGCTCTCATACCAATAACCTCTTTCATATACCAAAATTCTATCTTTACCTCTCTTCTCCTCTTCCTCTCATAACCATCATCATCATCTCTCTCTCTTTCTCTCTCTTGTTGCACTCATCTACCAGCCACTTTGGTCTTCCTGACATTAAACATTCAAAGATTCTTTACATGCTTACATTTTTACATAAAGACAGGTATAATGCCTATTAACCCGAGAGGAGTTATTTGCCTTCCGAGCCATGGTCGACTACAATATGCTCGGGGCCGACCCCGAATTCTCGGTGGTTCACCTGTAAGAAGTCAAAAACAAATAAAACCTTACCCCCCCCTTACGGCTGGCTTATCACACGTCTCACTTATTGTTTTGAGCTTCTTGTTGACGTCTCCACATTTTCAGTACAGGGCGGTTCTTGCACGTTCGGTAGTGTCACTTTTCTCGCCGATCCCCATGGAAACATCCCCGAGTAGCCCAGGACACTTCACACCGATGGATACTGTCTTTTGGAGAGAGACACTACGCAGAGATTTGCGAATTCTTCTGGATGGCGCCGAGTATGACCACACTACGCAGCAGGCGGCTCTTACGACAGTGAGCCGCTATGTGGCCCCTTGCTTAGGGCCGCGTCCTTTGGTGGGAGAGGCTGGCAGGGACCAGCCTCGTCCAGTGCGATGGAGAAGTTTCATGACGGACGACTTTTCTCCGATAGAATACAGTTGGAGCTGGGAGAACCTCGCTCCCACCATCCGGTATAGCTTCGAGCCAATTGGGAGGCTCGCAGGCACCTCACAGGACCCTTACAATCGGACGGCACCGTTGGGATGCGTGCAGCAGCTACGGGGAATCCTTCCCGCCGCCGATTGGCGTTGGTTCGATCACTTTGCCCAAGCCTTTCGGGGACCGACGACTCTGCCGCGCAAGGAGTCACCCTCCCACTCCAGCCCCTCGACAACTTTCCTCGCCTTCAACCTGGAGAAGCACGGGCACAGATGTAAATCCTACCATGTCCCACATTCGACATCGGATCAACTGGGCGGCTCACGGCTTGACGTTCTGCATCAGGCTTGCCGAGCCCTACAACAGCAACATAGGCTTCCAGCCTACGACTGTATCGAGCAATTCCTGCGACGGCAGGAACAATCATCCACTCCACCTATCATAATTGGCGTGGCGGTTGACTGCGTGCATCCATCTGTTGCCAATCTTAAAGTGTACTTTCGATCCTGTGCGACCAGTTTCGACAGTGTTCAGGAGACACTCTCGATGGCAGGCGCATTGCCAAGCTGGGATACCCGTGCCCTGGAGGAGCTTCGAGAATTGTGGCATCTCACGTTAGGGCTGCCCTTCGATTTCCCCAATCATCAGCAATTACCATCTAAGGACCATGAGACGTCAGGTGTGTTGTTTAATTTCGGATTCAAGCAAGGCCAACGGTATCCTGACACCAAGGTGTACATTCCGGTGCGGCACTACGCGCGCAGTGACCGAGCAATTGTTCAGGGTCTAGTTGAGTATTTGGCGCGCCGTGGGCGAGCCGAGCAAGCCGAACGCTTCGTGCAAACCCTCGAACGGCTAGTCGAATCCTTCCGTTCCCTTGATGAGGCGTGCGGACTGCAGACATATATCGCCTGTGGTAATAAGGACGGTCGGCTTAGTCTAACCTCCTATCTCTCTGCAGAGATATACTACCCCGGACGGTGGTCTAGACAGCCGTGATATGGAGCTTCTGGGTTCTCATTTGCCAACACAATCTCTCCACAGGAAATATCTATTGCTTGTTGAGTGTACAATGCTATGTATCTGTTGTGATTTGCTTGTGGAATCGAAAATGAAAGATCCTCACTAGCTAGCAAGATGCAGCTGGGCTTGGCTCCTGGCAAATCAGGGTCCAGTTCGGTTCATGCAGTACTCATTAGTATGCACCGTGTGAACATTTATCTTACTACTGGATCCTCAATGCGAGTCAGCCTTTCAGTCTGTACTACTCCCGAACTTCTGTGGTAGTGGAGTTACCTAGACAGCTTTCGTACTGCACTTCCTCTACCACTAAATAGAGTCGACACAGCCTAGTCATACAAACTAGGGCTCGGTTGCCTGACATACCATGGAATGAGTCGGGATGACCGAGAGTTATTTCGAGGGGGGAGGGGGGTGTGGGCTGAGGGGCAATAAGAGTCCATGGATGACCGCCAGATCGTCCCGTTGTGGAAATGCCAACTGTCGGTCGGGAGGGGTTGCAGCGAGGGGGTTTGCCAGGCGGAGTCGATTAGGTAGGTGGTAGCTGTTTGGCACCTGCTGGTAAATCATCCCTATCATCCCTCTCTCGGCGCTGACCACCGTCTCACCAATCTCTAATGCAGGTGGTACAGGACATTCAATCCCGTTCACCATGCCCATTCTCCATTCGACCCACGCCTGCATTTCATGTCTCTCGGTCACGGCGACTTCGAAGGCTTAGCAAGCAAAGATGAGAGGTTTAGCTCTTCTTCACTCCTGTGGGTGTAACACTCCTACCAGCTTCTTTTAACTCTCTCCGATCGGTCGATCGAGCTGAGTTGAATGACAGTCGGATCGGATGCCCTCGTGAGAGACAGTTGCCGGCAACAATCATGGCGACCGCTGTCACGGACAGCTACCTGAACGAAGACATCTCGGGTCGGCTCACGGCCGCAACGACAGTCATCGTTGTACTCACCACCACTCTCCTAGCCCTACGCATATATGTGCGGAGCCTTGCCCATGTCTCCAGCGGCTGGGACGATATTCTGCTGGCTCCTGCTTGGCTTCTTTGCCTGGGAGCATGTATAACAGGCTATAGTGAGTGGAAACGCTGATCTAGTGACTCTCGACAGTCCCAACTAAACCCCCCTTCCTCTACAGTGGCTATCACACATGGAGGCTCCGGTCGTCACATAGAAGCCGTGATGATGGACGACCCCGAGAAGCTAATCATACGCGGAAAATTGCTTTATTCTCTCAGCTGGCTGACCGCTTTCTCGAACACCTTCTCGCGGACCTCGATCTTGGTCCTGTTCCGGCGCATATTCCCGCCGGGCCTCACGCGCATCGTGACGGACCTCACCATCGTTTACTTGATTCTGTTCGTCCTCTCGCAGGCAATCGTCGGGTTGACGGAATGCCGCCCGCTGGCATACTTCTGGGACCGCAGCATCCCCGGCGGGTGGTGTGTGGATCAATTCCTCTTCTACCGAATGTCTGGCCTGCTGAATATCGCTGGAGACGTGGTTATCCTGATCCTGCCCATTCCGACCGTGTGGACTATTCATGCGTCCCTGGCCAGAAGAGCCGGGATTGCTATGGTGTTTCTGTCGGGCAGCTGGTATGTGCTCTCGTCAAACGGGCTCTTGTGTACTAGAAGTCTAATAGTTCTGTAGTGGCCTCATTGCGTCGTGTGTCCGAACCTCCTACTTCTTCACAGCCGCCAAATTGTCTATGACCGACCCGACCTGTAAGGAACCCTTCTCCTCCCCATGTCACTACGTGTTTGGTCTCTGACTAGCTGCAGGGGCGGATATCAACCTAATGACCTGGACGACCGTTGAAAGTGGCCTGTATCTCTCGGCTGCCTGCATGATAGGGCTGCGACCCCTGCTCAACCAAGTGGCGGGCTGGATGACGAGGTCTCGCCTCGGGGTATTCACAGTCAAAGGCACGAAGGCCCGGTCGCGGCGGAGCGATCCCGATGACGGATCACAATTGATCTCAAATGTGAAGCAAGACCATATTAATCTGGAGACCTTCGATCGGGACCGGGACACGGACGAGAGATCAGCCATAGGGAGCGGGGCGAAGCAGCCGTCTGTTGTGTAGGAGGTGCTCTAGCCAAGCAAGGGTGTAAAGAATGGATACCCAGTCACAAAATCGCTGAACCTCAACACTATAATTCTACTAGATAGTCTATGACCATTTTCTAATGTCACAAATTCAATATACATCTCTTCGAACGTCTAGTTGGCACTGGAATCTCAAGCCTATATGTGCAGAATATCTACCAACCAGGCTGTTATACAACATGTTGAAGGTATCGTATAAAGATCTGGAATGTATAGTTTGAGTTGAACGAGGATTTTACTTTTTGAAGGAATGTAATGACCTGGCCATGAGCTTACTGGAGTGAAACTCATGCTTCTCATTGATTTATGTTCCATTGGTCGCCTTCATTGATCGCCTTGTCCTGTACCTGTGGGCTAACATTAATTACTAAAACCATGGGGAAGTTCCTCGTTCTACAGAAAGGGGCATGCAGCCGAATAAGAAAACACACCCAACGGTTTCAGGACACTTTAGTACTTAGCTAAATGATGGTAATTAATGACAAAGAACAAAAAAAAAAAAACAAAAACAAAATGTGTTCTCAATTTGACTCGCTATCTAATTAAACAGACTTTTGTAGGAACCGGTTTGTACGGGGAAAGACACCCTTTGTGGCATTCGCGAGCCGCTTCTTCTCCCCCTTGTTTCGTCCTCAGGCGAAGGGCTCTTTTTGAGCTTGGGTATCTTACTTCCCCGGTTTTTTCGACGGCTATCGTCAAGCGTTCCTTGAGGTCCTGCCTCAGGATCATCATCATCATCATCATCATCAGGGTTACTCGCTCGATCCTGCTCTTCAGCGTCAGAGCCTCCAGATTCTTCTTCCTGGTCCGCCTCTGGGTTAATTTCAGAGGGGTCTGGGTCTGCATCAGGTTGATTTTCCAGGACCTCTTCCGGGGATTGGGGGCGCTCTTCCTGCGCTATTAGGGAAATATCTTCAGGGGCGTCTACAACCTCCTCTTCTGGCTGATCGTCATGATATTCCTCTTCTTCGTTGTCCGCATGGTCTTCTTCGTCGGAATGCAGATCGCGATGTTTTTCGGGCTCCTCATCTGAGGACTCATCTTCTGCCGAATCTCTGAAAGGGTTCTCTTCATACTCAGCATGAGGCTCCTGTTCACCGTGGTGTTCTCCTTCCGGATTTCCTTCCGGGTCTCCTCCACGGACCGAGCTGCGGTCAAGTTCCACCATCATAGAATCTCTATCACGGATCCGTAGAGGGCTAGGACTACGAGAACTTACATCGCCAATAGCCGAGGCAAATGCAGCTAGGTCGCTGCGGCTGCGTTGCCTGCCTCTGGCGTCATCGGCATGCTCGTACTGTTCGATGCCGATCCTCCTTCCTTGAAGGTGCATCTCCAAGAGCGTATCCATTGGCCCGGGGAGAGCAAGCAGAGCCAGGTAGTCGAGGTGGCCCGCAATATGCCGCAAGAGGCCCTCGTTCCCGTGTCCTCCAGAGCCGTGATCTTCATCACGGAGACCACAGAAAGGACACTGCTCGAGTGGATGAGCTTGCCCACCCGCGCTTGCGCGTCGGTGGTCGTCCATGTGCTTGATCCATGCCTTCATGCTGCCGAAGACGCTGGAGCACGAGCCCCAGAGGCACAGGTAGGGTCGCACGTCTTGCAGAACGTGATCCTCCCACCGGACCTCATCGAAGTCCCCGACGGGGAAGTAGACCATGCAGTAGGGGCATCGGAACTCGGGCTCACCGTCCTTGCATCGCGGCATTGGGGGCCAGGCGAATACGTCGGGCATGTCCCGCAGTGGTTGCTTTCTTTCCCGAACCGTCTTCCGCTTGCTACTCGACCCCCGGCTTCGTCCGCGATGTTTGTGCTGATGATACCCGATGGCGATGCGGCTGTCGACCAGCCTTGTCCCGATCCGAGCCTGAAGCTTGGAGTCGACGCAGGGAAACATCTGCTTGATGATGCGGAACACGAAGTCCTTGAATCGAGACGTCACGTCATTGTTGTCGGCATCCAACACTGAGAACATGGAAGGGTCCTCCTCATGCTTCCGGAGGCGATGTTTGCTTTTGCCGCCGTGCCCTTTTTTGCTCCGCGCATCGGAGGTGAGCAGATGCACCCGCATCTTGTTGATGAGGTTGTACACGTTCTCTAGAAAGGTGACCCGCGGGGCTTTCCTAACCAAAAGCACCAGCAGGTTGACGCGGATGAGCCTGAACAGATAGGTGAATAGATCCATGGTCGTCTGGTGCTTGGCCTGGTATCTCACCGATGCTTTCTTGCTCGTCAGGAAGCGAGATTCCTTGACGAAGCGGCGGAATGTGTTATGGACATCCGCGAACGAAAGGGTTCTCTGCACCCGGTGGCTGACCAGCTCCTGGAGCATTGCGTCGCAGATCTGAGCCTGGTCGTAAAGACTCTTGATGGTGGTGAATCGAGACATGGTGGAGCACATTTTGAACGAGGGTCAAGGCGTGGAGTATCAGCAACCTTGGGTTAGATCGTCTTGCGAGTCCGGGGCAGGATGCTGTTTCGAGGCTATATAAGGTGATCCGTGTCTACAGCGGCTTTGTTCGTTACTTGTGAACAATGGCATTGTTTTGACTTCGAGTATCTCGGCCTTCAATGTTTGTGTAGATCCTACTTGCCTGAAATTTACCGGCATTGTCTATCTTGTCTTTGCCATTGACACAAAGGTTCAATTGAAAGTCAATTGAAAGTCAATTGATGGGGAATTGATGATAAAAGAAACATGACCACTCTCTATTGCCTCCATTTCATAATACAGTCAGAGTGATTTGGATTGTTCCAGCTGTGCTATGCTACAGGACACTGAGCTTCTTTTCAGACCATTCTCCTGATGCCTCGGTCGGACCACAAAGCCTCACTGGATATCTAGCGTATTTGGCCAAATTAAACGAAGAGGAGACAAGCATGTTCGACTGACTTGATTGACTACACCATGCTGCTCCATGAGCATCGTTAAAATGGAGTACATGTATGGAGAGAAAGTCCTTGTGCGACACACTCCCTTGCAGCTGATCACCGGGATGCCATTCTGCTCTTCCCCTCACTCTCCCACATCTTTTCTTTCCTCTTCCCCTCCATCCACTTCCTTCCCCATCTCTCTCCACCCCAAGAAACATTACCATGGAGCAACTAAAATCACCATTTCCTCTACCAGGCATCCAACACGGCCAGCGAATTCTCGCTAGCGTTGTGGAGAATCGTGCAAAGAACGAACCCAACAGCCCGTGGGTGTCAGTCCCCATCGACGACGCCGATCTCTCGCGGGGCTTTCGAGACATCAGCTTCCAACAACTGAACAACGCAGCCAACCACGCCGCCCATTGGCTTCACCAGAATCTACCTGCCACAACAGGGCTATTTCAATGCTTTGCCTATGCAGGACCCAAGGACTTTCGCTATCCTATTCTTGCTGTTGCCGCGGCCAAGTTACAGAAAGTGGTCTGTTGCCCTGTATTTCTCTTGCCCACAAGGAAGTGACGTTGATGTCGTTCTATAGATCGTACTTCCTTCTCCCCTCATCACGCCCGAGGCTCAACTACGTATCTTCCGGCAGAAGAACTGCACGGTATACTTGCGACCTGCATCCATGGCAGACCATGTTGCGGCTATTCTTCGGGAGACACCTGAGATTCAGACTTTGACGGTTCCTGAGCTCGGCGACTTCTTGCAGGATGCTGAGGCTGCGCCGTATACGTATGCAAAGACTTGGGAGGAGGGAAAGGATGACCCGTGGATTGTCTTTCATACGTCTGGCACAACAGGTAGACATCCATCCTCCGTGGGCTATGACTACTTCTGGTACACTGCCTGCTGACAAGCTTGAGTTAGGCTTCCCCAAACCCATTACGTATACCCATCGGATGATGACGAGTCCAGACATTGCTGCATCTCTCCCGGACATCGAGTATACTCACGTGCATCAATATGCTCTTCAACGGTGGTATACGCCATTACCTTCGCTTCATGTGTGTCTAGAACTTGTGGGTCTACTTTCTCGCGCGGAGTACTGACTATTCTAGTTTGTGGGTACGGTGATGACCCTGTCTATGACCTCCTTCGTTCATATGGTCGCGGTCGTGGGTCCTTCGGTTCCCCCTTCACCCCCGATTGTTGCGGACATCCTGCGTCATGGCCGAGTGGATGGAGCCTTGCTCACTCCCGCCCTCATCGATGAGCTTTGTCTCATACCGTCTGGACTGGAGGCTCTACGCAACCTCAAATACGTGCACTTTGCCGGGGCGCCTCTTTCTGCCAAGGCCGGTGCACAACTGGCTCCATACACTCATCTAGTGCCCTGTATAGGCAGCACCGAGGCAGGGGGCTATTTCACCACAGTCCAAGACAAGGACCGCCCGTGGGACTACATCACCTTCCAGAAACACGCAGGCGCCGAGTTCGAGCATCGTTTCAATAATCTACATGAGCTAGTGTTCTTTCGGCGACCAGAATGTGCTATGCAGCAGATTTTCTCTGCGTACCCGGACAGAGATCGCTTCGAGACCAAGGATCTGTGGGTTGAGCACCCTGAGCACAAAGGCTCGTGGAAAATCATCGGGCGTACCGACGATTACGTGGCTCTCGCACACGCGGACGGGCTGCATGCCTCGCTGTTGGAGCCTGAGGTTGAAGCCCACCCGGGCGTGAAGTCGGCTTTGATCGGTGGCCACGGTCGTCCAGCGCCTGTGCTCGTTGTCGAATTCTTCCCCGAAGCGGAGGTGGGTCATGATCATCAGTCTCTGGTTGAAAGTCTACATCCGTATCTCGAAAAGGTCAATGCACATGTGCATGACTGTGTCAAACTCTCGGCGGACCGGATCATAATTGCGAGCAAGGACAAGCCTTTTGTGCGTACAATCAAGGGTAGTGTAGCCCGATTGCAGACTCTCAGCCTGTACGAGGATGAGATCGCGGCACTGTTTGGGTAGGAGTAGGTCAGCACCGAAGTTATCTGACACTGCGAGACTAAGAATGGAGGGACGAAGTTTTACTCATCATCACATGTCAATTTGTGTAAAAATGTATCCCTTGTAGAGTGCAGCGTGGATGGTGTCACTGGAATTCATGTGAACAGGAATCAGCTGAGATCAGCACTAGTCAGTCAGCTTGTACTAAGTCACTAAGTTACTGTACAGTACGGAGTAACAATGGGGAAATCAACCCGAAAGGGCGCTGGAACTCCGCACTGGAACCTCCCCCGCACCCGCACTCAAGCTTTCCTTCTACTCCACTTCCCCAGAGCTCACCACCACCACCACCAACACCACCACCACTACAACATCTAAACCTCCAAGTTAAACACCAAACATCATGGAGACCAGTCCATTTCACATTATTGAGCACTCGATTCCCGGCCAGCATATTCGCGATCACCACCACGCCATCAAAGGCCGTCAAGAGACCGCTCTCCGACTCGCCATCAAACAATACATCCCTGTCGACCGACCCGACCCTATCCCCGAACATGCTGTCACGATTATCGGGGCGCACGGCACAGGCTTTCCCAAGGTAAGTCAGTCTAGCAGACCTCAAAAGAATGGCGTCCCGATCATAAAGCCCAGGAAATCTACGAGCCACTATGGGAAGACCTCTATGCCCAGCTGAAGCAACACTCCGTCCCGCTACGGGCCATCTGGGTCGCCGACGTCTCGAACCAGGGCGCCAGCGGTGTCCTGAACGAGGATATCCAGGGCGATCACAGTAAGCCCCCCTCCCAACCCCCAACGCCCGCGATATCATCGATCGAAGACTAACACAATCGGAACAGCAAACTGGTTCGACCACTCCCGCGACCTCCTACACATGGTCAACCACTTCCGCGAGGAAATGACCCGACCGATGATCGGAGTCGCCCATAGCATGGGATGTGCGCAGCTGTACGCTATTCTCCCCAAACGTCACCAAAGACACACCTTTGACAACCAAGCAAAAAAACAGAGTCCAACTCTCGATCATGCACCCACGCCTCCTCTCGACCCTCATCCTCATCGAACCCGTCATCCTCGACTTCGCCAGCCGCACCGCGGGCCGCAGCCCCAACCCGTCCCGCTCCGCCGCCCTCCGCAAAGACCTGTGGCCCTCGCGCGCCGCCGCCGAATCCGCCCTCCGCAAGTCCCTGCTGCGCCGCTGGGACCCCCGCGCCGCGTCCCGGTACCTCCACTTCGGGCTGCGCGAGCTTCCGACCCGGCTGTATCCTGCGACCACCACGCCCTCAACCCCGGGAGACAACAGCAACAGCAGCAACCCCACAGAAAACGCCCAAACCCCGCCACCCACCCCAACCAAAGCAGTAACCCTAACGACAACCAAGCACCACGAAGCATGGAGCTACAGCGTCCCGAACCTCGAGCCCGCCGCCGCAAACATCGACCCCCTCCTCCTCCCGGACTGGGACAGCGAATTCGAGCGGCCCTTCAGGGTCTCCCGCCCGGAATGCCAGATCAGCATGCGTAATCTCCCCTTCGTGCGGCCCAGCGTGCTTTGGGTCTTTGGGGGCCGGAGCTATCTCTCGCCGCCGGCGGAGCAGGACAAGAAAATCCAGTTGACGGGGTCCGGGACGGGCGGGAGTGGTGGATGCAAGGAGGGGAAGGTGGAGAAGGCGGTGCTGGGGTCGGGGTCGCATATGTTGGTTGTCGAGGAGGTGGGGTGGTGCGCGGAGAGGATGGCGGGGTGGTTGGGCGGTTGGTTCGCGAGGTATGAGGCGGAGGAGCGGTTTTGGGGCGGTTATCGGTCGAAGAAGTCGGAGGGGGGCGAGATGCTGAGGGCTTCGGAGGAGGGGTTCGAGGCTTCGGTGGGGGATTTGGGGGTGGAGAGGCCCAAGGGTATGGGCAGGGTGAGGGGGAAGTTGTAGATTTGACGGCTGGGGTCCTGAAGGTATTCGGTGTGGATGCCTGTCTTGTTGCTTGCGGAGAGAGATAATACACTGAATTGTCTGCATTATAAGCGTGAGCGGAAATAGTCGTGGTCGTGGTCGTGGGATTTATTCCCGCCAGACAGTCGGACGCCCTTGACTTTCTAGAATCTAATATCCATTTCTTCGTCAATCCATCCCAGAAAGGGACGGGAGAATACACGCCACCAGTAGAATGTGACTACATTTCAGCCCTGGTCAAGAAGAAACCACACCCACATCCACATTAAAACATCCTGCAAACATGCAAATGAACAAACCACAAACACAAACAACAGGCTCAAACACATCAGTCAAACTCGCTGCATCCTGCCCCGTAAGCCGACAGCTAATGGTCTAAGTATATGTCATAGATGATACAAAATGTACAATACATACACCCCGCCACTCCCCAAGCCATCACAGAAACCCTTGAACCGTGCACGGTATATACAGCCCCCCGCAGCGGCAATCCCCCTCAAATCTGAGATCTCAGCACACACGCACACACCCCCTCAGATTTCAGCCCCCGGCACACACCCCCAACTACACCCCAACCGCCGGAAGGGCAACGGCCGAAGCCCCTCCCCGGACGGCCGAGGGCCCTTCAACCCATTCTCGTACGTGCTGCAGTCCCACCACTCGATCCACTCGGTGCGCGCGAGCACGAACCCGCGGTGACACACGGAGCAGCTGCGGCCGCCGGCGGCGCGCACCTCCCTTGCGTCGCGCAGCAGCCGCAGCATCAAGGCCGGGTAGCCGGCCAGCTCGGCGTCCGAGAGGAGATCGAAGGACGGGGAGCGGGTGAGCGAGAGGAGGGCGACTTCGCGGAGGGAGGGGACGCGCGATGCAGCTGGAGGGAGGGGTGTTGGGCATGGGCGGTCTTGGGGGTTGGTGTCGGGGTCGGGGTCGGTGTCGCTGGGGGCATCGAGCTCCATTGCTGTTCCAACAGGCTGCGAGCTGCTGCCGGCCGGCGGCAGCAGCAGCACGCCTTCGGCATTGTAGCGGCGGACGGGGCCGGTGGCGACATGCACGGGGGCCCAGGCTTGCTCGGGCGCGGGGCCCTCGTAGACGCACGACCGCAGCTCCTCGCGGGGGACGTGCCACTCGGCCACGGCGGCCTCGGGGTCGTGGGCTCCGTCGTCGATCTGTAGGAGCGGGTTCGGCCGCACGGTGAGATGCTTCAGGTCGCCTTTGCGGATCAACCACAGCAGCTCCCAGGGGAGGCTGCGCAGCCGGTTGACGGACAGATTGACCTCCTGCAGCATGGTCAGGCGGCGGATCGCGGCCGGGATCTCGGTGAGCTTGTTGTTGCGCAGGCTCAGGACGCGCAGCGTGTCCAGCTCGAAGAGCTCGCCGCACAGCTTGGGCAGGGCGTTGCCGGCGAGGAACAGCCGCAGGAACGGCTCGAGCGAGGTGTAGACGTCTTCCGTGACGGGGGGTTCCTTGATGGCGGGGAGTTTGGTGAGGTGCTGCAGCGGACGAAGCAGGCCGGACGGAATGCTGCGGAGGTTTCCGCCGCTGTTGTTGTTGTTGTCAGTGATGCTCAGAGGGCATCTTGATAAGCAATACTGCAGGAACAGAAGCTCACCTCAAGTCCACACTATCATCCCCCCTCTCCAGACAATCATTCACAATCGCCCGCGCGATCTGATGCTCCCTGGGCTCTTCCTCGATCCCGCGCCTCAACCCCCCCAATCCCAGCACGCTACCCCTCTGACCCTGCCCCTGACCCTGCGAGCTCGCAAACCCAGAAACCTGCTCCCCCCATTGATGTGGTTGCTGCTGCTGCTCGACCTCCACCTCACCATCAAACATCCTCTCCCCCTCCTCCCCCCTCCTCCCAATCCCAATCCCAATCCCAATCCCAATCCCCTTCCCATCAACCCCCTCCCCCTTCCCCTCCCCCTCCCCAACAAATTGCCCCCAAACCTCCTCCCCCCACGACGCATCGGAGCCCAAAAACCCCCCGGCCAGGGAATCATCACTCCCCATCCAAACCCCACTATCGACCAACCTCTTCTCCCTCCAATCCACCCTCTTATTGCGCTTAGCCCCTTCCTGGCCTTGCGGTTGATGCCCGCCCGACGACATCATCTTCTCCCCCCACCACGTCCCGCGATACCGGCGCTTCCGAGTGCCCGCCAAGCCCCCGGCTCCGGAAGCATGGTGGTGATGCTGGTGTGCTGTGTGGGTAGCTGCACCTGCGCCTGCACCTGCACCTGCAGCCGAGCCCGCGGTGTAGTTCTCCAAGCCGCCGGAGCCGGGGACATCGTCGCTGGAGAAGAAGGCCGGGTCGCTGGAGGGTTGGCTGGAGCGGTCGTCGCAGCGGGAGCGCGCGGTGGCGGTGGCGGTGAGGCGGTAGTGGTGGTTGTGGTTGTTTTGGTAATGATCGCGGCGGCGGGTTGGCGAGGCGCGGTGGTGGATGCGACGCGGGGGTGGTGGGAGTGGGGGATCGAGGGTTGGGTCCATTTTCTCGGCTTTTATCTGATCGAATTGAGATGATGTGGTCGAGGAAGGGTTGTAGTGATGAAAACGAAACACAAACCACGCCCTTTCCCTCCGAGTCGGAGTTGGCAGCAGGCAAGCGATCGGGAAATCGGATCAGATCAGATCAGATCACCTCGCACCCGTCGGGTAGAATGACGTCCGAGAGAATGTCGATCAAGCTGGGGAGGCGCTAAGGGGATGAATTACACTAGCCTTTCTTGACGCTGGCCCTGCATGTCAGAGCTGTCAGTCGTTCAAGAAATGCTTGAGGAATGAGAATATTTGTTTGCGATTGAGTTGAAGAATGGAGGGGGTTCTCTTTTTTTTTGGTGTTGTTGTTGGAGACGCGTCGCGCTGGTTCAAAGCGGGGCGAGAAGTGCGGACGGACTACGGAGGGAGTGCGAGATTGATAACACACCCTTTGCTGGGACAGTCTTGCTATCTACAATACTGGATAGCTATTTCTGGATTCACTCTGTCTGACTCGGATTCTATTTTAAATTTATGTCTATCTCTGCGGCTAAACAAAAATGGTCGATTGGGGCGGCCACTATACATTGGTTTCACCACTACATATGTGCACAGCTTCCAAGCTCACAGCGAGACCCCAAGAAAGTAAGAAAGTAAATAGGTATATAAACGGATCCCCGGAGAGATACTTGCGCTGGTCACCACCAGCCGTCAAATCCATCAACTCGTCATATCTGAAACGTCATAAAGGGGTATATGGGTCCATAACCGAGCGTCCCATCCGGTTCCCTGATCGCGATCAGCGAACCTGAGGTCGAACGAAGAGAAATTAAGTATAAGCGACGAAAAAAAAAGAAATAGGAACAGTTCGAAAAGTGATAAAAGAGTCTGGTGGTCATGATGTGTACCCTGGGCCTCGGAGCCGGCGATTGTTAAGTCTGCTGACTTCTGCTCACAGAGCGCCCATGATCAGAGCCAGAGATCCGGCGACAAGCGCAACAGGCATGCCAGCGGTGTTGACGTTGCCGGCGCCGGTGAAAACGGAAGACGCGGTGGCTGAGGCACTGGCCGAAGGAGCGACGACAAGCGAAGTCGGGACGGCAGAGGAGCTGACAGCCACCGAGCTGCTAGGAGCGCTGGGCGCGTGGGTGGGAATCAGAGGTGCGGACGTGGTAGACGCGCTTGAGGAGGTCACGGTGTCGACGTGAACCAGCGTCCGAGTGAGGAAAGTAGTCACCGTCGAGGTGGAGGTGGTGTCGGCGTCAGCGGCGACAAGCTGGGCAGCCGCCAGGCAGAACAGGGAAGAGGCAATAGCGCTGATCTTCATTTTGATGGCTTGGAATGTATAGAGGATTGTGTAGTGTATGGCTTAAAATGATCGAGTGCCGGGGTCGGACAAGATATATACGCGAATTGGCAATGAGGCGAGCGCAGCTACCGAGTCAAAGGAATGTGACAGGCGACGGACAAAGACGCGAATGAGTGAGCGTCTGAGTGACAATGCCGGGTGGAGGAGAGTTTCCGTAGGGGGAGCGCTGCTCGAAGCCGAACGAGTGTGAAACAAATCGATGTTTTATGCGACGCGCCGGGGTAGCAGGAAAGAAAAAGGGACGGCCGTGAGCGAGGCGGACCCGGACCCTAAATAAGAACCCAAAAAGAGCCCCTAGGAAAGTTCAAGGTTCGAGGCCATCGGTCTCGAGCCCGTCACAGCCAGAGGCACCGCAAGCCCACAACACGAGCGATGGGTCGGGAAAATTCCTCGGCGAGTCGCAAGGGGCGCTTTGAGCCAAGTCGATTGGCCCTGGGGCCGTCAAGAATGCCCCGGGGACATTACTCACGTCGAGTCGTCTACACGGCGCCTGCCGAGAAACAAATTCACGGCGCCACGAAGCTCCGCCAGCACATCCGGTGGCACCGGGACAGTACTGTACGTACTGCGTTGGCGGTCGTGGTCTGGGTTGCGGTGGATGAGAGCCCGACTCCTTTCTCGCCTCTGGATTTTTTCGCATGCAGGCTTATCCCGGTCGAGTATAAGGACGATTGGATGTGGGCTTTAGCGAGGTCACTAACCCGACCAGGCCCCGTATTAGCTTTGGTTCCTGAGGGTGTCAGCCCAATGACGAGATAGTTGGATCCGGATCCATGGAAGAGGGGTCTGGCGGTCTTACCAGACAGGGTTTGATGGTCGCGAAGCTAGTCTCACTGGTTTTGACTCGTTTTTTGCTCAATGCTGACCCTTGATTGAGTCCGAACCCCTGGATCAATTCGGATTCGCCCGGATGGTTCCCCAGTCTAATTTGATTTTCTCTTTCATTCTGCAATGGGCTTTCTCTACCCCTCTTCCCTTGCGTTCGTGTTTTGTTTCATGTGTTTGTGCGACATGAGGCTTTGTCTGTTGCGAGGATGAGGAACGCGTTTTGTTTTCTCTTTGGCTTTGATTTGCCTCCGTTTCTTTGTGGGTGGAAGAGGATTGGAGCTGAGCCTTAGAGGTGAAGGGAAAAAGGGGAGGAGGGCGTGATGACTGATTAGTGGGCGCTAGGCCGATACTAGAAGCGTCTAAGGCATCCACTCATCCACTCACCCACTCACCCACCCACTTTCCCACCCACTCTCTCTCCACCCGTTCCTGAGGCAAAGGAAGCCGTCTGCTTTCCCCTTGCAGTGTGCAATTAAATTAACCGGGGATCCTTTGGGTTGGGGTCCGCTCCAACGCACAACAACAACAACAACAACAGCAACACAACAACAAAGCACCATGTTCCGTAAATTTGTAATCTGGAGCTACTGCCTGACTTGCAGCAACCGTCACACCGATAAAATCCTTCGGATGCTGAGAGCCTCGAATTTATCCACGCCCACAAAATAGTGTATTTGTCGCCCTCGTGGCCGCCCGTGACATCTCGAATAGCCTCAATCAGCCAAGACCATAGAATCAGGAGTCGGATGAGACATTCGTCCAATGCACGGACCATAGCCGCATTCAAGCACCACCAAGAACAATCGCTGAGCTTAGGATGCGGCCCCCGTGAAGAAAAGGGGGTCATTGTCACCGCCGTTTCTGTTACACTACGCAGTAACTACGCACAGTGACTGAGGAGACGGGCGAGGTGCTTGGCAAGGACGTACTCCGGAGTACAATGGCTAAGGGGCTTAACAGCTCTCAAATGGTGCCATCGAAGGCCGGTCTGAGAGTCTCGGGAGTAACTCGGGAAGGACGGCTATCCAGCACGAGGGTCGGTGTTTGGCTTCCATGACCAGCTCGAGCAGAGCCTTGCTCGGCTGCATTTGACCCCGCTCTAGTCCGAGTCTTCAGTCATCATCATTGCACCAGCTCGTGTGTCGATTTCGTGCTGCCGTGAAGTGGCGAAGAAGCGTGCGGATAACGCGCTGGCGTTGCGAAAGTCTGCTCGATGCCATCAATGACAGAATCAGTGCGGTTGGTCCAGATTAGGATGTATAGTCCGACCATTTGCCTCAGCACTGGGAGTCCAATGCTGAAAATTTCTCAAGTCTGTCTTGTCACTAGGTCAGTCGACGCTCTAGGCCCTCTTTAGAACGAGCAATTCCTTAAGTCCCAAGCCGAGGGCATTGAACCCCTCATCCTAGGCCTTTCGATTCAGGAATAGACTTACCTAGCACCTGCAGTAGTACGCAGTGGTGTCTTCTAGAGGAGGGGTAGGGCAAACTGAACCTCACAATGGAAGGGCCAGAAGCTTCGACGCCTTCAAGGATTCGATGGGAGGGGTAGATACATGTTTTTCGTTATCAGCGCCGAGACTCCGCCACTTCCCGATGATGAAAAGGAAACCCCGCACATCCGGACAGGGTATTTATACGATAGAAAAGTCTTTCGGGCTTGAGTTGCGGCAAATAGATGTTGGAGATAATGGGCCACTCACTGGATTCGAACCTGCTGAACAAATTGGCTTGAACAGGTGTGGAAGACCGCAAGCATCCGTGTCAATTGATAGCGGTTGGTAGTATATATGTAGACAGAAACACAAAATGTGTGTCTCAACAAAACAGCACTTTCTGAAGCCTTTTAGGGATCGTGACTTGTCCGCTGCTGTCGATAATGGCACTATGTTTGCCTTCAATCTGGAAAGTATAAGCCTTATCCCATATCGTTCATAGAAATGCAGAACGGTGACGGGGCAACAATCCTGATTATGTCCCTACTGCTAATATTTATTTCCCAAACGGAGAACAAAGTGACTTGTGTGAAAGCGACTGAAACTAGCCCGTGTGATGGGACTTAGAGAATATGTCGGGCCAGAGAGAACCGACTTATAGCTGATGTTCGGTTTCGCAGTCTGCAAGCGAGAGCTCAAGGCTGGGTTTGTCTGTATACGGCCTGCAAAAGATCCTCCCAGGGCATTACCCAGCCGCTAATCAACGCTTCTTGTAGCGACGATTGAAATAGAGATTCTAGGTCGAGAAAGGGAAACGACTGAATCTCGAATAAACCCAGTGGACACAGTCCCTAGATGAGAAAGCACCGGATTGTAGTGTCGTGTTTCAATAGAAGTAAACCCGGAAAGAAGACCGCAACATTATAGCAGGTTCAAAAAGACATGGACGGACAGAAACACAAAGCAGGCGTTCGTACCAGATGACGTTACAGCAGCCCTGCAGATGCTGAGCTGAGCTTCGCAAGCCTGGTACCGCGGGACTCGGGATACACATCCGGCAAACAGGACAACAAAGATCCGGTTTTGCCGGTATACTGTAGCAGTAATTGAACCGATATTCTTCCTGAGACCCCATCTTCCGTAGGTGTTGCCCGGTACACCCGAACGGTTCTGCTGCGATCCTTTGCTTATGCAAGGTTTGTGCTTGTTCAGAAGTGAAATGTTCTTATTTCGCGGCAATATTAGATTGTCGCATAGATATACCTCGAGGTTCGGACTAGACAAGGACCTATGTCAGGATGGGTGGATTTTGCAGAGCTTCCATAAATGTTGAGCAACATGCAGCTGGCTTAACGCTCTTCTAGGACTGCCTTGGTGAAGGTCAAGAATATTTAAACCGATTTTTGGCTTCGTAATCACGAGTGCTGGCGTTTCGAAGGAGCACGACCGTGGCTTTGATTCCCATTGCAGGCTCAGTTCGTAGCGGTGGGGCGTCGGTATCATGTTACTGAGTCGATTATAATGTTGGATTACAATGTTAACATGATCCTAGCGTGACTAGGTCTCGAGACTCTCAAGGTCCGACCATGAAGTGATAGTAGATACTTCAGCACGGCTAAGAACTGAAGTCCCTTGAGAAAACTTGAAGGCTGTCGATACCTGCGTCACTGAGAATATGTGCATCTAGCCACTCACCACATAAGCAATCACCACAGCCACTGAACTCGCTGGCAAAAATATCGATAGGGGCCCACTGGAGTTGGGAGAGGTGATTTCGTAATAGATCTTTCTTCATTGGCGCATATGAGAAAGCTAGTGACCGGCTCTAGACGCTTGTTAGGGAACAAAGGTGTACGTGTATCCCACGATAAGCAATCCCAGGCAAGGAAACCCGAGTGCGGTGGTGAAGAGCAAATCATGTTGGCGAGGGTGGACCAGTGACTGTTAGGGTGCGGGTAAGGCTGAACAAAAAAACCCACCCAACTCCACATCTTCCATATTTATCCCGGTATCACTGGCTAACGGCGCTGGATGACTCTCCTTTTCCTTCAGCCTAAACGATCTCCAAGAGAGCATTATTAGTCACTCACAGTTCACGGGAAGAAACTGAGACTGGGCATACATTTTGTCTTGTTTTTCCGTACGAGAGTTGAGAAGATCATGTCTTCC